GGTTGTGACCATGAGTGTGTCACTATTTAAGGGTGTGACCATGTGTGTGTCACTATGTAAGGGTGTGACCATGATTGTAAATCGTTCCTTTGTTCATTATTTGCCCTAGTTTTATCAAACTATGGTTTTGTTGACACTTCGGTATTCATTCGTTGTTGTTTTTTTGAAGAAAATTAAGGTGTGACTTGAAAAAATGTTAAAATAAAAGGACACAAAATAACCTCATCAATTTATCATATCGTCGTCAGCGAACTACCTTCCTCGTTAAGTATATCCCAGAACAGAAACACTCGCTAACGTCATTTATTTGGATTCCGAGAACTTAGATTCTACAAAGTAAAACATGACACTAATTATAAGGCACGGTAGTCTAGTGGTAGGACGCCGGGTTCGTGACCGAAGGGTGGCGGGTTTGAGTCACGTCATGGCACTCTGTTGCAAAGGCCCAGGGATAATAATATGTGAACCGCTTTGAAACGACGTACAAACAACTAGGTTGTGATAAAGCGGTATATAATAACCTAGAATTAATTTTAATTTTATTAGTAGTATAATAAGAAACTATATTTACCGAGGATACAGCCATGTTTAGCTAACGGCTAATCTACCACACGGTCATCATAGTTAGTAAAACATAATAATGTTAGTAAAATACGATTACAAACATTAATACACATAAAACGCATTGTGGAAATCATATCACAGATTCATGTCAATGAAAATTAACACAGAATTCATAAATTTGCACCAGTTTGCAGAGTAATTGTAGACCTATATACTGTTAATCTATAGCTATTTTAAACTTTACAAGAACCATAAAATATAATCAACAGATATTTATAACAATTAAAAGGTTTTCTATACTTTAAATAGTCTGAAATAACTGATTGAGGGCAGAAAATTATTTCGAGCGAAAGCAGAATGTACCAGTGTTCTCCCTTTACTATGCAGTCGGACTACTAGACAGATTTACCTCCCTTGGCTTGATATGCATTATGACCTAGTAATATGTTAATAAATTTAGAAAACAACAATATTATAATATATTTTTAAAATTTAGAATTATTAATAAACAGCAAGTAAATGAAATTTATCAAGAACTGATCATTATATTCTAAGAAACATTAAATAACAAAATGTTATTATTACTGATATGGTAATTTTTTTAAACCTTGTGTGTGTAATAATATTTTTAGTTTATATAGCAATAAATACGTTTAAATATCATACTTACCTGGTACAGGGGATACCGTGATCATCCAGGCGGTTCCCCCAGGTCGAGGCCCTTCCATTGCACTCCGGTCGGGCTGAACCCTGCGATAATCCCAAATGCGGATTACTCGGGTACGCTATTTTTTAGTGTGGGGGTCTGCGTTCGCGCTAACCCCTGACCATAAACAACTTAATAATAGAAGAAACATGCCGAGTGGGACTGCTGCTTTGCATAGTTACAGAGTGATTAGAGCTGTTATTGGAACATTTCCTATCCAACAATTTTAATCACTTCGGTAATAATGGTGACCATGCAGTGATCAACGTCACATTAGTAAACGGTTGAGGCTGTCGCTGTCTCCAGAAAAGCAACACCTTCAGTTCTTTAAATTACTACCCAACAAAAAACTAAACAAGCTACATCTATTATAACACTGAATGTTGGAAGTAATTCCAACAGTGTAAAATTCGGAGCAATCCGCTCCTTTATCGAGACACAGAATAATACACAAAACACTTACATTGCATAAAAGCAAAACTAAAAATATAATATAATATAACTAATATTTAACAATAAGCCCCCCACCTCCCCCAGCTAGCGTATTATATTATCAGAATAATATAGATGAATCTATCACGTGTGAGACTTATGTGGAGTTTTTAACAAGTGATTATTATTACTGTTTATATTTCATTAATTAAGATGGATGTTATTTGTTTTCTCATTATAATGGTAAGTCAGTTTAGAGGGTCTGTTTGGTGGTTCACTGTGTGTTTATAGCTCAGAGATAAGGGTCCCGTAGCTGAGTAGAAATTGATAAGGTCAAAGGTTATGAGCCTCCCTGGTGTGGTATCTTCAGACAGCAGTAGGGTTATAGTTATAAATAGGTGTGTGGTCATTCTGAGGGAATGAGATATAAATAGGTGTGTGGTCATTCTGAAAGGATGAGATATAAATAGGTGTGTGGTCATTCTGAGGGGATGAGATATAAATAGGTTTGTGGTCATTTTGAGAGACTGGTGTATTAATAGTTATGAGGTCATTACTGGAGTAAATGGGAAGGGCTTGCATATTTAATGAGTTGGTCAGTTGTTGGTATTAATAGATTTTTCTACCTATACATCTTGATCCATTATTAGACACGATCCCTGTATTTAGTACTAGATGGTTTCCATAGTTTGTATTTAGATGTAGCTCTATCTTTAGTTTATCTTGTCTCTAGTTATATTTAGTATATGATGTCATTGGCTAAGTTTAGTATGAGTTTGAGAATATTTAGAATATGATGTCATTGGCTAAGTTTAGTATGAGTTTGAGTATATTTAGAATATGATGTCAGTTCTTAAAATAGTTGTGCCTATATAAAGGGTTGTTAGGGAGTTCAAGGGGGAGTTTTTTTGAGGAGATTGAGAAGAGAAGGTTGAGTCTTGAGAGAACCCTATGTAGAGGATTAGTAACGACTCAGAGAGTATTCGGTAGACTTGCGAGGAGTCTAGTGGAGTAATTTGTAGTGTATAGAATATTAGTTAGTGGAATTAGTTGAATTAGTGTAAACCTCAGTTGTTATTTAGTTATATTACTTTGGAGTGAAATTTCCGGACGTATAGTAAGTTGATCTTAACTATATGTATTAGAAGGCATATCAGTCTTCTTCATTTGATCTTAAATTGGACTATTTCTAAGTGTGTCAACTTTATTTGGATTACAAATTGTCCTCCTGGAGTCCATTTTTAGTAACTTCATTCACTTGAACTTTTGGCAGATACATTAATTAAATTCCTGTTAATAAAACTTTAGTTAACCTTATCAAAACTTGTGTGTTGTGATTTTATCTTTAGCATTTGTCAGAACGACTGGACCTTCATTTAACATAGAGGAATTAACAACTATATTTATAGCGAAATTGGTGTCAGAAGTGGGATGCCTAATATCGTAACAAATTGGTGTCAGAAGTGGGATGCCTAAAAACGTAACACTTATTTACTTAACATTTAAAATTTTATAATTTTTAAAAAATAATTAATTTATGTTTGAAATCATATCTTGTCAGGTGTATATGTTTTAAATTATAATTACTTTTGGATATGAATCAAGATATATTTCATTTGATCAATTATGATTTTTTAATTTTATTCTTCACATTATTATTTAATATACTTTCGTGATATAATGAATGCCGTTTAGCGAAGATATGATAGATGTGACGGGTTATGTCACCCTGGTAAAATACTTGCCGCTTCCTACCGTCTCGGCTAGGGAGATTTTCTTGTTAGCTCATTCGGTAGAACGTAAGACTAGTAAGCCGGAGGCCCCGTTTTCGACTCCTAGCGGAGGCATTGAAAAAATAATGACATCTGTTAGTACATTGGCGCCCACGAAGGGACCCGGGAGATTTGACAAAAATACTCAGCGATACTTGCAAAGGAATCGCCATGACCCCTGGAAAACTCGGGACGGGTTCTTTCCTGGAGGGGAGGGAGATTTATTCAGTAGAACGTAACACCAGTAAGCCAGAGATCCCGGGTCCGACTCCAAGCGGACGCATTGAAAAAACTAATGACCCCTGTCACATATACTTCAGAAAGATTATGTGATAATTTACTGATGTTTGATTGTATGTAACTCGTCTCTGTTTGCGAGAAAATATATACGTCGAGTATAACATGGTCTACAACTGTCATCACTAAAACGCTATCCTTCTTCCAATGAGGATTAACTGCATCACTGCTAGACTCTCGGGTCCAAAATAGGGAATCACTTCAACACTTATATGCTATATGTTTCCAATATTGTTATGAAGCTTAATACAAATAAGGACCAGGGTAAGAGATTGATAGACTCCCCCATCTGTATACAGTAGAAAAGGGGCGGGACTATCTACCTTGTATACAGTAGAAAAGGGGCGGGACTATTTTCCTTGTATACAGTAGAAAAGAGGGGAGACTCTCTACCTTATGGACTATATACAGTAGAAACGTGGTGGGACTCTCTACCTTATGGCCTGCATACAGTAGAAACGTGATGGGACTCTCTCCCTTATGGCCTGTATACAGTAGAAATGGGGTGGGACTTTCTACCTTATGACCTATATACAGTAGAAAAGTGGCGGAACTCTCTGCCTTGTATACAGTAGAAAAGTGGCGGGAGTCTCTACCTTGTATACAGTAGGAAAGTGGCGGGACTCTCTACCTTATGGCCTGTATACAGTAGAAACGTGATGGGACTATCTACCTTATGGCCTGTATACAGTAGAAAAGTGGTGAGACTCTCTACCTTATGGTCTATATACAGTAGAAACGTGGTGGGACTCTCTACCTTATGGCCTGTATACAGTAGAAACGTGATGGGACTCTCTACCTTATGGCCTGTATACAGTAGAAAAGTGGTGAGACGCTCTACTTTATGACCTGTATACAGTAGAAAAGGGGTGAGACTCTCTACTTTATGACCTGCATACAGTAGAAAAGTGGTGAGACTCTCTACTTTATGACCTGTATACAGTAGAAACGTGATGGGACTCTCTACCTTATGGCCTGTATACAGTAGAAACGTGGCGGGAATCAGTGAATATATGTCTAACAGTTTATAACACAATTATAACACATTCATTTACTAATTTTTGTGTGATTCTAGATAGATAATCTAGATATAGTTCCAATTTGGAAATACACACTTTTAACAGACAATAGAATATCTTTTTAAACAATCATTGAGCAAATCATACGATGGGACACTGGAACCTGTGTAAAACAAACGCTCAATAACAACAAAACAACTCCATTTGTATCAATATCCTCTCGCTATTTTAATCCGACAGAAAACGTAAAAACACTGCGTATATAACAAATAACATTATTTGTGTTCATGTCATTAACCATAGGAAATACATCACAATACACATGTTTACATTTCTTGTGAAATTTGTGAAACGAGTCTGATTCGATGAGCTGAAATGAACTGGGAATACTCCATAACAATATAATTCCCCCTCAGGGGACCTCTTGAAACGTTTTCACATGTATCACACAGCACACAACACTCCGACTGCAGCATTAAGGATCCCTGTCCCACTGCACTGTGGTTATTTCAGCGCAACCACATTTTAGCGAGTTATCGAACTTTAACAGATTAGCTAATCGATTATTTTGATGTACACACAATATCATATTATGAAACAGAAAAAAATGTACAGAACGTCATTTCACGTAGTAAATATTTCAGCGCAATAATGAAGGGCCAAACAACGCTAAAATAATATCACCGCCAAAATATGAACTCTTACAGTATATGTATTTGTGATACAATTTCATATCATTGATGTATAAATAACAAAGTACATTAAACTATTTGTTAATATTGAAAATAAATCACACATGGACAACTATTCATTCGTGCAAAAGCTGGGTCACTTTTTGACATTGCTCAACCATTTAAAATGATTCTTCAATTTGTCTGCTAGGAAAACTAAAAAAAAACCAAACAAATTTAACGATTTCCTACAATTTGTTCACTATCGCTTTCTGTTTGAAACATGTAGCATTTGTTGCTTTGTAAAAAATACAATAATACTCAATTGGCCGTTTTTTAACCTCATTGTGTAACTCAATTGATGACCTGTAATTAGCATATTGACGTTCTCCCAAGCAATGGTACTGAAGTCAACATATTTATATTAATTTTCACTTCTTTTTGCACGATATTGTACTGATACACATGAAAAGCAAGCAACTAGTTATTAGATAATCTCAAAAATGACTAGTACAGTGTACTTATATAGAATGAAATAATCTATGGTGAGACCGTTTTATGATGTAACGTTAGGGTACCAAAGTTAGAACACCAATTTTGGGTACTTCCATTTTGGGTACTTCCATTTTGGTACCGTTCTATTTTGAGTACCTCACGTTACGGTTACGAAACTGACATGCCGTTCCATTATTTTTAATCAAATCATACACATTTTTGTTCAAAATTGTACATACACACACATTTTTTTTTGTATAGGGGTGTTGTTTTAAGGGCTCGAATTGCCCAACCTTCGTAGAAGACCCTTAATTCTTTAGACTGCTCTCTTAAGTAACGAAGGTTTGATACACATATATTGTTTTGCATTATCTCTATATACTGTAGAGTTGGTAATATTCGTGGTCACCAAAGATGGTGTCAAATTAAACATCCAGCGAATATTTAATTATTTATACATTGAATCAGAGACGTCTCTGCTTGTATCAAAATATCGCTGAAATGTTTGCGGAACAACAGCGAAACCTGACATAAACAAAGGAAAAACCGGCTTGTGTAATACTTTGTTTTGTAATAGGAAGGAAATATCTTACCCCGCGAAATTAAACAACAGTAGGATTCAGAGCACTTCAGACATGGATGATCTTTGGTATAAAGATGGAAAATAATGGCCATAAGGTCAAAGGTCAGCAAATGTTTATTTTGTTTGGATTTCTACATCGTTTTACCATTATTTTTGCTACTAAACATTTTCTTACTTAGCTAAATTTTTAATTATTATTTGAAATGTAAATACAGTTCGATGGTAAATCGAAAATCGAAAAAAAAGGAAGAAAATTATAGCATAATCAAAATAACGTATTATGCAATATCTTTCAGATAAAACCTATCTAAACGACCAAGTTTAACTTAGGAAATAGAGGAACGACACATGAGAAAAACACTACTTATGCCAAACTATAGAAGCAGTTAAAATAATAACTTTTTGATATTTTTTAAAATAAATATACATATTGTTTGATTATCATACTTTGGCACACGATGATATTATTACATACGGAACCGAAGTCTGTAACGTAGATTTGACACCGAAGAAAAATACCCCCGGGGTGGATATTGTGTCTCTCGCTATGCAGCAGGGAATTTCTGGTCTTCTGCAATGCACTTCTAAAACCAGGAACTCTTTCCGCGAAAAAGTATGCTTTCAAATCAAATGAAGTACGATGACATTGTTAAGACCACGAGATGGCCATCACATCAAGAATAATCCAAGTCACACTCTATAACGTGAGAAGATACCGTAAAGGGTTCCATCCATATTCTTCCTCTCGAAATCGACTTCCGTTTGGCAATTGTTTTTTTCAAAACTTTAATCAGTTTTTAAAACTGATTAACTATCAAGCTATATTATTGGCGCAATCTATAAAGAAAAGTATTCTCCCCATAATATAACAGTTATCTCCCCTACATGATTTCAGCAGTTTCGCGTATGGGTCGAACAATATTTTGGAATATTTGATAGGCTAAGCTTACTGTTTAAGTTGTATCACAGGACATTATAGTAAAAAGTTAAAATAAATGGAAAGGTACATTTGATGAATGTTAATGGTCACTTAAGGAGGCCGATCAATATCTTTGCCGCCTGTCTATACGATTGATTTCTTTGGCACGATACTGTCCATGTGGTGCTCCTTGTCTTGGCGACGAGTCATAATCATCCTGAAACAGATTTATTAATTTATTAATTTGTATTAATTTACTTTTATTTATATAATTATTTATTCAACGGCACATTACGGAAGAAAATTAAATGACGCGATGAATTAAAATAACACGATTTTAAACGAATCTAAAGCTGATGTAAAGAACCATCATCAAGTCAGATATGGAGAATGAAAGTTTCAGCGAGTAAAAGTTGATGTTAAGAACAATCAAGGAGTAAAAGTTGATGTTAAGAACAATCAGGGAGTAAAAGTTGATGTTAAGAACAATCAAGGAATAACAATTGAGGCGAAGAACAATAAGCGAGTAACCATTGTTGTAAAGAATAAAAAGCGAGCGGATATCCATGCAAGGAAACATCACTTGATGTTGAGAACCATCAGCGAGTAACAATTGATGTTAAGAACCATCACAATCTAATTAAAATTATATCTTCACATCGCTCTCGTTTACTGATATGTCGCGTTGAAGATCTAACAACATCCCGTAGAGGGTCACGTCAGAGGTCAACATGAATACATTATCGTATTTATAACAAGCCAATCAAAACGCGACATAACGCTTTCTTTAAAACAATCAGAAAACAGGACCTGTAGCACCTCGTAGCCCAAAATCCACTTTTTCCTCTGGTCAAGTGATTGTTTGAATATTGCGAAGCCTGTCATTGGTTGTTAAACTTTTAAACGACAACATAACCAGAGGAGGAAGTCTCTCTTATTTCAAAGCAAAATCCACAAATTGTACAAACGTTGTCTTGTAGATAGACACGCGTGGTGTCATGGGCGCCGCCATTTTCGATGCTCATTTGACACCTCTCGGTCTTTTATAATAGCAAGTGTGTTCCGAAATCATTAAATCATCACTTACAGAAATACGTAATGCAAAGGTCACCTGAACATGACCCTCTACGGGATGTTGTTAGATCTTCAACGCGAAATATCAGTAAACGGGAGCGATGTGAAGATATTATTTTAATTAGATTGGAACCATCAGCGAGTAACAATTGATGTTGAGAACAATCAGCGAGTAACAATTGATGTTGAGAACCATCAGCGAGTAACCATTGATGCCAAGAACCAGCAGCGAGTAACAATTGATGCTGAGAACCATCAGCGAGTAACATTTGATGCTAAGAACCATCAGCGAGTAACAATTGACGTTGATAACCATCAGCGAGTAACAATTGATGTTAAGAACCGTCATCGAAGGTCGAAGTAATACTCACCAAATATTGACCACGTGACATACGAATCTGTTCGTGATTTGAATCCCTGATTTTTGGTGGTGACGTTGGTGTAACCTTGGAAACAGGTTTGTGTTTGGGATCGAAGTTGGGAGTGTTGACGCCACACATTTTAATGAACACAATCATGATCAGAACGAGTCCTATAGTCATCAGCATAACGATCCACCAGTTTTCCTGGAAATGGAAACTCAAGAGTAATATTATGATTTAACATAGAGAGGCGTGACCAGTTTACATGGTGGTACAAGAATTGATGAGATCAAATATTATTTGTTTCTTTGTCTGTGATAAACGCACCATGGGCAACTACGGCTATGTAGGGCCAGAATAATCTTTGACGATGGGGTGACCATTTGGGGAAACAATTTTAAAATAAATCAAAATTCGTATATCTTACAATCATCAGCAGGATAGGCTTTATAATGCTTTTACCTGTGCTTCACAGCCACGAAGACTCGAAAGGATGAACAACCTTTTAGAGGTACTTAATGGAGAACTTACACACAGCTTATTGTATTAATATCGTTTTCAATTACTACTTATTAGAGGTACATGTACTGAAAGGAGAACTGCGTTACGAAACTACTTCTATGACGTCATAAGCATATTTTGTTTACTATCACCATGACTATGAAACTTAAACCATAACAACTTCAGATGGCATTCATATTAGTATTAAGAATGTCATGGCTCATTGCTGATGTCATGATTATTGTGACCAATAGTTATAACGATGCATACCACTGGCTTCTAGAAGATATCTGTTCTATTTACTGAACAAGCAAACATGATACAAACATAGCGGTCTACTTGATGCTGAGGTTATTTAGATAATTTTATTTTCGATAATACCAGTTATTCTTATTATTGTTAATAGGGATATTCAACTACTTCAGTTAGCATGAATGCCATCAGGAAATTAAAAAAATAAAACGTGTCTGTGTTGGCATTCATATTGAATATGAGTGTTCACATTCATGTTGGCATTCATATTGAATATGAGTGTTCACATTCACGTTGGCATTCATATTGAATATGAGGGTTCACAATCATGTTGGCATTCATATTGAATATGAGAGTTCACATTCATGTTGGCATTCATATTGAATATGAGTGTTCCCATTCATGTTGGCATTCATATTGAACATGAGTGTTCACATTCATGTTGGCAGTCATATTGAATATGAGTGTTCACATTCACGTTGGCATTCATATTGAATATGAGTGTTCACATTCATGTTGGCAGTCATATTGAATATGAGTGTTCACATTCATGTTGGCATTCATATTGAATATGAGTTTTCATAGAAAGCAGTTCTAATTGTGTATGTTGAACACGTTTACAATATAGTTGTTATAATGAAGAATCAGTTTTATGATGAACATATACAAAATCTAAATGAAAATGACAGTTGCCATGGTAACTTACAACTATCCATTCACGGATCATGGTCCATGTCTGATTACCGAAAATGAGGTTCTGTAACCTTGCCAACGGCCCGTTGTTGTTGACGCCCCGACATCGACTGAACACGTCACAGTAACCCTTAAAGTCATTACAAGGTGACCCTGCACAGAAAACAAACGTCAATGTTCGGAAACTTTGTCAACCAAGGATAAAAGATGATAAGCATTTATTACTATTTAAAAAGAACACCACTCGAATTAGCCAGGTATGATGACAACATAAGTGGTATAATGTTTTTTTGAGAATGACCACGCATAGCATAAACAACAAGATAAAACTGAAGTGTCAACAATACCATAATCCGTAGACAAAGTCGATAAACTAAGGGGAATTATGAAGAAACGAAAATTGTGCATGGGAACCATTAAAAAAGAACAAGAATATGACCAGATGTTTCGTAAGGTTGCCGTCTTCTGCTCCATCGACGACACCAGCTATGTATTAAAGTCAAATTCCATGTAACGTCATGTCTATACAACGACACCTCAGTTACCGACAACAAACCACAAGGCGCACTAATTAGCATTATCATAATCATCGACCTTTATATCACACAAAGCAACAGCAGATTTCCTTGCTTGACTACACCACAAACCTCTACTAACAATATTATATATTTGATATCGTAATTTCTACATCCAAGATTCACATCAAACAATTACACTATTTTGGTTTTATTAACTGATGTTAAATCAAAAGTAGACCATTCATGATTATATATATATATATATATATTTTATAAAATTAAAAACACCTTCCCCATGTAAATATAAACCATAGATCTCACCAGTAGTATATAGATCATTTTTCTTATGAAAGTGAGTGAGGATGCAATTTTAGTCACGTATGTTCTATCTGTATTTTGCAAAGAATGGAGTTTACATGTTCCAATCAATCTCAGTATCGAAGTTTTGAAACTTTTAATTTTATTTTTATAGCAGTTACCACTAGCCACATAGGCCCCTTGTCTAAAAATAAGAAAATATATTTGCGTTTGAAGTTTTACTTACCAGCTGGGAGAAAGACTTTTGACACTGTCCTGTTTTTGACAAAGTTTTTGTAGTCTTGATATTGCGGGTCCTCAGGAATAGCGTCCGAGCTGATGCAACTGTGATTATTTCCTTTTACTGTGAAATATATATATATCACCTGTATACAGCGTCCTCATTCAGTGTGTAACATAATAAATATAAGTATAAAGTCCATGAGACACTGATGTAATATTGTTTTACGGGTTTTAAAGGATTCTCTGGAAAAGCGAAAATATAACACGAGTTAAAATATAAAGACATTCTGCCGAACAGCTAGAAAAACTGACATAAACATGAACTGTTTTATAACTAATCCTTGGATTTGTTTACATAAACTTTCACATATAATAAGACACGTAATAAGCCGAGGATGTACTTACAGCGACAAGACAGGTAAGTATATATATAATACATTGACATATAATAATACACGTAATTAGCTGAGGATGTACTTACATCAACAGGACAGGCAACACATTGACATATAATAAGACACGTAATTAGGCGAGGATGTACTTACAGCGACAGGACAGGTAACACAGTGACATATAATAATACACGTAATTAGCTGAGGATGTAGTTACATCAACAGGACAGGTAACACATTGACATATAATAATACACGTAATTAGGTGAGGATGTACTTACAGCGACAGGACAGGTAACACATTAACATATAATAATACACGTAATTAGCTGAGGATGTACTTACATCAACAGGACAGGTAACACAATGACATATAATAAGACACGTAATTAGGCGAGGATGTACTTACAGCGACAGGACAGGTAACGCATTGACATATAAGACAGGTAACACATTGACATATAATAACACACGTAATTAGCTGAATATGTACTTACAAGGACAGGACAGGTAACACATTGACATATAATAACACACGTAATTAGCTGAATACGTACTTACAACGACAGGACATGTAACACATTGACATATAATAATACACGTAATTAGGTGAGGATGTACTTACAGCGACAGGACAGGTAACACCTTGACATATAATAAAACACGTAATTAGGCGAGTATGTACTTACAGCGACAGAACAGGTAACACAGTGACATATAATAACACACGTAATTAGGCGAGGATGTACTTACAGCGACAGGACAGGTAACACAGTGACATATAATAATACACGTAATTAGCTGAGGATGTACTTACATCAACAGGACAGGTAACCCATTGACATATAATAATACACGTAATTAGCTGAGGATGTACTGACAGCGACAGGACAGGTAACACATTAACATATAATAATACACGTAATTAGCTGAGGATGTACTTACAGCGACAGGACAGGTAACACATTAACATATAATAATACACGTAATTAGCTGAGGATGTACTGACAGCGACAGGACAGGTAACACATTAACATATAATAATACACGTAATTAGCTGAGGATGTACTTACATCAACAGGACAGGTAACACATTGACATATAATAAGACACGTAATTAGGCGAGGATGTACTTACAGCGACAGGACAGGTAACACATTGACATATAATAAAACACGTAATTAGGCGAGTATGTACTTACAGCGACAGAACAGGTAACACAGTGACATATAATAACACACGTAATTAGCTGAGGATGTACTTACATCAACAGGACAGGTAACACAATGACATATAATAAGACACGTAATTAGCTGAGGATGTACTCACAGCGACAAGACAGGAAACGCATTGACATATAATAACACACGTAAGTAGCTGAATATGTACTTACAACGACAGGACAGGTAACACATTGACATATAATAACACACGGAATTAGATGAGGATGTACTTACAGCGGCAGGACAGGTAACGCATTGACATATAATAACACGCGTAATTAGGCGAGGATGTACTTACAGCGACAGCACAGGTAACACATTGACATATAATAAGACACCTAATTAGGCGAGGATGTACTTACAGCGACAGCACAGGTAACACATTGACATATAATAACACACGTAAGTAGCTGAATATGTACTTACAACGACAGGACAGGTAACACATTGACATATAATAATAAACGTTATGAGCTGAGGATCTACTTACAGCGACAGGACAGGTAACACATTGACATATAATAACACACGTAATTAGATGAGGATGTACTTACAGCGACAGGACAGGTAACACATTGACATATAATAATACACGTAATTAGGCGAGGATGTACTTACAGCGACAAGACAGGTAACACATTGACATATAATAACACACGTAATTAGCTGAATATGTACTTACAACGACAGGACAGGTAACACATTGACATATAATAAAACACGTAATTAGCTGAGGATGTACTTACAGCGACAGGACAGGTAACACATTGACATATAATAATACACGTAATTAACTGAGGATGTACTTACATCAACAGGACAGGTAACACATTGACATATAATAACACACGTAATTAGGTGAGGATGTACTTACAGCGACAGGACAGGTAACACATTGACATATAATAATACACGTAATTAGCTGAGGATGTACTTACAGCGACAGGACAGGTAACACATTGACATATAATAATACACGTAATTAGCTGAGGATGTACTTACAGCGACAGGACAGGTAACACATTGACATATAATAATACACGTAATTAGCTGAGGATGTACTTACAGCGACAGGACAGGTAACACATTGACATATAATAATACACGTAATTAGCTGAGGATGTACTTACAGCGACAGGACAGGTAACACATTGACATATAATAATACACGTAATTAGCTGAGGATGTACTTACAGCGACAGGACAGGTAACACATTGACATATAATAATACACGTAATTAGCTGAGGATGTACTTACAGCGACAGGACAGGTAACACATTGACATATAATAATACACGTAATTAGCTGAGGATGTACTTACAGCGACAGGACAGGTAACACATTGACATATAATAATACACGTAATTAGCTGAGGATGTACTTACAGCGACAGGACAGGTAACACATTGACATATAATAATACACGTAATTAGCTGAGGATGTACTTACAGCGACAGGACAGGTAACACATTGACATATAATAATACACGTAATTAGCTGAGGATGTACTTACAGCGACAGGACAGGTAACACATTGACATATAATAATACACGTAATTAGCTGAGGATGTACTTACAGCGACAGGACAGGTAACACATTGACATATAATAATACACGTAATTAGCTGAGGATGTACTTACAGCGACAGGACAGGTAACACATTGACATATAATAATACACGTAATTAGCTGAGGATGTACTTACAGCGACAGGACAGGTAACACATTGACATATAATAATACACGTAATTAGCTGAGGATGTACTTACAGCGACAGGACAGGTAACACATTGACATATAATAATACACGTAATTAGCTGAGGATGTACTTACAGCGACAGGACAGGTAACACATTGACATATAATAATACACGTAATTAGCTGAGGATGTACTTACAGCGACAGGACAGGTAACACATTGACATATAATAATACACGTAATTAGCTGAGGATGTACTTACAGCGACAGGACAGGTAACACATTGACATATAATAATACACGTAATTAGCTGAGGATGTACTTACAGCGACAGGACAGGTAACACATTGACATATAATAATACACGTAATTAGCTGAGGATGTACTTACAGCGACAGGACAGGTAACACATTGACATATAATAATACACGTAATTAACTGAGGATGTACTTACATCAACAGGACAGGTAACACATTGACATATAATAACACACGTAATTAGGTGAGGATGTACTTACAGCGACAGGACAGGTAACGCATTGACATATAATAACACACGTAATTAGGCGAGGATGTACTTACAGCGACAGAACAGGTAACACAGTGACATATAATAACACACGTAATTAGGCGAGGATGTACGTACAGCGACAAGACAGGTTATACATTGACATATAATAATACACGTAATTAGCTGAGGATGTACTTACAGCGACAGGACAGGTAACGCATTGACATATAATAACACACGTAATTAGGCGAGGATGTACTTACAGCGACAGAACAGGTAACACAGTGACATATAATAACACACGTAATTAGGCGAGGATGTACGTACAGCGACAAGACAGGTTATACATTGACATATAATAATACACGTAATTAGCTGAGGATGTACTTACAGCGACAGGACAGGTAACGCATTGACATATAATAACACACGTAATTAGGCGAGGATGTACTTACAGCGACAGAACAGGTAACACAGTGACATATAATAACACACGTAATTAGGCGAGGATGTACTTACAGCGACAGGACAGGTAACGCATTGACATATAATAAGACACGTAATTAGCTGAGGATGTACTTACAGCGACAGGACAGGTAACACATTGACATATAATAATACACGTAATTAACTGAGGATGTACTTACAGCGACAGGACAGGTAACACATTGACATATAATAATACACGTAATTAACTGAGGATGTACTTACAGCGACAGGACAGGTAACACATTGACATATAATAATACACGTAATTAACTGAGGATGTACTTACAGCGACAGGACAGGTAACACATTGACATATAATAATACACGTAATTAGCTGAGGATGTAATAACAGCGACAGGACAGGTAACCCATTGACATATAATAATACACGTAATTAGCTGAGGATGTAATAACAGCGACAGGACAGGTAACCCATTGACATATAATAATACACGTAATTAACTGAGGATGTACTTACAGCGACAGGACAGGTAACACATTGACATATAATAATACACGTAATTAACTGAGGATGTACTTACAGCGACAGGACAGGTAACACATTGACATATAATAATACACGTAATTAACTGAGGATGTACTTACAGCGACAGGACAGGTAACACATTGACATATAATAATACACGTAATTAACTGAGGATGTACTTACAGCGACAAGACAGGTAACACATTGACATATAATAATACACGTAATTAGCTGGGAATGTACTTACAGCGACAGGACAGGTAACATGATGAAGAACTCAGCATACATTCGTCCCACAGAGATGCATTATTATCCGTTGTATACCCAATCGTTTTACATAGCGATCCAGTGCACTCCTAAAAAAACCAGAGAAAAAACACATGATGGAAATGCAGTAAATTAAATGTTCACTAGAAACGATGCCATTAAGATGAACACCATAAACATACACTCACCTATCGCTATTCCGTCTTTGCGTATTGCAGAGTTATCTTCTCTTGTGAGCAGGTATTGATTGTTACGTCACTTGTTTGTGATAGTAACGTCATCATTTTTTAAGAAAACAACGTAATTTTCTCACACCAACCAATGACGTAACAATCAACACCTGCTTCCAGGAGAAGATAACTCTGCAATACGCAAAGACGGAATAAACAAAGAAGAATAAATGTCACTGTAAGTCCCACTATCTCGGCCTTCTGGCTTTCTCCAAGGGCGAAAGTCAACGATTGATTCAAGTAACGTCCATTTTGAGGTAGAGAAAATGACGTACAATATGTATGTCGTCCTCCAAAGAAGGAAGATGGACGATACTTGAATAGGTCGTTGACTTTCGCCCATGAAGAAAGCCAGACGGCCGATATATTGGGACTTACAGTGACGTTTGCTCTATTTTTTTGTATCCTTTTCCCTTTGGAATTCATCTGTTGTTTTTTAAAGCTATATAGACTCACATCTGCTAAACAGTGAACATTTTACGCAGAACTAGTACTGGAGCCTAACACAAGTGAAAACGTCCACCCCTCTGAGAACACTGCACATTACCTTCTACAGTACTTACTCTTTTGAAGTTTTATCCCATTTCGCGAAAAAGAAAATAAACAAACCCATTTCTTTTTGCTTTTCTGACAAAGAAGATATGATGATTATTTTCATAATGTTTAAATTCATCCCATTATGACGAACGATCTTTTACCCACAATACTTAAACTTATCTCGTTCTGGTTCAAAGACAATATATATTTTACAAAACTTAATATAATTCCAATCTGATACAAATAGAATATTTTTTTATAATGTTTTGTCTTACCCCTTTCTGACAGACTGACAGGTTTTCGTTACACAGTGTAATTATGTCCGGTTTGTTCCTGGTCGGTGGACATGTTGCCGAGTCACTTCTTATCATGGTTAAGGGGGCTAACGTCAACATCTAACACAGCTGAAGTTATTGTTTATACCTCATTTATATATACTTTAATGATGCTACGTAGGATGTAATATTAAAAAAAAAAAAAAAAAAATTAATTTTTGTCTTCAAATGGTTATTGGTAATATTTCTAAAATCCTACGCAAAATCGGCTTGAATGATGAAATAGTTTTAGTGTAATCTTTTATAAAATGTATATGTCCCAGCAGGAACATTCTAATAGTTAAACACTATATAGCGATATTCAGTTTTACACTGTAGAATGTTTTATAGTTTTACATTAAGAATGTTTTATAGTTTTACATTGTAGAAAGTTTTATAGTTTTACATTGTAGAATGTTTTATAGTTTTACATTGTAGAATGTTTTATAGTTTTACATTGTAGAATGTTTTATAGTTTTACATTGTAGAATGTTTTATAGTTTTACATTGTAGAATGTTTTATAGTTTTACATTGTAGAATGTTTTATAGTTTTACATTGTAGAATGTTTTATAGTTTTACATTGTAGAATGTTTTATAGTTTTACATTGTAGAATGTTTTATAGTTTTACATTGTAGAATGTTTTATAGTTTTACATTGTAGAAAGTTTTATAGTTTTACATTGTAGAATGATTTATAGTTTTACATTGTAGAATGTTTTATAGTTTTACATTGTAGAATGATTTATAGTTTTACGCTAAGAATGTTTAATAGTTTTACATTGTCGAATGATTTATAGTTTTACATTGTAGAATGAATTATAGTTTTACATTAAGAATGTTTTATAGTTTTAAATTAAGAATGTTTTTAAGTTTTACATTGTAGAAAGTTATATAGTTTTACATTGTAGAATGTTTTATAGTTTTACATTGTAGAATGTTTGTAGTTTTTCATTGTAGAATGAGTTATAGTTATACATTGTAGAATGATTTATAGTTTTACATTAAGAATGTTTTATAGTTTTACATTGTAGAATGTTTTATAGTTTTACATTGTAGAATGATTTATAGTTTAACATTAAGAATGTTTTATAGTTTTACATTGTAGAAAGTTTTATAGTTTTTCATTGTAGAAAGTTTTATAGTTTTACATTGTAGAATGTTTTATAGTTTTACATTGTAGAATTATTTATAGTTTAACATTAAGAATGTTTTATAGTTTTACATTGTAGAATGTTTTATAGTTTTACATTAAGAATGTTTTATAGTTTTACATTGTAGAATGTTTTATAGTTTTACATTGTAGAATTATTTATAGTTTAACATTAAGAATGTTTTATAGTTTTACATTGTAGAATGTTTTATAGTTTTACATTAAGAATGTTTTATAGTTTTACATTGTAGAATGTTTTATAGTTTTACATTGTAGAATTATTTATAGTTTAACATTAAGAATGTTTTATAGTTTTACATTGTAGAATGTTTTATAGTTTTACATTAAGAATGTTTTATAGTTTTACATTGTAGAATGTTTTATAGTTTTACATTGTAGAATTATTTATAGTTTAACATTAAGAATGTTTTATAGTTTTACATTGTAGAATGTTTTATAGTTTTATTCATAGTTTTACATTATAAATTTTATAGTTTTACATTAAGGAATGTTTAAGAGTTTTACATTGTAGAATGTTTAACGTTATATTGTAGAATGTTTAACCTTATATTGTAGAAAGTTTTATAGTTTTACATTGTAAAACGCTTTATAGTTTTACATGGTAAAACGTTTTATAGTTTTACATTATAATACGTTTTATAGTTTTACATTATTAAATGTATATTTTACATATTGGAATGTTTATAGTTTAATATATTTTGAAATGTTTACCCTCCAGATAATTCATAGTTTTACAATTGTGAATGATGTATGATTCTGGTTTTATTTTGATGTTATTTCTATAAAACTTTGACTCTTTATTAAATTACATTTTGCTGGTCTTGAATGAAAACATTAATTAACTGCTTGTGTATGAATTCAAAAAGACCGCTTGTGTGAAGCATAGTCAAATTTCAATCGACATGTTTTAAAAAGACAAATCTACCTTGTATGATCCCGTAAAACATGATTGTGTTGACAGACCTGTATATCCGCATCAAATAAATGAACAAATCTACCTCGGATAATTTGTGATGATCGGTTGTTTCTGTTTGACCTGATTGTATTGATATGGCAATACAATTTAATTTCCCATAAATAAATCTACCGAATGCGGTTATTTGATGAATGGATTGTTAAAAAGTTTCCACATAAAAACAAACTACTGTGCATCCACGAACGTCGAAGATGTTTTGATAGGCCTTTAGTACTTTATTTAGTAACTACCTAATCCTACCTTGTTTCACATCATAATCTGATACTGATGATAAAGAAACAAAGGATACGGACAATACGCTGCCTCGATACAGTCAGAGGACGCTCGGCATGTCTTGTTACTGGCAGTGGGGATGTACTGACATTCTGATGTACAGCAAGGACCTTGTGATGGACTGAAAAAACCACAGGACATATCGTCAATATATACGGGAAATATCGTTAACAAACAGAAGATATATCGTCAATAAATACGGGAATTATTATCATATATCGGAAATATCGTTGACAAACAGAAGATATATCGTCAACAAACACAGGATATATCGTCAACAAAAACATGATATATTGTCAACAAACACGGGATATATCGTCAACAAACACTGGATATATCGTCAACAAACACAGAATATATCGTCAACAAATACGGGAATAATCATCAAATATTGGAAATATCGTTGACAAACAGAAAATATATCGTCAACAATCACGGAATATATCGTAAACAAACACAAGATATATCGTTAACAAACACAGGATATATTGTCAACAAACACATGATATATCGTCAACAAACACGGGATATATCGTCAACAAAAACATGATATATCGTCAACAAATACGGGATATATCGTCAACAAACACAGAATATATCGTCAACAAACACGGGATATATCGTCAACAAACACAGAATATATCGTCAACAAAAACATGATATATCGTCAAAAAAGACAGGATATATCGTCAACAAACACATAATATATCGTCAACAAACACAGGATATATCGTCAATAAATACGGGAATTATTATCATATATTGGAAATATCGTTGACAAACAGAAGATATATTGTCAACAAACACAGGATATATCGTCAACAAACACTGGATATATCGTCAACAAACACAGGATATATCGTCAACAAACACGGGATATATCGTCAACAAACACGGGATATATCGTCAACAATAACGGAATATATCGTAAACAAATACGGGAATTATCATCATATATTGGAAATATCATTGACAAACAGAAGATATATTGTCAACAATCACGGAATATATCGTAAACAAACACAAGATATATCGTCAAAAAACACGGGATATATCGTCAACAAACACGGGATATATCGTCAACAAATACGGGAATTGTCATCAAATATTGGAAATATCGTTGACAAACAGAAAATATATCGTCAACAATCACGGAATATATCGTAAACAAACACAAGATATATCGTTAACAAACACAGGATATATTGTCAACAAACACATGATATATCGTCAACAAACACGGGATATATCGTTAACAAAGACAGGATATATCGTCAACAAACACAGAATATATCGTCAACAAACACATGATATATCGTCAACAAACACGGGATATATCGTCAACAAATACGGGAATTATCATCATATATTGGAAATATCGTTGACAAACAGAAGATATATTGTCAACAAACACAGGATATATCGTCAACAAACACTGGATATATCGTCAACAAACACGGGATATATCGTCAACAAATACGGGAATTATCATCATATATTGGAAATATCGTTGACAAACAGAAGATATATCGTCAACAATCACGGAATATATCGTAAACAAACACAAGATATATAGTTAACAAACACAGGATATATTGTCAACCAACACATGATATATCGTCAACAAACACGGGATATATCGTCAACAAACACAGAATATATCGTCAACAAAAACATGATATATCGTCAAAAAACACAGGATATATCATCAACAAACACATGATATATCGTCAACAAATACGGGATATATCGTCAACAAACACATGATATATCGTCAACAAACACAGGATATATCGTCAATAAACACAGGATATATCGTCAACAAACACAGGAATGTTGACAGGTATGTTTTGACACTCACCTGCAATAGACCTTCTGGACACCTATTACATGTAACCGGAGTGTACAATCTGTGTCTCTCTTGGGCTCGTGACGGGGGTTACAACATTTATCGTCACAGTCGTCCTTGTAACCACAATCACACTCCTCTCCCTCCTCAACGATACCGTTACCACAGAAAGAGCCCTGCTGATCTGTAATTAAAAAGGAAGGATTTTACGAAGTTACAGCCTATTAACCCGTGGATCACAAATAAGTTTACAACATGAGTTGACCAGACGGAAATACCTATTTATACTTCTTTAACTATTTCTAGCTTCGTCCTGCCGTCCAATCATGCCGTTTCAATTGCGAAATTAATTAAATTTGATACATACACGATATAACGTCTGCTATCTTATCTTTAAAGTAAAGGAATAATGCCTAGCTCTTTGACATCGTTTACACGCATTTCACAACTGTTTGTGTATTCAAAATCTTTGAAAACGTGACTTTTTCTGTTGTCTTTAAGCACAATCCGTAATGTGGATATTAATATCATCTCATTCTACCAGGCTTCGTGCTGATTGGCTGTAATTACCTAATAGCAAATATAAACGACGCTAGCAGCACAGGTAAGCGACTCATTCTGTGACTACCCTTACGACATCGAAGTCTATTCTAGGCAAAATTCATATGGAATGTCTGTACTTCAACAAAAACGGTGGCTATACATTTCACAATTAAACAGTGAATTTATTAACAATAAATTGTTTATTTGAGCCAAAGAAATGTGTTTACCTTTGCAACAAGACAGGAAACAAAAACATTAAATATGTTTATCACATAACTGACCCATTTAATATGTCATACGGCCATGTCATAATAATGGTAATACACACGTGTAATAAAACCTAAAGGTGCAGCGAATGGTCAAAACATTGGGAACATATTCCTACGCCCCTACAGGTACTACGTTTATTTAATATCAAACATGACACATTTACTGTTAATTTAGATGAATTTGATAAATACCAATTTGTCATTATTATTTTCCTTGCGTTTAAAATTGTTCAGTATTGATAAAAAACCGGAACTAATTTGCACTGCGCGGAACGACAATACGATGATAGGAATACTTTGGTTTTACCTATGGGGAGTGAGCTGATAACACATAATTGTGTTTGATTTTTAAAATAACATTATGGCTGCTATGTGATAAATAGAATCTTACATTCGTGCCTATGTCATATTGAATTTATTAAACTCTTTCTATAACTTGATATGACATTCGCATAAAGGCTCGTCATATCAAATTATTGAACGAGTTTAATAGATTTAATGTGACATGGACACTCATGTAAGATCCTCTATTTATCATTATGTACATGGTATCCAATGAAGCAAACAGGCGATATCTTTGTTATGTTATCGAAAAAAACAAAGTCAGGGGCACCTTTAATACATTCAGTTAGAAGAAAGGGTGCCTTTAAACTGCTTGAATATGCTACACACTAGTTTTGGGCTGCAACAGATAATTTATTTCGTTTTTCCTAGAATTATTGTTTTTTCTTTGCTGTCAGACCGTATTGGTTACGTGCGACCATAACACATTTTATCACATACCTGTTGAATCTTGTTATAGTAATACAAGCAATTTTCAGACCATGAAATACAACGTTCTGTATTGCACATGTGCACTACGAAATGTTGTATTTACCTACTAGAGTGAATATATACGTCCGCGCAATAAATGAGTGCTTTTTGATTCGTTAGAAAAACACAAGTGTGTGGTCTTGCATATGTATTAAATGAATACAAATCACCCCTTTTCTATCCAAGCTTTGGTGCTCCACTTTCAGGTTGCAGCTTGTTTTCGCTATAATGTGTATGGCAGGGTATTTTACCCGTGTTAAAATATCTACGTGTTCGTATAAAGGTTTTATGCGCATATCTAATGGATCTGTATCAAACTGACGATAACATAGAATGCTCATTACATACATTACACAAATATGAAATTTTCTAAAATAGAAACAATAATAACTACAATGTACATTATTTCCCTTCATGCCTTCCCAATACTTGGGAGCTGGAAAAAATTAACTATTGTGTAGCGTAAGGTTATTTTAATTAAAATCAGGTCTTCGAATCGCCTCTGTTTACTGATATGTCGCGCGGGAGATCTAACAACATCCCGTTAAGGGTCACGTCAGAGGTCAACATGAATACGTTATCTGTTTAACAAGACAATCAAAATGCGAGATATTGTTTTCTTTCAACCAATCTGAAAGCAACTCTCTTATCACGCGACATATCAGTAAACGATTGCGATCTATTTTTAATTAGTTTGGTGTAGGGTAAGTTTTTGAAAAACATGTAATCGAAGAAATTCTTTCTCTGAAGTGAAGGCAGTTGTTTTTGTATTTCCTCCATTTTCATGGGTTGTCTCTCTTTTATACCATTTCCTTGGCCTTTAAAGTCTCCTGATGGTTATGAGAGATGCAGAAGAGCGTGCTATAATACTTACTTTGAAGACAGTTCTTTTTGAACCTCTCCTCAAGTAGGGAGTGTAACACTCGTGTCATGTTGTCCTTACTACACGCGGAAAACTCGCGGTTATGAGGCAGATCTCCGTGCGTAGCACTGGCATACATGATAAAGTTTCCCTCCGAGGCTCCGGGATAATGTGTTTTATACGGTGCACATATTCCGGTGTCATGCTGAAAAATAAAAACACGGGGTCCATATTAATAAAACCGTTTTCATGCCTAGAGGATGCACGTAACACAGAGACTTGACTGCACCTGTAAAATTTGTTAATACACACAGTATGCCAAAATGAATTAAACTGCGTCATACAGCTGTTTCGTCCTTCTGGGACTCATCAGTGATGCTAGGGGAAAAAACATCTTAACTACTCATGAAACATAGAAACCTCTAATTTATGAATTTCTAAATATAGGGGAGTACAGGTTAATTCCAAATTCATTAGTAAAGTTTGTATATTATGAAGCGTGCCACTACTGAAAGTAGACAACTGTGGTCATCAAGGCTACAGCAAACCTCGGGGACCTAACAAACCACCAGTAGAGTCTACAACCTTGTATGTTGAAGGATAAACGTTACACACGCACATATGGGTAAACTCCTTAAACTGAGATTCTGTGAAGAATTTAATGACAGCAGTCAATTCTTTATGTATGATTTTATTTCAATCCTGTATTATTATTATCTGATGTGTTTTCAAAATCTTAATGATTTCGATATATAGAATAAATGTCACTCTGAGTCCCAATATATTTCGGCCTCCTGACCTCTTCAAGGGCGAAAGCTAACGTTCGTTTCAAGTAACGTCCATCTTGCTTATACTTGAAACCACCGTTGACTTTCGCCCTTCAGGAACGCCAGCTGGAGGCCGAGGTATTTGGACTCCGAGTGACATTTATCCTATTTCTATTTTTTTTTTTATCTTTTCCCCCTTTGGAAATCATCTATTGTTTATTATGTTAATGATTTAAGGGTTAAACTTACAGGAGATCCAAAGTTGTGTCCGACCTCGTGAGCGAAGGTGAGGTGTGACACGGTAGGAGCGACACGCTTGCCATAGTTGATGATTGTGACGATACCAGTGTTAAGACTCTTACTGACTGATCGGCCATCTTCACCAGGGAACGTTTTGTACCTCTCACATATACCACCTGCTGAATCTATTCAAAAATAAAAATGATAATAATAATATTAAATGGAGGTTCTTATATACCGCTTAATTACAAGCTGGTACGTAGGGCGTCTCAAAGCATTTCACACATTATTATCCGTTGTTATAGGGCCTTTGCAACAAGCCAATATCTTTCTCATCTCACCGGGAGCATACAGCCGGTGCTGCCCTTTCGGCGCTCACAGCTAGCATTCAACAAATCGAGTACTGCCGAAACACGTACTTATTTACAGCTAAGTAGACTGGAACGAGCGGAGTAAAGTATATTGCCTAAAGATACAACACAGTGTCGTGCCGTGACTCGAACCTGCAACCCTTCAGTCACGAGCACGGCGTCCTACCACTAGTTTACCGTGCCTCCAAATAGCAAACCAACAATAATATATGTTTAAGGATGTTGAGTAAAAAAGATGCTATTTGGTGAGAAAAATGTATGTTTCAGGTACAACGACTGAAGAGAAAAAGGTAGGTCTTTTTTTCATTTTTAAGGTTGGGATGGGGTTTTAGAAATTACAAGGGTGGGTNGGGGGGGATGTCCTCTTCTGTCTTTTATTTAGAGGACAATGAAGAAACCAGAATTTATCATCGCTTTTTGCGACGGTCCGTCCCTAGGCAACCGTCTTAATACGACCGTAAATGTTCAACTGTTTCAAACAATCGAACAAGCTGTCCTTTACAAGTGATGCTTGGCTAAATCTCTGAAATTACTGTTATCAAGTTGCATTTCAAATACTGTAGTCGTACAATTTTTAGAGGTAGTCTTATTTTAGCGGCATTCGCGCTTTAAATATTGCACTTGATTATGATTGCGCCAATCAATTGAAGTTCCTATATATTATGTTCGATTGCTTTTTTTGTTTGGTGGATGTGCCAAATATCAATGTGCCAATCTGTTGCAATTTGATAATGCGCTAAAATTTGAGTGCACTAAAATAAGTACGCTTACAGTATACGGTTGTTATATATGAGTTAATGTAATAAAAAAGCATTCATACTACTACTAATGTTAAATAATCTGTGTTTATTGTGTGGGAGAAACAAAAAGAGTCGATCATTACATAGGTATGTGGGATATGGAAAGTTTGCCCTAACAAAGCCTCGGGTCTGACGCCAATACTACACGTTCGGGTAAAATGTCATATCCCACATACCCATATATGGTAAAATCCATTTAACATTTATTTGGAATACGAGATTAAGATACAACCTTGGTATCTTTGTGGGATACTTTCATTAAATACTAGTGTTGTAGACTCCCTTCTCTATCTTCCTTAAGGCCACGTTTAAATAGCAGGATATTGTTTTCCTGGTGAATACCAATATCAGTTTATTCTGTCAAATGGACTGTATTCTTAAAATATATGTGAATGATAGTCATATGTTTGGATTCAACCGCAAGATACATGTAGTTTAACATTATATATTTAATTAATTTCATAGTACCTAACACGACGAAAAAGTTTTTAAAAAGCCTCAAATCTTTGGGGTATAACTTTATAGTACGGTCGCCTGGCATTGAATGCAGTAAATGAAAAGTACCGCTCTGATTGGCCTTTAATCAAAGTGATTGCTTTACACTTCTACAGATATTACTTTGATATCTATCCCAGCGTTATATATCGGTCACATGAAAATAAGAGAATCCAAATTTTCAATGGACAAAATGAACAGACGTACTTTCGGGTGAAGCTACCCAGGCAAGTCCCAATGTTCCCCCAGAAAAGTCTCGCGCCGTAAAGGTGAAGGCCAGGCAGAACTGGTCGTGATCTTCTCGTGACGTCAGATCGAGGAAATTACTGACGTCAATATCCGGGTTACAGAACTGATTAGCCCTCGTAGTGTTACAATTCTCTGACTCGTCGGTCATTACCTGTGGTAACAGAAACAGAAACATCACTGTATGTGTGAGTGACCTTATGGTACAGGCAATATGATCATACAACATTAATAAAGTCACAATCAAAAATAATAACAATAATCCCGAAGTCAACTTCTGTCACCACAGTCCAAACTATTTCGGAACCCCAACCTTAGGGATTTCGGGAATAATCGGCAAATGCGTTATTATATATTTATATTTTTTAAGTTCGAATTAGATTTTATTTCCAAAGCATCTTTTAGGAGGGGTGCCAGGGTTGAGTGCCCCAGTATTACATCACCGGTAGTCAACTAGGCAGGGCGTTTGTGCAGAATCCGTCTTTATTTGAAATTTCTACCAATACCAAAGGTGATATGCTGTCTCTCGCAACACTTAGGGTTTATAGTAGCTATTTATTTATATGTGGTCATTAGCTTTTCATACAAATCTAGATGTTTACCCAATTTCTATCGATTGACCGCCTTGGCTGACTTATAGTGTTTACCTTACGTGACAAATGTATCAGTTTTGTAAACAAAGTATTTACTTTTTACGTAATAACATTTGTGAAATGTGCACCGCAGTAAAATATCGTTGTATATACTCAACAATTGGCGTAGTGAAAAACATCTGTTTGACGTTAAATTAGAGAAAAAAAACACACTCAGAAATTATGTAAGTAGAAAGTGATTTTCAAACGTTTATTTTTTCTTCAACAAAGTATTATTTACATGGGAACTGATCGATAAGTCTGTATTATGTGGCTTGAAATGTTTATCGCAAGGTGTTTTGTACATTTATATTTTGTTAGGCCCATGCATTTTGTATTTCTATAAATATTATTTTGAAAAGAAAAATACAACTTCATGGCCAAATTTCGTAAAAGTTGATAAGCTTAATCACTGTATTACATATTTGAATCTGTAATAATTTTGTCAATAGTTAAGGTAAAAAGCCGAAATTTTGCATGAAGGTTTACTGTACTGAAATGTCTGGAAAGCTTTCATTCAGTTTAAGGTCCTATTTCATTGTTAAAAAAAAATTTGCGCTAATCGCTAGTATTTCTATAAAATAATTGTGCAGGTCATACATGTAGGTAGGGTATTAGTTTTGATATGTACAAGTAGCTTGCACCAAGAACTTCATGAAAACGAGGGTATATGAAAAACATGTTAATGGGAGGGATTCCACAAATCTACTTTCCAGAATAAATAGGAATGTAAACTCGTTCTATGTGATGTAGCGACATAACTATAATCGCCCTGTTTCATTTGTCTTGTTTATGTTCTTTCTATCGTTGTTTGACGTACTCGCAACAACAAGGATAAAATAGAGACGGTTGTCAAGGAGACACCACTGAGAAAATGAATAAGTAAAAAAGAAAAAATATAGAGATCCTTAGCGTTGAATTTTCCATGTCCCGTTAACAGAGGACACAGATTATGCAGTTTCCCATATAAGTAACCTCTCACAACACAATCCATAAGGATACAATAAGTCTATTTCCGGTATTTATATTTACATGGTGCATGCCGCCAATGAAGCAGAAAACGCTTACCCTTCCGGAACACCTGGCCTTATTATCAATGTACATTTTTAAAATGGGTCTCCATGTAAATATTTCCTTTGTTCATAATTTCCCTAGACTTTTTGTTATCGGTATTGTGTTCAAATTATGGTTGATGTTGACACTTTTGTATGTTTATATAGTTTGTTTTTGACATTGCGAATAGTTATTGTAGACTTACCGATGTCCTTTGAACCCTAAACCTGACCCCGATGTAGTAGTAGTCGGTCGGCTGGGTGGGGTACGTTGTAAAGTTGGTCGGATTGTAGATAAGATTTATGGCGGCCACGTGACTGGCAAACATTGCCAGTATTTCGTTCTTGGCTACACTATCATCCTGGAAAAAATACATCATCTGATTGATATAAACGATCTTATAATAGGCTTTGCTTTGTGGAATATGTTTTCAAGTATGGGCAATATCATAAATTAAAACATATAAGCAAAAACTAGAAACAAGACGTCATATTGCCCCCTCTAAAAGATCCAGTAAGTTGTTTAGAGCGATATCGCAAATTTATGAAACCGCGAAAATAAATAGAATAAATACCTATGCCTATATCATCTCAATATTTGAGCCTAATATCATTAGTATGTGTGACAGATGCTTAAAACTACTGACTAACCACCTTATAATGGGTGATCACTCGATGCAACTTACATTTCTCTTGCAACATATATATGAACCATTCTAATGTTCCCGTTTTTATAGTTCTGTTAATGGAATCTTCTTAATTGAGGAAATACAGAGAATGAAAAACAAAAACATAAAAATAATTATTGTTTTGTTAATCTTTAAATAAGAATACTAATTAAATGTATTATATTCGAGAATCATAATAAGTTTTTTGACATGAACAAGCTTTCGTTTCGTGATTGATATCAAACTGCTATTTTTCATTTATATATAAAACCGATTTGACGTAAACATTGTAAAATATATTTTTAATTATTTTCATTTACAAAACAGTCATTAATAGATATGTTGGAATCGACAAAGACCAATATACCAGTAAACAACGTTTAGGCTGATAGCAAATTATAGCATTGACTTTCATTATTGGTTGAAAATTTGATATTTATTAAATTGCTCCTAACATAACTGTATATTCCATTCATAGGTTTCGGTTACGATACGTGACGTCACGTAGTTGTGGCCCTTTTCACCTACCGTGACCTGTTGTTTGATATATCGCCACAAAACTGGGTCAGATCTCAGGTACATGTAGCAAGTATTCTGCGCCCCTAGACGATCTGCCGAGTTGGATTTGGGGACATTTCGTCTCACTCGATCATCCGAGTGTTTGCGTTGTGATGCATTGGAGGGCGTTTTACTGGTATTGTCAGGGGTTATCGCGTCTTCTGTGTCATGCTGTGTAGTTCCTGCCGCGTCACTGTGCCCACTGTTCACAAACCTGCTGTATCGACTTGCCTGAAACAATATGATTTAATAAAAATAATTCTTTATTCATATAAACACTAGAAGATGGTAATTCTAAGCGTTGCTAAACTATTTTATCTTTTATTAAACTCCATCCTGTATTAAACCGTTTATTTTTGACGGATTTAGTATATGTGTTCAATTGAAACTTTGACAGGAGAAATATAGTAACTTCATTATGATGTATCGATTTGTCCAGTGTTGTGAAGGTTTCGTTTTATAAGGTTAACGACCTTTTCACAGCTGAGGCCATTTAAGGATGTGGTTTGGTGTTATTGGGTATAACGTCCTATTAACAGATAAGGCCATTTAAGGAGGTGGTTTGGTGTTATTGGGTATAACGTCCTATTAACAGATAAGGCCATTTAAGGAGGTGGTTTGGTTTTATAGGGTATAACGTCCTATTAACAGCCAAGGTCATTTAAGGACGTGGTTTGGTGTTATTGGGTATAACGTCCTATTAACAGCTAATGCCATTTAAGGAGGTGGTTTGGTGTTCTTGGGTATAACGTCCTATTAACAGCCAAGGTCATTTAAGGACGTGGTTTTGTGGTATTGGGTATAACGTCCTATTAACAGCTAAGTCCATTTAAGGAGGTGGTTTGGTGTTCTTGGGTATAACGTCCTATTAACAGATAATGCCATTTAAGGACGTGGTTTGGTTTTATTGGGTATAACAGATAAGGCCATTTAAGGATGTGGGTTGGTGTTATTGGGTATAACATCCTTTTAACAGCCAAGGCCATTTAAGGACGTGGTTTGGTGTTATTGAGTATAACATCCTATTAACAGCTAAGGCTATTTAAGGACGTGGTTTGGTGTTATTTGGTATAACATCCTGTTAACAGCCAAGGCCATTTAAGGACGTAGTTTGGTGTTGTTGGGTATAACGTCCTATTAACAGCTAAGTCCATTTAAGGAGGTGGTTTGGTGTTATTGGGCATAACGTCCTATTAACAGATAAGGTCATTTAAGGATGTGGTTTGGTGTTATTGGGAATAACGTCCTATTAACAGATAAGGCTATTTAAGGATGTGGTTTGGTGTTATTCGGTATAGCGTCCTATTAACAGATAAGGCCATTTAAGGACGTGGTTTGGTTTTTTTGGGTATAACATCCTATTAACAGCTAAAGCCATTTAAGGACGTGGTTTGGTTTTATTGGGTATAACAGATAAGGCCATTTAAGGACGAGGTTTGGTGTTATTGGGTATAACATCCTTTTAACAGCCAAGGCCATTTAAGGACGTGGTTTGTTGTTATTGGGTATAACGTCCTATTAAAAGATAAGGCCATTTAAGGATGTGGGTTGGTGTTATTGTGTATAACGTCCTATTAACAGATAATGCCATTTAAGGACGTGGTTTGGTTTTTTAGGGTATAACGTCCTATTAACAGCCAAGGTCAGTTAAGGACGTGGTTTGGTGTTATTGAGTATAACATCCTATTAACAGCTAAAGCCATTTAAGGACGTGGTTTGGTTTTTTTGGGTATAACATCCTATTAACAGCTAAGGTCATTTAAGGACGTGGTTTGGTGTTATTTGGTATAACATCCTGTTAACAGCCAAGGCCATTTAAGGACCTGGTTTGGTGTTATTGGGTATAAGGTGTTATTGGGTATAACGTCCTATTAAAAGATAAGGCCATTTAAGGATGTGGCTTGGTGTTATTGGGTATAACGTCATATTAACAGCCAAGGCCATTTAAGGACGTAGTTTGGTGTTGTTGGGTATAACGTCCTATTAACAGATAATGCCATTTAAGGACGTGGTTTGGTTTTTTAGGGTATAACGTCCTATTAACAGCTGAGGCCATTTAAGGATGTGGTTTGGTGCTATTGGGTATAACGTCCTATTAACAGCCAAGGTCATTTAAGGACGTGGTTTTGTGGTATTGGGTATAACGTCCTATTAACAGCTAAGTCCATTTAAGGAGGTGGTTTGGTGTTATTGGGTACAACGTCCTATTAACAGATAAGGCTATTTAAGGATGTGGTTTGGTGTTATTGGGTCTAACATCCTATTAACAGCCAAGGCCATTTAAGGATGTGGTTTGGTGCTATTGGGTATAACGTCCTATTAAAAGATAAGGCCATTTAAGGATGTGGGTTGGTGTTATTGTGTATAACGTCCTATTAACAGATAATGCCATTTAAGGACGTGGTTTGGTTTTATTGGGTATAACATCCTCTTAACAGATAAGGCCATTTAAGGACGAGGTTTGGTGTTATTGGGTATAACATCCTTTTAACAGCCAAGGCCATTTAAGGACGTGGTTTGGTTTTTTAGGGTATAACGTCCTATTAACAGCTAATGCCATTTAAGGAGGTGGTTTGGTGTTATTGGGTACAACGTCCTATTAACAGATAAGGCAATTTAAGGATGTGGTTTGGTGTTATTTGGTATAACATCCTGTTAACAGCCAAGGCCATTTAAGGACGTGGTTTGGTTTTATTGGGTATAACAGATAAGGCCATTTAAGGATGTGGGTTGGTGTTATTGTGTATAACGTCCTATTAACAGATAATGCCATTTAAGGACGTGGTTTGGTTTTTTTGGGTATAACATCCTATTAACAGCTAAAGCCATTTAAGGACGTGGTTTGGTTTTATAGGGTACAACGTCCTTCAAAGAGCCAAGGCCATTTAAGGGCATGGTTTGGTTTTATTAGGTTGAACGTCAGCTTAAGGTTCATCAAGCCCCTTAAGATGCTGTAGTCACCTAAACTTTCAACCTATTAACAGATAAGGCCATTTATGGATGTGGTTTGGTGTTATTGGGAATAACGTCCTATTAACAGATAAGACCATTTAAGGAGGTGGTTTGGTTTTATAGGGGATAACGTCCTATTAACAGCCAAGGCCATTTAAGGACGGGGTTTGGTGTTATAGGGTATAACGTCCTATTAACAGCCAAGGTCAGTTAAGGACGTGGTTTGGTGTTATTGAGTATAACATCCTATTAACAGCTAAGGCTATTTAAGGACGTGGTTTGGTGTTATTGAGTATAACATCCTATTAACAGCTAAGGCTATTTAAGGACGTGGTTTGGTGTTATTTGGTATAACATCCTGTTAACAGCCAAGGCCATTTAAGGACGTGGATTGGTTTTATAGGGTATAACGTCCTATTAACAGCTAAGGCCATTTAAGGAGGTGGTTTGGTGTTCTTGGGTATAACGTCCTATTAACAGATAATGCCATTTAAGGACGTGGTTTGGTTTTATTGGGTATAACAGATAAGGCCATTTAAGGACGTGGTTTCGTGTTATTTGGTATAACATCCTATTAACAGCTAAGGCTATTTAAGGACGTGGTTTGGTGTTATTGAGTATAACATCCTATTAACAGCTAAAGCCATTTAAGGACGTGGTTTGGTTTTATTGGGTATAACATCCTATTAACAGCTAAGGCCATTTAAGGACGTGGTTTGGTGTTATTTGGTATAACATCCTATTAACAGCCAAGGCCATTTAAGGACGTAGTTTGGTGTTATTGGGTATAACGTCCTATTAACAGCCAAGGCCATTTAAGGATGTGGTTTGGCGTTATTGGGTATAACGTCCTATTAACAGATAAGGCCATTTAAGGACGTGGGTTGGTGTTATTGGGTATAACATCCTATTAACAGATAAGGCCATTTAAGGACGTGGTTTGATGTTATTGGGTATAACGTCCTATTAACAGATAATGCCATTTAAGGACGTGGTTTGGTTTTATTGGGTATAACATCCTATTAACAGATAAGGCCATTTAAGGATGTGGTTTGGTGTTATTTGGTATAACATCCTATTAACAGCCAAGGCCATTTAAGGACGTAGTTTGGTGTTGTTGGGTATAACGTCCTATTAACAGATAATGCCATTTAAGGACGTGGTTTGGTTTTATTGGGTATAACATCCTATTAACAGATAAGGCCATTTAAGGACGTGGTTTGGTGTTATTGGGTATAACGTCCTATTAACAGATAAGGCCATTTAAGGACGTGGTTTGGTGTTATTGGGTATAACGTCCTATTAACAGCCAAGGCCATTTAAGGATGTGGTTTGGCGTTATTGGGTATAACGTCCTATTAACAGATAAGGCCATTTAAGGAGGTGGTTTGGTGTTATTGGGTATAACGTCCTATTAACAGATAATGCCATTTAAGGATGTGGTTTGGTGTTATTGGGTATAACGTCCTATGAACAGATAAGGCCATTTAAGGATGTGGTTTGGTGTTATTTGGTATAACATCCTATTAACAGCCAAGGCCATTTAAGGATGTGGTTTGGCGTTATTGGGTATAACGTCCTATTAACAGATAAGGCCATGTAAGGACGTGGTTTGGTTTTAAAGGGTAAAAAGTCCTATTAACAGCTAAAGCCATTTAAGGACGTGGTTTGGTTTTATAGGGTACAACGTCCTTTAAAGAGCCAAGGCCATTTAAGGGCATGGTTTGGTTTTATTAGGTTGAACGTCAGCTTAAGGTTCATCAAGCCCCTTAAGATGCTGTAGTCACCTAAACTTTCAACCCCCTGATAGGTCATATTCAAAGACCTCAGTTAAAAATCGGAACTTATATATGTTACTTGTACATATTGAACTTGTTCATTGGCTATACAAAAATATACATAGCCAGGTTAACGTAGTCTAAACAAGGCATTAAGGCTGATGTCTCCATAAAGATAGCTCACTGGACTTTTAATCAATCTCATTTGCGATCCAACTGAGTGCTGAGAAATGACCCTTTATTTAAAGTTTATTTATATACCTAGGTCATGCGGGGCTTTATTTCTCTTCTACTAGCTGTTGAGAGGAATTCCGACCTCAAATAGATGTTGCCGTGCGAAACCACTAAAATCATAGTAAACTCCCCTGGTAATACATATAGGCAATTTATAAATAAGAAAACAAAGGCTAGGAAACCTTGATCGATAAATGAACTTTAGATGATGTGCCATTCGTATCATTCTGTGATAAACATTGAAGCTAAAAAATACCATAATGTTTATAACAAGTCTAGCTTTTTATAAAAGCATTGAATGTTAAGAAAGGAGATTTTATATGAAGTTTAGGTAGTGTTTATAGTCAAAGGTATATGGTTTTACACATATGTATATCGGTAAAATATGTTACGCGGGCGTTTTGCTGTGATTTTTGTACTTTCCCATAGCAACAACCATCTTTTTTGTGAGGCCGGTATGCCTCTCCGCACATAGTTAAAGAGAAAGAAAGCCCCGCATGACCTAGGTATATAAACAATCTTCAAATAACATGTCATTTCGTAACATTCAGTTTGGTCGCTTAAGAGATGAACATGTTATAGATCTGGTGAGCAACATTTATCACTACATAAGCCTTAATGCCGTGTTTTTTCACCGTTTACCTGGTTATGTACCTTTTTAATAGGTCTTGTACAAGTTCAATATATTTAAATTACATACATTTTCCGATTTTTGATAAGATATTTGAATATGACGTGCCAGGGGGTTGAAATTTTGGGTGACTATTACATCTTTTAGGGGGCTTGTTGAACCTTAAGTGGTGGTTTTGTTTGGTCTTAGCTTGTTTAGCGTCCTATTAACTGCTAAGGTGATTTAAGGACGTGCGCATGATAAATTCGTGCGTGTTTGTATGTTAGTTGGGTATATTGGTGTATTTGTTTTCACTGCGATAGCGTATACAGATGCCAAATTTCAGAAATAATACTCAGGCCCAAAAGTGAAGTATTGGGAAAACAAGGCATTAGGAGACAAAAAAGGCTGTAGAGGACACAGAAGCTAATCACGAATCATGTAGGGAACTCCCACATAAGTTGCCTCGAAAAGGAATATATTAGGAAACTGCTTCAAAAAATGTAGAAAAGTTGACAGTGAACTGCCTTGGTGTATCGAGGTTTTACTGAAAGCATGAAAATAATTACATAATTGAGAGTATTTTTTCCCATTTTGTTGTGACATTAAGTAATCTGTTTTAGTTTTTGATAGACAATCAATATAAAAAAAATGGTAGAACTGAGCACAAGAATATCAAATTGTTCACGTAATCTCTTTAGACTAGGTTACAAGTACACAGTTAAAAAAAATCGACAATTACAAAAAGGTAGAATATATTTAAGTATTGCAAAAAAACATCAATCTAGAAATATTTGAGAGAAACGGAGTAAGTTAAGTGATTTATGAAAAATGATGGACCTGTGTAAATGATATTACATTTGGTTTGATTAAACAGATTTTATTTGTCAAGCATCAAAGACGATTAAGATTAAGCACAAGTATTCATAACATAGAAACACTCTCTGAAAACGTCATCTCTCTAGCAACGACATCTCCCTAGCAACGTCACTTCAGTAGCACCATAGCAATGTCATCTCCCTAGAGACGCTGTCTATAAGGAAACGCCATATATACAATCTCTGTAGAAACGCCATCTCCCTAGGAACACCATCTTTCTATAAAACCATATACTCAAAAGAGCTGACTGCAGACATCAAGTTAACGATAAACCTCGGGGACTTAGTTTATATTAAAAGATGAATTTAACACACGCACAAATGATTAAGTTCTATCTTCCTATAAACGTCACCACCCTAGCAACGACATTTCCCTAAAAACGTCACTTAAGCAAATCTTTCATTTCTATAGAAATGTCATCTCCCTTAAAACGTCATCTTCCTACAAACATCATCTCCCTCGGTAATAGGTATTGTAAACACTTATGCATAATGTCTTGATATTTACTTTAAACATTAAAAGTCATCACTTATTAACAGATAAGTAAATGTGTGTTACACAACTACGTCAAACTGATTATACACGTTACATTAACATTGTAAAGATTTAGCAACTGTCAAATTGTAATGCATATAAACTGTACTTTTGAATGAGAATCACATGGAAGGTTTAAGCTGTTTTATCTGATCATTAACACAGGGAATATAGACATCCTTGTGATGCTGCATGCTCGAATATAGCACTAAACACGATTATATAGAACAGATCTATTTTTGTTTCACTAAACTTTTCTTTTGTTAAACCCCAATAAAACCTGCACGAGAGATGACGTTACCTTATTGTTGTTACGGTCAGCTTCTGGAGTTGATCTCTGATCCATCCACTGCCGATGTCTGTCCACACCACATGTCCCGACCCCCGGGGCTCGACGATGTCTGACAATGTGTAATGTTTAAACAAATCAATTTCGAAGTTAAAAAATAAACGAAATATCTATTTAATTAGACAGTAATATAATATAGATTATTAACGCGTTTTAATGATACTGTATATTATGCGTGTTTTAACGAGATTACTCACGTGTTTTAACGAGATTACTAACGCGTTTTAACGAGATTACTAACGTGTTTTAACGAGATTACTAACGTGTTTCATTGAGATTACTAACGCGTTTTAACGAGATTACTAACGCGTTTTAACGAGATTACTAACGCCTTTTAACGAGTTAACTAACGTGTTTTAACTTGTTAGTAGATGCCTTATCGCATTAAAACGTGATACCTAACGTGTTTCAACGAGATTACTAACGTGTTTTAACGAGATTACTAACGCGTTTTAACGAGATTACTAACGCGTTTTAACGAGATTACTAACGTGTTTTAACGAGATTACTAACGTGTTTTAATGAGATTACTAACGTGTTTTAACGAGATTACTAACGCCTTTTAACGAGCTAACTAACGTGTTTTAACTTGGTAGTAGATGCCTTATCGCATTAAAACGTGATATCTAACGCGTTTTAACGAGCTAGTTAACGCCAGTTTTCAAAAGATATTAACATACATCTAAAAAATATTTGCCTTAAATTTTTAAAAGACTTTTAAGAACCCTATTTTAGCTAGAGCTTTTGTCGATAAATCTAGGATCTCTACTGACCGGTATGGGTCGAGGTTGACATGGTCACTCTTGTAAATGACCGAGTGGTAGGGTACGACTTGTCCGGCTGGGAGAAACCTCCGGACATGTTCAATGTGGTAAACAGTGCCGTCTCCGAGAACCAGGAATCCCCGGAACACTCCGTCTAGTACACTGCCGTGCACGTAGGAAGCAGGATCTCCTAGAAAACAATTAATTCAAACTATATCTATATGTTGTATACTGTAAAAGTGGAAATTTTCGCGTGTTGAAATGTTCGCCTTCTGACTCTTTAATCTCACCGGTGTGTGGAAATGTTCGTGTTGGCAATGATTATGATATAAAAATATACATTGTATGTAACTCCATTCTTTAGATAAATATTCGCGTGTGGATATTTCCACGATATTTTACTCCACGGGAAAAACGATTTTTTTTATTATCTGACAGGATATAAATGTATAAAGAAAAAACATGAAAAAAAATGTATAAGTATTACGAAATATAACAAGATAACATGGTATTAATGAATACTATAATTACATTATTATAAAATGTAATAGATACCACCGGGGCGAATAGTTTTGAATTTATTGGAAGCGTATTTGAGCTTATATACAATCGTTTGATAAACCCTAAGAGTTTAAGGTTATACACAAACTTTGATAAGTCCTAAACTTTCCTTTTTAATTTTCAATTTTATTTATTTCATTACTGTGAGAAGACTAAGATGAGAGACTGGATGTTATATATTTATAACTGACCTTTGACCTTGCCCGTGTATACAAAAGATATATCTGCAGGGTACGTAGATCCATTGGTGTGTTGTAGTACAAAGTCTGGTGTAAATATAGAATCATCCGGAACCAGCTCTAACTGGAAGTCCCTGGAAATGATAAAGTATGGAAGAAAATTGCATCAATCCTCCAAAAGGATGTATATATTCCCGCTTGAATGAAGAATAATTATATTTCAATTATTTCTCTTTCCCGAAAAAGTTTATGACGTCATGTAACTATAACGGAGATATAATAAGCATCATTATCTCCAAAAAACCCCACAGATATGTCTGATGAAGCACAAGAAGGAAGAAAATGTTAGCGGTTAGTTTTGTGTGTCTGTTTTCTTATTATTTATAAGGAAGTCAGACTAATTGATATATGTCAAGGTCACCTTAATGTTGAAATCAATATATTATATTTTGGGTTCATTCCGAGCGTAGCAAACTTATCTGATTTTAAGTCAATCAGTCAATATTTAACATATGTATACCTTAGTGACGTCATACTTATATTTTTTTATTGAAACTGCCATGACAAGTCGGTTGACTTGCCCTTCAGAATGAATCTACGTGATTTAATGTAACAGATTTGATAATTTGTTATCCCAGCAAATTAGTGGCAAAATTTCACAACTCTAGACCTAGTTAAGACTTCCAGAGGACGTGGTTTCAACTTCACCCATATGAGCAAAACGTTTCGCAATATCAAATATTGTAGACATTCGATAGGCTCTCCCACTATCAGGAGACACCCTTATAGCATGGCTTTCTGCCTCTTCGTTGTTCAGGAACAAAAGGAGATTTTAACACGTTTGAATCTGCGGACCTTTTATTAATTTCCGGTCTCGCGAGATCTCCCTTTTACTTTTTGGATACTGTTTCCTGTATGTTTATATCATTGATAAGTCATTGCCGAAAATAAAAACACACCTTCCAGAACTAGTATGAAGAAGTAATCAACTTCAGTGATCTTACGCAAGAAACAGAAAATAACAACAACAGTGTTTTGCCGAACAAGCAAAAAATAATCAAAAACAGTGTTCTCATGAAACAAACAAAAATAAAGAACAATTGCCCTACAGTTAATAATATCCAAAAGTAAAGGGAGATTATTGTACGTACGAACGTCCGTGGAATTCTTTAGTATATATATTTGTTTGCGCTATATGAGTCGGAATTAGTACAGCGTCAGCAGTAACCAAATAGACCACATTTGTATAGTTTTGTGCAATTTTAAATAGGACCAGTGAGGATTGTCATTTGTATGCAAAATATGTTCATGCTTAAAATGTTTCCAATTAAAGAAAATTAAAATTTGAAGAATGGTTTGGAAATGAAGTGTTTGCAACTTTTTCATTGTCGTAGTATGCTGTTATCATGAAAACATCTAAATCAGGGGAGCATGACGGCAAACAACTCGAAAGAGCTGTCAAGGTTTCCTTTTGTCGAGGTCAGGGATACGTTTCAAATATAAGGCCAATTGGTTTCATATTGTGCACAGAAAGTCCATAAATGACTTAGATGTAAAACTATTGACATTATTAAAAGAAATTACCCATGAACACCTTTTATAGCCACTTATTCATTTATTTGAGTTGCTTTTAAACCTTAAGTGAACAAACGACAATTCCTAGAATTTAGGGTTCTTGTGCGGTAGGTAGAGATTTTCCCCGAATTTTTCACGAAAACTGCCCAGGTTGTGAGATGTTTACTATTCCGTTTATAGAGCTGACAAAAGGTCACATGCAGCTTTGCTTTAAATACTTCCAATTTCTATTATCAAATTAAAAAATACGGGAGTATCTTACCTCTTGTAAGCGTTGAATTTGAATATTAAGTGACGTTGTGTACTCGAACGCCTGAAACGTAGGTGGCGCTGATGTAAAGTATCGGTGTCGTAATGAAGCTCTTCATACTGTGTAATATAATCATCTAGCTGCTTGCCTTGGGAGGCTAAAATAGAAAACATAAGATTGGTTGGTTGCATATTTAACGTCCTATTAACAGCTAAGGTCATTCAAGGACGTGCCTCCATGCGTGTTATGCATGGTGAATGTATAACACAATGTATGTGAAATAGAAAAAACATAAGATTGGTTGGTTTATATGGATTAACGTCCTATCATCCTCTAAGGTTATTTAAGGACGTGCCTCCATGTGTAAGCGTGCATGTGTGTCTGTGTGCCAGAGCAGGGTGTGTTGGTGTATTTGCCTCCTTGTGATAGCGCGGATCTGATGCTGACTTTAGAGTGCTACCTCGATATACCACCCGGCCACATTATACTGACAACGGGTAAACCAGTTATTGCCATTACCCTAAATGCTAAACGTTAACCAGGGGATAACAACTACATATTGTTTAAGGACTTTGGTATGTCCCGGCCTGGGACAGAACCCATTGTCTTCCTAACCTGGGCGAGCATTCAACATTAAAGACAAACGTGAGGTGTTGTCAAGCAAGGCGCTAGACAATTTTAAGGACTTTGGACCCGCTACCTACCCTTCTATTTGCGAACGCTGATCACCAGTCAAAAGTGAAGTATTACCAAGCGAGGCTCTAGGAAAGAAAAGGTTGTTAGGAAGTATAGAGAAAATATGAAGATCCCAAATGTTGATTTGGGAGGAGCAGATCTTTTGTGGTTTCTTCAATGGGAGCTTTGAAGAAGACACAGAAGAAATGTATCCCCCGATTATGCAGGGGCTCCCACATTGGTCGCCTTTTACGGGTCCGAGTGGGTTCGAGCCACGGCACGGCACTGTGTTGTATCTTTGAGCAAGATAGTTTACTCCGCTTGTTCCAGTCTACTCAGCTGTAAATGAGTACGTGGTTGGGCAGTGCTAGAATTGTTGAATGCTAGCTGTAAGCGCCGAAATGGCAGCATCGGCTGTATGCTCACCAGGGAGTTGAGAAAGATATTGGCTGGTTGTAAAAGGCCCTATAACCACGGATAATAATATGTAAACTGCTTTGAGACGACCTACGAACTAGGTTGTGGCGGTATATAAGAACCGCTTTGAGACGACCTACGAACTAGGTTGTGGCGGTATATAAGAACCGCTTTGAGACGACCTACGAACTAGGTTGTGGCGGTATATAAGAACCGCTTTGAGACGACCTACGAACTAGGTTGTGGCGGTATATAAGAACCGCTTTGAGACGACCTACGAACTAGGTTGTGGCGGTATATAAGAACCGCTTTGAGACGACCTACGAACTAGGTTGTGGCGGTATATAAGAACCGCTTTGAGACGACCTACGAACTAGGTTGTGGCGGTATATAAGAACCGCTTTGAGACGACCTACGAACTAGGTTGTGGCGGTATATAAGAACCGCTTTGAGACGACCTACGAACTAGGTTGTGGCGGTATATAAGAACCGCTTTGAGACGACCTACGAACTAGGTTGTGGCGGTATATAAGAACCGCTTTGAGACGACCTACGAACTAGGTTGTGGCGGTATATAAGAACCGCTTTGAGACGACCTACGAACTAGGTTGTGGCGGTATATAAGAACCGCTTTGAGACGACCTACGAACTAGGTTGTGGCGGTATATAAGAACCGCTTTGAGACGACCTACGAACTAGGTTGTGGCGGTATATAAGAACCGCTTTGAGACGACCTACGAACTAGGTTGTGGCGGTATATAAGAACCGCTTTGAGACGACCTACGAACTAGGTTGTGGCGGTATATAAGAACCGCTTTGAGACGACCTACGAACTAGGTTGTGGCGGTATATAAGAACCGCTTTGAGACGACCTACGAACTAGGTTGTGGCGGTATATAAGAACCGCTTTGAGACGACCTACGAACTAGGTTGTGGCGGTATATAAGAACCGCTTTGAGACGACCTACGAACTAGGTTGTGGCGGTATATAAGAACCGCTTTGAGACGACCTACGAACTAGGTTGTGGCGGTATATAAGAACCGCTTTGAGACGACCTACGAACTAGGTTGTGGCGGTATATAAGAACCGCTTTGAGACGACCTACGAACTAGGTTGTGGCGGTATATAAGAACCGCTTTGAGACGACCTACGAACTAGGTTGTGGCGGTATATAAGAACCGCTTTGAGACGACCTACGAACTAGGTTGTGGCGGTATATAAGAACCGCTTTGAGACGACCTACGAACTAGGTTGTGGCGGTATATAAGAACCGCTTAGAGACGACCTACGAACTAGGTTGTGGCGGTATATAAGAACCGCTTTGAGACAACCTACGAAATAGGTTGTGGCGGTATATAAGAACCGCTTACAGACGACCTACGAGCTAGGTTGTGGCGGTTTATAAGAACCGCTTTGAGACGACCTACGAACTAGGTTGTGGCGGTTTATAAGAACCGCTTTGAGACGGCCTACGAACTAGGTTGTGGCGGTATATAAGAACTGCTTTGAGACGACCTACGAACTAGGTTGTGGTGGTATATAAGAACCGCTTAGAGACGACCTACGAGCTAGGTTGTGGCGGTTTATAAGACCCGCTTTGAGACGACCTACGAACTAGGTTGTGGCGGTTTATAAGAACCGCTTTGAGACGGCCTACGAACTAGGTTGTGGCGGTATATAAGAACCGCTTATAGACGACCTACGAGCTAGGTTGTGGCGGTATATAAGAACCTCCGACCTACGAACTAGGTTGTGGCGGTATATAAGAACCGCTTTGAGACAACCTACGAAATAGGTTGTGGCGGTATATAAGAACCGCTTAGAGACGACCTACGAGCTAGGTTGTGGCGGTATATAAGAACCTCGAATTATTATTAATATTATTACGACATGCAATGTGATACAGAGGCCATTTTCATTCCCCGAACCTGTAGTATTCGAACACATTAGAGTTTTGAAATTAATATATATAACAGTTAACATCAAGACGTCGAATAGATTGAAATTCGAAAGTCGGCGATATTTTCGGACAGTTGGTTGATTTTTTTTTTTTTTCTGTGAACGGAAAACTTCCTTTTCTGTAGAGCACTTTTATGAATTGAAACGACATCAATCTGTTTTGCACCCATGCAGTAAATTTGCCTTGTCCCTTTTTGTTTTGATAGACGTTGTTATCCTTTTTTAACTATATGACCTAAAATATACCTAAAATATAACAAACCAAAAGAGTAAAACGATTTTCATATTGTCTGAACAGTTTATGACGTCGTTAAATAAGCAGTGTGATAATTTCGTTTGCTGTCGACCCTGTACCAACATTTAAAATGTAGGGCTTTCCCAAAATGATTTCTCTGTACGGGCACGTTAAACGTCTCTGTAATGTCTTACACACAGGTGGCTTAAGGCTCAAAGAGACTCACAAAATATGATGTTTGAATCCTACCTTTAAACCCCAAGATGTTTCATATTTAAAGACCCCAATCAAGCATTGAAATTCAGATATATCATTGGATAGATAACGTATAGAATGTGACTTTCAGTTATTTACTTGATACATGGCGAATTTGGTATAAGTTTTAAGTATTATAAGTATCCACGATAAGATAAAGCTTGGAGGCACGGTAGTCTAGTAGTAGGACGCCGGGCTCGTTACAGAAGTGGTTCGAGTCACGTCACGGCACTATGTTGTATCTTTGAACAAGAATACTTTAAACCACTTGTTCTAGTCTACTCAGCTGTAAATGAGTACGTGGCTGGGCAGTGCTAGAATTGTAGAATGCTAGCTTAAGCGTCGGAATGGCAGCACCGACTGTATGCTCCCGTGGGAGTTGAGAAAGATATTGGCTGGTTGCAAAGGCCACTTAACCACGGATAATAATTTATGAACCGCATTGAAACGACCTATGAACTAGGTTGTGATAAAGCGGTATATAATAACCTCGAATCATTTTTATTATTTTTATTCAAAAGATAACCTTCAATTCCAAATGTTTTTAATCTATGTAAAAGTAATACAAGACTTACCTTGTCAAGTACCTGCACAAATGGCACGAACTTCATTTAGATTTTAATGAAGAATTCGGGAGTGACAAAAGGTCCCCGGTATTACGAAGTGTATTGACATATATAGCTTTCTTATGGAGTTACTAGTTGCTACGTCATTGTTTTTCTCCTGCACGTCAGCAAATTGTGTGTATAATGTCCAAGGCAGTATACTTGTCAAATTACGATGGAAAGATGTAAGCATTGTGATATTAAAATGTGACCATTTTACAAAAGTTAAAAGTGTATGCGTCATTTATGGCTGACGTCGGTTCAATATCATTTTTTTAGAATATTTTTTTTTTATACAATATTTGTTTTCCTGATAACGTAGCTTATCTCTTTAAGTTAAGCGTTCTTGTGAATTACATTTAACTATTGATTGGAGTGATAAACGTACCCCACCTCAAGATACTAGATTGTTACCAAGATAACTGAACAGCTGATTTGAACTTCCTGTTTGAGTGTAAATGTCTAAACTTTTTTCATGATACTTGAAATAACTTATATAAACAAAAAAACTTTAACTCATGAATTCTATAACCTTTGCACATAAAGGACAGCATGGAAAATAAAACAAAAGAGGGTGTGTGTACGTGTAAACGTATATATCAGTTTGTAACTGTTACATGAAGGCATGGACACGAATGTGTGTGCATATGAAAATATAAAAATAAAGAAAGTGTGTGTACGTGTGAACTTATATCAATTTGTAACTGTTACAAAAAGGTCTGGACACGAATGTGTGTGCATATGTGCTTTTCCATAAATAATACAAGTACCAACAGACAAAAGTAACAAAATGGGTGTTTGTGAGTGTACGTGTGTTATTATGTAAATGTGACTAGAGAACGTGGACAATATTAATACAATATGTTTGTGTGTACACTATTAATACAATGATTGTGTGTAAAATATTAATACAATATGTTTGTGTGCAATTCTGTACATATTACAAGAAGGCGTGGACAATTTTGATACAATATATTTGTGTGTACAATACTAATACAATATGTTTGTGTGCAATTTTGTAAATATTGCAAGAAGGCGTGGACAATATTAATACAATATGTTTGTGTGTAATTCTGTACATACTACAAGAAGACGTGGACAATTTTGATACAATATATTTGTGTGTACAATACTAATACAATATGTTTGTGTGCAATTTTGTTAATATTGCAAGAAGACGTGGACAATATTAATACAATATGTTTGTGTGTACACTATTAATACAATATGTTTGTGTGTACACTATTAATACAATGATTGTGTGTAAAATATAAATATAATATGTCTGTGTGTACACTATTAATACAATATGATTGTGTGTAAAATATTAATACAATATGTTTGTGTGTACACTATTAATACAATATGTTTGTGTGTACATGTGTACACTATTAATACAATATGTCTGTGTGTAAAATATTAATACAATATGTCTGTGTATACACTATTAATACAATGTGTCTGTGTGTACACTATTAATACAATATGTTTGTGGGTACACTATTAATACAATGATTGTGTGTAAAATATTAATCCAATATGTCTGTGTGTACACTATTAATACAATATGATTGTGTGTAAAATATTAATACAATATGTTTGTGTGCAATTCTGTACATATTACAAGAAGGCGTGGACAATATTAATACGATATGCTTGTGTGTAATTCTGTACATATTACAAGAAGGCGTGGACAATTTTGATACAATATATTTGTGTGTACAATACTAATACAATATGTTTGTGTGCAATTTTGTTAATATTGCAAGAAGACGTGGACAATATTAATACAATATGTTTGTGTGTACACTATTAATACAATATGTCTGTGTGTACACTATTAATACAATATGATTGTGTGTACACTATTAATACAATATGATTGTGTGTAAAATATTAATACAATATGTTTGTGTGCAATTCTGTACATATTACAAGAAGGCGTGGACAATTTTGATACAATATATTTGTGTGTACAATACTAATACAATATTTTTGTGTGCAATTTTGTAAATATTGCAAGAAGACGTGGACACTTCTGATACAATATATTTGTGTGTACAATACTAATACAATATGTTTGTGTGCAATTTTGTTAATATTGCAAGAAGACGTGGACAATATTAATACAATATGTTTGTGTGTAATTCTGTACATACTACAAGAAGACGTGGACACTTCTGATACAATATATTTGTGTGTACAATACTAATACAATAAGTTTGTGTGCAATTTTGTAAATATTGCAAGAAGACGTGGACAATATTAATACAATATGTTTGTGTGTAATTCTGTACATACTACAAGAAGACGTGGACAATTTTGATACAATATATTTGTGTGTACAATACTAATACAATATGTTTGTGTGCAATTTTGTAAATATTGCAAGAAGGCGTGGACAATATTAATACAATATGTTTGTGTGTAATTCTGTAGATATTACAAGAAGACGTGGACAATACTTAAACAATATGTTTGTGTGTAATTCTGTACATATTACAAGAAGGCGTGGACAATATTAATACGATATGCTTGTGTGTAATTCGGTAAATATTACAAGAAGGTGTGGACAATACTAATACAATATCTTTTTGTGTAATTCTGTACATATAACAATATGTTTGTGTGTACACTATTAACACAATATGTTTGTGTGTACACTATTTATACAATATGTTTGTGTGTACATTATTTATACAATATATTTGTGTGTACACTATTAACACAATATGTTTGTGTGTACACTATTAATACAATATGTTTGTGTGTACATTATTAACACAACATGTTTGTGTGTATACTATTAACACAATATATTTGTGTGTACATTATTAATACAATATGTTTGTGTGTACACTATTAACACAATATATTTGTGTGTAATTCTGTAAATGTTACAAGGTGGTTTGGCTATTTTCATACAGAATATATGTAAACGTGTTTTATATTATTTTTTAAAATGGTACAGGTAGGACGCGACAATGTCATACAATGTTTACATGTATATCTGATTAACAGTACAGGTAGTGACAATAAAGCACTCCACACTCCCCTAGTACCTTGTTCTAGCGTTGGTCTATTTCCATCACGTGACCCCATAAAAAGCTTTACGGTGCCAAAAGGAGTTTTCAGAGGGAACTTTAGAAAAGTTAAATGTACATTTCTATCATGTTGTAAGCTAGGTATGGGATCTATCTGCAACAGATACATTGTGTTGTTTGTCTCTGATATCGAAAGGAACTGGTGGTTAATAAGTAGTTATAACTTGTTTTGAAGCACAGACAAAATATGTTGACAAAAGTACTAATATCATAATGAAATGTGTTTTAAGGTTCTCACAAACCAATGTACATACCGAAGATATAAACTGTTTGTCAAACCAATCAACATCGATATCAAAGTTATGCTGAACATATATATGATTATACTTCATCTGTATAACAGCGTGCCTGTTTGGTATGACGAGTTTCCCGGTCATATTTCACAAATGAGCAGGGCCCGTATTCATGAAACCGTACTCATGCTCAAGCATGGATTCTGTGCTCAAAGCAATTTTCTAATAACTCACTTAAATCATGTCAAACGATCCAAAAGTCAAATGTAAAGATTGAAAACAGTTTTCGGGCTTAAGTCTCTTCAATATTTTTTCTAAACCATTGACAAAATAAGATTTTTTATTAATTTATAACGAAAACAAGAAATTCGGATTGAGCACAAAATCCATGCTTGAGCATGAGAACGGTTTCATGAATACGGGCCCAGGTTTCACCAGTCGAGGGCTGCAATGATATACCATACCTTACAAAATATACTCTGACAGCATTTACATATATAATTAAGTCTATGACAAAACTCTGTAAAATCCTGTAATCAATCATTATGAAGCTGACCTTTTGGGTAGATAACTGCATCGTATCGTAAGCATCGTACCGTGATACGTATCGTATCGTAAGCATCGTACCGTGATACGTTTCGTATCGTTAGCATCGTACCGTGATACGTTTCGTATCGTTAGCATCGTACCGTGATACGTATCGTATCGTAAGCATCGTACCGTGATACGTATCGTATCGTAAGCATCGTACCGTGATACGTATCTTACTACAATGTATGGGGTATGCGTATCGTTGCAGCCCTAGACACATCACATCCGAATTCAAAGTGAAGCAGTCGAAATCGATGGCGCGTTAACTTTACCGTCTTTATAGTTGTGGTACTGTCTTATTTCGTTATAATAAATCATGTATTGTCTTTTTAAAAGGGAAATAGGACGCTGCCCTGGTGAAACAGGATTCATCTGGGGTAAACAAAAATCGAGTTTCCCTACAACAAGGGCAATAACTGTGTAATATCCGTTCTCTATATGTACGTGTGTAATTCTTATGTTACCCGTGTAAGTAGAATTAACGTTAGTTCTCATGTCTCTCCAATAACGTCTTTAGGTTTCATTATTTCATGACATTTTGAACAATTTCAGTATATGTATGGAATGATGGTGTTAGCTTATTGATGAGGATAGTACTGCTATCTAATCTTGCCCTTCTTCATTTACCTTCGTGTTATAGGAGAATCTATCTAACTCACAATGTTCGTGGAATAAATTTCTGTATAAAAGAAAGAATATCACTAAAATTGAAACTCAGCATAATAAATCACCCTTTGAATATCCATTGTATTATAATCAAATTTCGTTGTACACCAATCCACACAGTAACGGTAACACATACTGAAATCACACCTGTCCTGAAAATACCCGAACGTAGAAACCATATTTCTTACCTGTAATCTCACACCAAAGTCCAATCAACATGAACAGGAAATAATTGAGAATGTCCATTATTCCTAATTAAATTCTGTTAGGCCTGGATCCTGTGACAAACAATCGTACGATTATACCCCGGATCTCGCTGTATATATGGATCAATACCATTGTTTATTTTTGTTTCCGGGTTAGACTTTTGACTGATAACGGTCGACCCCTATACCCCTTATCTCACGTCACTGTACGCAAGCTATGGAAGACGATACGTAGCATAAGCGTCATATCAGTGACGTCACTTCAAGTATGGAAGCCTGTTAGTTCAAGGGTTAACCAACTGTCTGTTGTTTTATCATTATTACGGCCCATGCGCATCAGCAGGCATAGCACTTTAGCTGATTCGTGTAAGCACATTGCTCCGTTTACGCTCACAAAAAGACAGGAATCAATAAAACATTATTCTCGTTGTTTCGTCTTTCGACCCGAAAAGACGAGACTCAACAAACATAAATCCTCGTTGAACGAGAATGAAAAGTTACTAAATCTCGTCTTTTCGGGACAAAACGACGAAACAACGAAGTGGCTCAAATCATCCACCGTAGATATCCTGAAGCCATGCAATACGCTTAGAAATGGGTATACACTGAAAGAAGTGCAAAAACTAAAATACAGCTTGTGACCCGATTTTAGCATATTTGACTCCATCAGCCTGTGACCTTATTTTAACATATCTGAACCCCTCGCCGTGACCTTATTTTTTTTTTAACATATTTGACCCCTTCAGTCTGTGACCTTATTTTTTTACATATTTGATTCCCCTCAGCCTAGGACCTTATTTTAACAATTTGACCCCTTCAAAAGTCGACCTTATTTCAACATATCTTCCCCCTTCAGCCTGTGACGTTATTTTGACATGTTTGACCCCCTCAGCCTGTGACGTTATTTTAACATGTTTGACCCCATGAGCCATGTGACCTAATTTTAACATATTTGACCCACTCGCCGCGACCTTATTTTAACATATTTGACCCCTTCAGTCTGTGACTTTTTTTTTTTTTTTTTTTTACATATTTGATTCCCCTCAGCCTGGGACCTTATTTTAGCAATTTGACCCCTTCAAAAGTCGACCTTATTTCAACATATCTTACCCCTTCAGCCTGTGACGTTATTTTAACATGTTTGACCCACTCAGCCTGCATGCTACTGCTCATCCCAGCATGCTACTGGCTAAATACCCTCACTCTTTGCCTTTTGGTTATTAAGAAGTTGTTTAAATAAAATATTTGATGCTGGACGGCCAGACATATGGACAGACCACGGACAATACACTACGGCCAGGTGAGCTGATAATACACCAATTCTCTCAATACACTAAAGTAAACATGGGACTTAATATATATAAACCCATTGATATGGAAGAAAAAACACTCAAATAAAATAACAGAGTAAAATATGTTTTATCAAAGAAATAATATCTGATAAGTGCAAGTGCACTTGTACTTGTACAATATCTTGAATCCAATAAAATGTATAGAAACTCCTGTAATACCCGATTACTGTATTTATAATATCACTGTAAATATCAACAAACAGATCATAAGATTCAAATTTAACAATTGATGTGTTCCTGTATCCATAGCAACCCATGAGGGTGGGTAAAAATCAGCAGGATCAAAATCCTGATCGAGACGGCTACCATGTTCAGGGAAGTTCTTGTAATACACTGTGTGTCCCCCTGCCAGCCATGCCCCCCACCAACCGTACGTTCCTGTGGTAATGATGGAATGGTTGCACATGCTCAGTATGGCTATATCTACAAATTGATGATTTTTTGGAATAACAACAGTATCAGGTTCAGTCAAGTGTGTAGAGCTCCAAACATAATCGTCAGATACAACCAGAAATGTTATGACTTGACGGGAAAATTTGCTCCGCATATAATTCATGGCATTATTAATAAATTCTAATGGGGCAGACTTAAATCCAAGTTTTGTAGAACTAGATATCATCATATCTGTACGTCGTACATGAACACTTATAACTAGAGATGAGTTAGAGTTACTGCCCTTGTATCTTAGAAATATCCTCTTTGCGTCAGCATAAATATCTGGCCGGAATGTAAATTCTTTACGAATTTGAACTTCGTAGCCTTCAAAGTATTTCCAGGACTGAAAGTACTGCTTGAGTGTCAGATTTACTAGAAGAAGATTTTCCGTACGACGATCATACCTACAAGGATATCTTTCTTGAAAGTCATCCATACAAACTGGTTGCCATGGCAATGTATGCTGTAACTTGAAAATGGCAGAAAGACTGCTATGTTCACTCACGAATGGTTTGCGATTATTCCTCATAGCGATTCCCAGGAGTGATGCATAGGCAAACATCCAGTTACCAAGGCGACCGTGCAGAGAGAATGTGACGTAGAGAGGGTGGTGGGGACTTAAGGAGTTGGTCTCCTCCTCCTGATGTAGAACACATTGTGAGTACGGCTCGTCCCAAAGTTTCCGTATATAATGGACGTGAAGTATAGAGGGGACAACCTGTATAGAAGATAACCAAAGATACAGAACCGAACTGGTGATTATAATGAAGAGGATTGTACATGTTTTGTAGTGTATCCTCAGTGCCATTTCATGTAATATTTTTCTGCCTAGTAACTTCTGGACTGTCGACTAAAGTGTACCCTCATTGCAATTTCCTGTAACAGTTTTTAACCTTGTATCCTCATCATGATTTCCTGTAACAGTCTTTAACCTTGTATCCTCATTACGATTTCCTGTAACAGTCTTTAGCCTTGTATCCTCATTACGATTTCCTGTAACAGTATTTAACCTTGTATCCTCATCGCGATTTCCTGTAACAGTCTTTAGCCTTGTATCCTCATCGCGATTTCCTGTAACAGTCTTTAACCTTGATTTGTCATTTCGATTTCCCGTAACAGTCTTTAGCCTTGTATCCTCATTATGATTTCCTGTAACAGTCTCTAGCCTTGTATCCTCATTGCAATTTCCTGTAACAGTCTTTAGCCTTGAATCCTCAATGTGATTTCCTATAACAGTCTTTAGCCTTGTATCCTCATTGCAATTTCCTGTAACAGTCTTTAGCCTTGAAACCTCATTGCGATTTCCTGTAACAGTCTTTAGCCTTTTATCCTCATTGCGATTTCCTGTAACAGTCTTTAGCCTTGTAACCTCATCGCGATTTCCTGTAACAGTTTTTTACCTTGTATCCTCATTACAATTTCCTGTAACAGACTTTAGCCTTGTATCCTCATCGCGATTTCCTGTAACAGGCTGTAGCCTTGTAACTTCTGCCCATTAGGATATAGTGTATTTTCATCACCGTGTCCTTTGATGGTAATTTAGTCTCTGTAATTTCTGCCCTGGTGACTTTGGTGTGTTTTCATTGCTGTGTCCTGTGATGGTTTTCAGTCTAATTTCTCTTCCCAAGGTACATTTATTGTATCATCACTGTATTGTCAGGACTAGGCTGTTTTCGGTGTACTCATAGATATCTATAGAGTCGCACTGAATTTTCTGAAAAATACAAGAATATGAATAAAGTTTAGTTTAATCATTTTTAAAACTGAAACACTTTCTTAATGAAATCTTAAGCTGCATATTATCACTCTTTACATAATATTACAATACGTCATTTACAAGTTTCGTAACAAATGCCACCTGATTTGGGGGCCACATGGTATATTATAGGGGCGTGTATACTTCCGATGTAGTCAGGATCAGTATCAAGTCAACTTCATGCATGTGTTATAATGGTAAATTGTCATGGAAACGGCTGAAATTTCACACCCTTTATGAATGAGATATCTACGGACTAGTACTCACTTGTCAGACATGCAGTTTGGAGCCACACCCCAGTGTTGTGACATGTCAGATTTTCTGTGTTAACCACAGTAACCCCCCCCCCCCCCACCTCAACCCCAGCCTCATTTCAATCTGAATGTGACCTCTATAACTTTGGTTGAATTCAGAAAAAGCATCACGAAAACTTCAAAAGAGTCAAGGTCATTTTCGTTGACAAACTTTGTCAGACCTTAACCAAGAAAGTTACCAGCCAAATAGCATGACTCTAGGCATTTCCATTCTTCAGAAGAAGTTGTCCAAAGGAAATGTTGATGGAGGATGCGACCCAGCATGAGCTCACTAGACTTTGGTCAGGTGAGATAATAACTGTAAACTCTATAAAAGTATATTGTTTATCTATTGGTACCAGCTGGAACATTGATTGATCAGATTGAAGTCTCATCTGAAACCAAAACAAAAGTATTAACTTTCAAAGAAGAACTTGAACTATATTATATATTTCAGTCTAATATGATATCAAGACCCACATCAAGACCCCCACCCCAGGGCCAACACGGGTGATTAATATAAGCTGAAATAATTTGTTTCATAACTGTTGTTAAATAGGTAAACTTTATCTAGTCTAATACTACATTATACATACTTGCCGGCCCTTTGATAATTCCATCATGTTCATGCATGGGGAGGGGTAATTCTACATGTTCAAAATTATAAGTATAAATTAAACCCCCTAGTGAAAACATTACACTTTAAAATGGAATACTTAGATCTAGTTAGCATTAAATAAGGCTCCGAATTGGTTGTCTCCCACCAAAACAGAGACAGTTCTATTTTTTAATTTCTTTTAATTTTGAAGATTTTTTAACAGTACATAATACATTTACAATTCATTTTTCCATACACATACACACACTCATTCCATTTCTAGTCATTAGCATAAATTCAACACTATATTAAAGATACATAAAAGAAAATTTGTTCTATGTAGTTGATAGTGTAACTGCATATAATTGTGATATGTACTGTTTTTAAGAAAGAAAATAATGAGAGATAGAAGAATTAAAGGAAGAATAGGATCAACATAGAGAAAAAGAACTTGAATAAGAGGGAGAAGGGGTACATGCTGACATGACAAAGGACTTTGATGTATTTATTAAAAGAAATAACTCGTTCATGAGTAAAGTCTCTGATTAATGTTATTTTTATTATTATATTATATTAATATTAATATTGCCAGGGACTTTGACCAGTTTTTGTATCGGCTATATTTCCATACACATATATATTGTAAACATTCGTAGAATATAGATATCACTATAGAGGATATAAAAATATGGCATTGATAGTAAATTATACCAAGATTCACCCAACTTGACACTGAATCATAGTAGAAAACAGGGACAGTTGGCAATTCAAGTTGAATGGTAAATAATAGTACATGTCATTAGGACAATTTTTCACTTTTAACCTACCCCTGGGGCAGCTGGTCAGTACCTTACTTTCTGAAACCACCTAATTGAATTTCACCATAATTATTCCAACCTAGTTTGAAGTATTTCCATGAAGAGAATAAGATTCTAGTACATCTGAGTCCGAGTTAAAATATCTCTGAGATTTTAACCCAATTTTCCATATTGGCCCCACTCTTTCAGCTTCAGACGCGAGGCAGGATCACATTTTCTCATAACTCCTAATTGCCATCTCATCATAATTATCGAATAGGTGAGCTAAAAATATACACGAACACACATGTTCAAGCCCCTGTGGTTTAAGCTTGTCATACATATGTAGAGTTTGGATATCCGAAGTTGGAAACTGGTCTGACCATGCATTTTAGCTCACCTGGTCTGAAGGACCAAGGTGAGCTTATGCCATACCGTTGCGTCCGTCGGTCGTCGCCACTTATTGGAATTCAACCATATTTGACTGGAAGCATCTCTAGGTGGTGGAGTTTCAAAATTGTACAAATGGTGGGGCTGACCCCCCAGGGGGTTGAGAAGCGGGGCCAAAAGGAGGCAATTTGGCTATATTGCTACAAATGACTTCTTCTGTAGAACTATGCACTGGTTATCAATCATTTTCATCAAAAGCATTCATGGGAGGCAGGGATTCAAAATGTACAAATGGTGTGGCTGACCCCCCAGGGGGCTGAGGGGCAGGGCCAAAAAGGATTATTTGGCTATACTGCTTTAAGTGACTTCTTCTCTGGAACTAAGAGATGGATATCAACCATATTTGACTGGAAGTATCCCTAGGTGGTGGAGATTCAAAATTGTACAAATGGTGGGGCAAACCCCCCGGCTAAGGGGTGGGGCCCAAAAAAGTTTATTACTTGAAAACAGTTGAGATCCCTACCGTATAACCATATATTCAATTGCTGAGTATAAAGAGAAGAATGCAACATTTGCTTCCAGGATGGCCCTAGGGTTTGGCCCCACCCTTGGAGACATAGTCCCTGGGTCATAACGTTGAAATGGTTGAGATCCCCACCCGAAAACTATATATACAAATGATTGGCATAAAGAGACGAATGTAGTCATGATATTAGAATAGACCCTAGTTTCTTAGTCACAGCTTGGAAACAGTGGAGATCCCCACCCTATAACCATATATACACATGCTGAGTATAAAGAGAGGAATGCACATATGCTTCCAGGATGGCCTTGGGGTCTGCCCCACCCTTGGAGACTTAACCCCTGGGTCATAACTTTGAAATGGTTAAGATCCCCACCCCAAAACTTAGTTTCTGAGTCACAGCTTGGAAGCTGTTGAGATCCCCACTCCATAACCATACATTAAATTGCTGGGCATGAAAAATCTAATACAGATATGCTACAAGGATTGGCCTTGGGATCTGGCATATTCCCTTGGATCTCATTTTGAGAATATTTTGCCATGATTGATTAGATATCCAGGTGAGCGATACAGGCCCTCTGGGCCTTTTGTTATTTTTCAGTAGCATAACTGCAGGAATGTTAAATGGCCTTTTGCCTCTTGTTTGAATGATCCCTGTACCACTGTGAAAAATCTGTAACTAAGTGCTGGAAATTGTTTTTTTCAGGCATGTCTATAGCTTTGATAAATCATTTATGAAAAGAAAACCACACCTCCCAGGACTTATAAGAAATAATAAAGATGAAATAAACAAACCAACACGCATGTTTTGAGTGTAAAACTTCAGTGAGGCTAGACCGGTTTCGAACCGAAGACGTCAGATTGTAATGCCTATTGTTCTAACTGATTGAGCTACCAGGGCCCAGTTGTTCAAAAGATGATTAGCTTAATCACTGTTTAACAACATTTTTCAACCTTTAATAATTTCGTCAATATACAAGGTAAAAACTTGTAATTATACACGTACATTTACTCGACTAAATTCTTGATATCTGGAAAGTTTTAACTCGGTTGATTATTGCATTTCAAAGATACAAAAAAATCAAAATTTGCGCTAATTACTGATTAAGCTAATCACCCTTTGAACAACTGGGCCCTGGTCAACGGAAGTGTCCTGCGCCGAATAAGCGACATTTATATCCAAACAGAAGTTAAGGGGAGGAAACTATTTATAGAAGAAAAAAACCCAGTACAGTGGGACAGGGACCCTTGTATCAGCTGACCTTTAAAACAAGTGTCGAGCGGTAATCCCTGACTGACTATTTCTCCCACCCTTCACATGTGTGTCTCCCACCCTTCACAGGTGTGTCTCCCACCCTTCACATGTGTGTCTCCCATCACCCTTCACATGTGTGTCTCCCACCCTTCACATGTGTGTCTCCCGTTTCAGCTTGTCACCTCCTAGGGGGAGATAGCCTCGTGCCGATTAGTATGTGTTCAATTGTGACAACATTAAAATGCGTCATCAGTAATGTGACGTCGTCAAAAGTGAATGACGATAGACATATGCCACATGTGTTTTTGTTTACAAACATGGCAGACTACTGTCGGTGGAGCTGTGACTGAAATAATAGGATGGGAGAAAAATAATCATCCCCTACCTTGAGGGTGTAACAGAGATATCTCCAACCCTCAGGGTGATTTTTTTGGTTGTCTTACCCTCGGCAGAGCCTCAGTCAGTTTGGACAACAGAAAAACATCACCCCTCGGGTTGGAGATTTCTCTGTCACAGCCTCAAGGTAGGGGAAGATTCTATTAATCTCCTGTTATCATTTCAACTTTCATTGGCTGCCCCATCAGATATTTTTAAAAGAGACACTTATTTCGGACTAACGTGCTGGTTTGGGAAGTGGATATCTTAATTATCAATATTTTTGGATCCGCCACTGGATTATATATACGAGTATATATCATTAATGGTGCGACATTTTTACCGAAAGTTTATCTAAAACCCTTCAACTTGTCAAATTCTCAATCACCTGTGCGAGCACCTGTGTTATTCGAAACATAGGCGTTTACATCGTCGGTTTTGGATTCTAATTAAACTGTTATCACTGCTAGCAACAAAAACGTAGTCCTTAGTTAACGATACTGGTGGCGATGGGTGGGATCTAGTACTATAATTAATACCCAGCCTCCTCTGCCAAACTTATAAGTTATATACAAATCGGCTCGTCGTCAGCGCTTAAGCTTGAGATCCTAAGCCGGTTACACGCCTCGTTGCACTCCTTGGAACCATGACTGACGTTGGACAGTATTTATATGACATGCATTTCAATAAATCTAAGTGGAATATTAAGCATAAATAACAGTCAAACTCACAAGAGAGATAACTACATCTTCCGCATAGTCCATCACTTGCAGGTCCTATTTAAATTTAGATTCAGCAGAAGAAGGGAGGTAACTCTACATATTTCGGGGAAATTCTAATGTTGGGAAAGCATTCAACCGGAACATGCCTTGAGCTACTTATCCAACATAAATCCAACCAAGGTTACGTGAAGCTATTTATTGATATGCAAATGCTATTTAATACAGATTCAAAGTATGCCATAGTTTGACTTTTTTTTTTATAGATAAAGAGTCAGACTATATATTTACCACGGACTTAGATATGATTCCGCGCTGGTCACTGTGTAATCTTTTAACACCGGGACAATACACAAAATGGGAGTCACGATGGAAGTGTGGAAAAGCAGCTCAGGAATGGTTCCTAATTAACAAGGCTCTACTGTACACACAAACCAAAGTTTCCTGATTAATGAAATGTAGGAAGAAAAAACTACAGTTTACAGTGTTTCGATCAGCCTATGGCTCTGTAAAGATGAAACATGTTGTACTTTATCCACATTAGCAGAAGCCAAGGAATACATTAATTTGTCAAATCTACTTTAGCGAATTTTAAATATTTATTTACATAGAAATTACTTCCGTTTCCCCATGTCAAACCATGAAAAAGAAATTGGTATCACCTCAGTATAACGGATTCGCCTGAAAGGGGCTGGTCGGGGTAAAAATGTCATATTTGCTAAAATGGCATACGCATGTTTAAAATATCTTCTTATGAAATATACCGATTCAAATTTTGCTGAAATTCACTCCCTAAGAGTTAAAATTATAAGTATATTAAAGAAATCCTAAATCGTCACCTGACAGTCTTATTTCATAAGAAGGTATTTTAAACATGACAATTGTGTATGCCATTTTAGCCATTTTAGCTAATATGACATTTTTTCCCCGACCAGCCCCTTTAAGCCATTACGGTATTAAAACAAAAAAAGTAAATTTTTTATCCCTTTTTTTTAAGTGGAAGTTTAAAAAAATATTTTCTAACTTCCACATAAAAAAAGAGATAAATATATATACGTATACAAATCTTAGCCCACCTGGCTCGTGGTGATGATATTTGGCAAGCTTGGATGAAGGGTTACAAACTTTTTTCTCTCAAATGAATGACCTTGACCCACTTTCATGGTCACTGGGGTCAAATGATTAAAAATATCTTCAAACAACTGCTTTTGAATAACTAAAAAGGCCAAAGTGATGATATCTGTCAAGTAGGAAAATAAAAGGGTTACCAGGTTTGTTCAAATGAAAGACCTTGACCCTCTTTCAAGGTTACCAGTATCCCCAAAAAATCTTCTCAATAAGCAAAAGGCTCCGAGTGATATTTGGACTATTGCTGAATTTAGTCCATTTTATAGGTTTGTCCGTGGTCCACTTTGAAAGTTACTGATGTGAGATCAATACCATGTGAGTGATTCAGGCCCCTCTTATTTGTAGTACTTTCCTGCTTCATATGTTAAACAATCACAGTTTTCAGTGTCACACGCTATTTTCTATCGCTTCATATTATGTTCCAGAAAACGTAGAATCTGATACTCATACCTGGGGCACGTTGAGCCACTGACCACGGGAATAAGCTGGTTGACCATGATCCATTGACTATGTAGGCAATTTGTTCACTGACCACGAGGGCAAGTTGGCACACTGACTACGAGGGCAAGTCAATTCAAGCCACTCACCACGGGTGTAAGTCGAGCCACTGACTACGGGGGCAAGTCGACACACTGACTACGGGGGCAAGTTGACAAACTGACTACGGGGGCAAGTTGACACACTGACTACGGGGGCAAGTTGACACACTGGCTACAGGGGCAAGTTAACACACTGACTACGGGGGCAAGTTGACACACTGGCTACAGGGGCAAGTTGGCACACTAACTACGGGGGCAGGTCGAGCCACTCACCACGGGTATAAGTCGAGCCACTGACTACAAAGTACGGGGACAAGTTGAGCCACTGCCTACGGGGACAATTTGAGCTAAGTAGGCCTTAATAGTAATACTCAAATATGTAATTAGTCGTAAATAGATAAAAAAAAATACGATTGATTTAAAATATTTTGCGACTTAGCGATTTTTATAGGTAAAGGGGCAAGTTCGGTCAATTTTTATCAAAGTCGTTCTTTGCAGTATGACATTTGATGAAATGTATGTGTAATTACACCATAATTTTGCCGCTTCAACATAATTATGACGTCATAAAGCATACAACACAAAATTTCCCCGACAATTTTACGACTTTCTTTAAATATGTTGCATGGGCCAAACCTGTTCCGATATCATTGGTCGAACCTGCCCCAAATTGATATTTTGATAAGACGTATATTACAGTAATATGAAAGCCAACGTGAGACATTAATGTATACCATCACGTGAAGCTGTCAGTGGCATTTAAAAAAGCAGCAATTCAATTTACAGAAAGTTCACATAAATAGAGAAGTGAGGTCATTATCTTCTTTCTACCCTCTCAAAAATAACACTCCAGTTAAGAATTTTAAAATTTTTCCTCGACATTATTTTCGACATTTTTTCGTGTGACGCCCAGTCAATAAAACTGGCTTATATCCTCAAAGTTGTAAATATTTGCTCAAGATCAGAAACATCTTAATAACTACTGTACAAGTTCAGTATGTCAAAATTAAATATGTAAGTTCTTATCAGTGGTTAAATGTCTTGTTCAGAAGATGACACAGGACATTTCTACTTCAGGTGTTGGTATAATGCACAACTTTAATTCATAAAACAGTCACTTGAACCAGAGACGTCTATATATATTATGTAATATATACGTCTCTGCTTGAACTGATGAGAGTGGGCCTGCCTTCTGTGGAAGTTAGAGACGTCTATATATATTATGTAATATATACGTCTCTGCTTGAACTGAGGAGAGTGGGCCTGGCTTCTGTGTAAGTTAGAGACGTCTATATATATCATATAATATATACGTCTCTGCTTGAACTGAGTAGAGTGGGCCTGCCTTCTGTGTAAGTTAGAGACGTCTATATATATTATGTAATATATACGTCTTTTATATCTGCGGTCTTAACTCATGTAGTAAAGTAACTGAAAGGAGCTCCTATAATAACATCATAACATACTGAATCACTTCCGTTTTACTTTATCCTATATAACGGTCAGTTACCTATGGTTGGCCTCAGGGGAAATTCGAAAAACTTGATTTATGTTTGAATCGTCGAATGATATCTTCTACTTCTTAAGTAATGGAAAGCTTTTACAGAATTTAAGTTTTTTTCTAAACTTGTGTTTAAATAGGCAGTTAAAATTATTTTTAATTCTACGATATCCATTAAAAATGTAAATTGTGAAAAAAATACCCCTCATCATGCCCCTAAATATATTTATAATTCTGAACCGGAAGTGCAAATTATATTAGATTTCTGTATTCGGCGCATGCGTACTTGTTATTTTGGTTTCACTCGCGCCATGAAAATGTGACAAGTCGGGAATATTATATTGTAAATGTGCAATTTATCTGGATCAGGGTAAGTTTTACCGCCGCATGCGTTTTGTAAAATATACTGATGATGCCAATGAATACAAATATGGACCGAAAATCAGTGTAGATGCCTTAGGAACACTGGTGATAAAAGCATCAGTTGGTTCGTCCCTCGTTTGTTTTGGTTGGTGCCACCAAGTCTGGCTCTACTACAGGAAGGCGACTTGAAGATGGTGCAGGATTTATTTTAAAAGAATTAGCATAAATTACACTAGAAACATAACTTAACAGCACCAAAATTTCCGATGAGGCCTCATTATACGTCACTGTTGACTTAGTACGTGTGTGTTGTTGGCGAATCTGCTCCGCTGCCGGTAGCCAACAACATGTGTACCACACCCGGCCCTACTCTCCCTACCAAATTAAAACACCGCTCGCACCAATGTTATTAAGGTTATTCTGCGATTGTTTATATATTAAAGCAATCAATTTATAGGTAAACAGTTTATTAATAACGATAGTTTACTGTTCTATGGCATTTGAAAAATGTAACAGAAATGAACATTTTCGACCTTTTATTATAACAGCTGATTTCATGCCTTTTCAGAATTTTTGTGAAATCAACTTTTTTTTTCATGGAAAGGTTTAAAAACTACAATTTAATCCTCTTGCCCATATTGCCAATTGTATCTATGAGTATCTCCTATGTCAAAAAATCTACTGAAATATTGGGTGACGAGTTTCTAAGCCCGCATGATAAAATTGCATTTTAATCGAATTAAAGCAAATGTAAACAGCAACATGCTTCACAAGCAGGTTACTTTGAATACTGTGGTTCTTCAACAACCTTGCTAGGTAAACTAAATGTGTACTTTCACTACGTACTATGACCAAGAATCGATAGTGGCAACAGACTTGTAGTAATGCATGTATGTACAGCGTTGCTCAAAAGGTCAAACAAACTCACATGTGCTGTACTGAAGCTAAGCTTCTGCTAGCCCAAGTCTCCTTTAGCCCTGACTCCAGACTTAGATATTTTGACAGATAGATGTCTGGTGTGGGGCCAGAGCACACCACTTTATGAAAACATGACATTCTCTGACACCATTTCGTAGCACTAAGTTTTGAGGTGCTGACGATAAAAATCTGCCATGATGCAATGCCTTACTGACAAATATTGATACATGTGTAACAGGAGAGGAAAAAAGCACAGCCACACCGGGGTTCGAACCCAGGACCCTCTGAACTTTAGACAGTTACTCTACAAATTGAGCTATATATCTGGTCGCCGACAATCGACCCAGTCCAGTTCTGCTACATTCCTCCCTCCTTTAACAAAGTCTTCGACCATGAAGACACACGAGACCCTATACCACCTACTGTGGGTATATTTCGTTGGGCGCCAAATGTAACAGGAGAGAACAAAAATGCATGGCCAGACCAGGGTTTGAACCCGGGACCCTCAGAAATCTAGACGGATGCTCTACCAATTGAGCTATCTGGTCGCCATGGGCAATTTGTTTATCCGAAACTGCCCTTATTACCAACTGCTGGTACATTCTGTCAGCAGGGTCCTAGTGTTATCAATGTTAGCTGGTTAAACGATTACACAATCGGAGGATCTACTGTGAACCGGTTACCAAAATCAGGAACCAAATAGTTAGACATGTATTTACCCCAGGGGATGAATCCATGTTTACCTGGTTTAGGCCTTCAATTATCTACTAGTGATGAGACCTAAATAAGATTTTTTGGTAATAAAAACAATGTTCAGACTGACCTGTTTGGGGGGGGGGTTGTTTCTGTTCTCAATTTACAAGAAAGGTTTACAATGAGATGTCAACCACACAGTGACATGTGAAATCCCAATGCTGCATTTTATATTTAAGGATGGGTCTGTAGAAATAATCTCAAGAGCACACAAATGAATTAAATAATATCATGTGAAACAACAAAAAAAGTGAAAAAATCTAGAAATTAGTTTTATCGATCAAATCATGCTTCTCAAGAACAACATTTTCACATTTGAGTTCAGTTAGAAACGACATGCTTTCGTATTTTGGTGTTCTTGACCAATTTATATATAATTAACCAGTTACTCGGTCAGAAGAGTTTTTGAGTAACCGGCAACTAAAACTCCCTCAGTTTGACAACTCTTACAATTACACCTACAGATTTGTTGTTTTGTAATTCCTTTAATTTAGGTTATATTAATAGTTTCAATTTTTCCTTCCACAGTTTCCATAATTGAGGATAATTTGAGAGACATCAATAGTTTCTTGATCTGGGTCACCTAGGGGCTTGATCATGTCCTCTCAGGCCCCTACATCAGCGGACGCCTGTCTGAGTATCGTCCACAGCCTCATGTGTCACAGACAGGGAGGGGAGAGCGAGAGTTTTGGAAAGCGAGCTATCGAGAGTCTGGTGAAGAAACTGAAGGAAAAGAGAGATGAATTAGACAGTTTGATCACAGCCATTACAACCAATGGAGCCCACCCTACCAAGTGTGTCACCATACAGAGAACATTAGACGGCAGGCTACAGGTACATTACACATGTATTGTTTTGATTTAAGTTTTACACCTGAAATTTCATAATGAAATATTCCAACCATAGAAGTAAAAGAGTTCATGTGTGTCTTCAGGGGTGAATGAATTAATGATATAAATAAAAGTATACAGGACATGAAAAATTAAAGGGACAATTTAGTGAAGTAAGCTTTTTTACATGGTTTATATTTCAACTTCTTTTTTGAAGCTCTTGCCAGGAGTGCATGACGTAAATAATCTTCAGGTCTGATACATTCTTATAATGTATCACGGTTCCTTGTATTTGAAGTGTAGAAAAGTATTGATTTTGTATTACAAAGGAATTATGTGTGACATTACATGTGTACACGGAGTACCCTGTTTTGTTTGTGCATCATGCATTCTGACATTTAAGGAATAACCAGGATTTTATTTGGGTTATGAAATATTATATACATGTATAACTATGTATGTACTGAAAACCTGTGTGCAATTTGCACAAAAGTCAGTGCACACAGTCTTTTCTGTTATATACAAATTTTCTCCAAAACTTATAATGGTTATCCCTTATAAATTCCTTTTAAAAGTCTGACAACATTTATAATTTCATAGTCAATGAATATTTATTCATTTCTGATAAACGTAAAATAATTCTGCACAAAACACAACATTGCACAGTAGTTTCATTGCCAAGCAACTTCAACCAATCAGAAGTTAGATTTACAAATAGTGGCTGCACCAAACATTTTGGTATATGACATCATCTTTTATTGTTGTCTGTTTTTTTAGGTTATACGATACATTAACTTGAAAATATATTTTGGTATATGACATCATCTTTTATTGTTGTCTGGTTTTTAGGTTACCTGACCATAGGTCATGGTGGCCTTTTGTGATAGCCTTTTTTTAGGTTATACAATACATTAACTTGAAAAAATCTAGCACTGTGAGAAGGGCTGGGTATAAATTCTATATGTATATTGTGAGAAGGGCTGGATGTAAATTCTCTATGTATATTGTAATTGTACGCAGGTTGCTGGAAGAAAGGGATTTCCTCATGTGATATACGCCCGTATTTGGAGATGGCCGGACCTCCACAAGAACGAGTTAAAGCATGCTAAATACTGTCAGTACGCATTTGACCTGAAGCAGGACAGTGTGTGTGTAAACCCTTACCACTATGAGAGAGTTGTCTCCCCTGGTATAGGTAATATCAGCTGTATGCTAATTCTGATCTCTTATACTTAATTACTATACATTTTGGATTACTACAACCGTGCCAGTATTTATGTTCGACCTCAAGTTATATTTTCAAATAAACCATAGGCGTAATGAATCTCTTTTCATGTGTTTTCAGTGAATCAGAATAGAAATCGGTGTATAAAATTTAGTAATCTCAAAAATGAATTTGATAATGAACACGTACACGTGCTACTGAAGGCTGATAAGGTTAAAACAATATCATAATCAAACCATAGTACACGTAATTTTATATTTCTTATTTGATTTATATGTGTAATGTATTAAGCTTTATCAGCGTCTTGTTTAGTGTCATGCAAACACCTTCACTGTTAGATGAAGATTTCGACATTGGACATCGTCGTAACTTTATGATCTTTACAAATAAGACTGAAATGAGTAAATATTGTCACTGTCTGAATAAAGCGATCATAAATCACACAAGTGTGTTGACAACATTTTGATATCTGGCTATCTGCCCATTCAGAAATAATATTGATAGTGTGGAAAAAATACTTCCAGTCCTACAGTGCCATGAGTTCTAAGATATTTTCAGTTTGAAAATAAATAAATTTGGTAAAACTTATCATTTATATTTTATTTTTCACAGATTTATCTGGCTTGACAATACAGCATGCACGTGAGTATTTATTATAGTTGGAATACTTGTCTTTTATTTATTTATTGTCATTTTGATGTATTCTAAGTTTTGCCATCAGCAGTAATGGACATTGTGACTTTTGGAGCAAGTCATTGAATACTGTTTCCACTGTTATATAACTGCCAATCCAGCAGACGAGGAAAATATGACCATTCAAGATCTTTTGACAGTAAGCCCCCTTTGAAATCTTGTCTCACAACAAAAACATGGACAGTTTTAATAGAAGACAGGAGGTTATTTTATGTTGTGTTTTTTAATGCCACTATCCTTAAATACTGTATGGGGTACCGATGATGCTGGTGGCATGGAGTGTTTCCCTTTTCCGTTCCATTTTCATGGCTTCCAACTTATTTTCTTGTCAGATTTTCATCTTAGTTTATACAAAGGTCAAGTATGAGAATACAAAGGTCAAGTATGAGAAAACCTCGGACGGATTCATATTTCAGGGTTCCAAGGTCAGCACCAAAGGTCACTTGCTATTTATAGGTCAACCACAGAACAAATAGGGCATTCAGGTCTTCACCAAAATTAACTTTTAATTATGGGTAATTACATGTAGATATCTCACATGACTTACTTTTAAAAAGAATGATTTTTGGATATTAACAGTCAGAATGAGAGTGATAAAATAGATCCTTGTTATTGATTACAGCCTATGGCTAAAGCATCAAAAATCTTTGTTCTTTTTCGTTATCTTGATAAATTTCTGAGTTGAGGATTCAAGCTGAATCTCATTTTTTTATAACAATGGTTAAGGAATTACTTTCCAGATATTTTCCTGAAGGACTGGATTCTTTTCCTGCACTTTCATGCACTTTTTATCAATATTTTTTTGTATGTGTATTGTAACTTGTATTGGTTTTGACATGTGTTATATGTGTAGCTATTGTTAGAGCTTCAAGTGGTTTTAGAATTTATCAGTTCCCAAGGCATCCAACCCCCTGGTACATGTAACAGCCTAGTAAGTCATATCTGAGTTCTGTATGGAATGAAAACTTTGATTTGAGGGGGCTAAGAATCACAACCAGCCTTCAAGTCATGTCACTTGCGACTCATATGGATTTGTAATTCAAACACAGAATTTTAAACATTCAAAAGAAGAGATAACCAGACAACAAACACCAAATTGGGAGTCTCTCCAAATTCAATGGGCTGAAACCTGTAAACTGGATTAAATTTGCCGAGACTCCCCATTTGATGTTGTCTAGTTATCTCTTTTAAATTTTATATATACTGTAGACTGATGGTCTACTTAAGTATAGTCACAGAATCATCATTTGACCTACACTTAGCTGTCTGTGGTGTTTTAGCAGACTAAAAGGAAAAGGCAGAAAAAATGTACATTTAAGTGAAAGAATAATATAAAAACTTAAAATAACCAAAAAATAGAAGTCAGTTTCTTATAAAAGGTATCCATCAGAATTTCAGTAACAGACTGGTTGTAGGAATAATTGTTATGACAGATGTGTGAAAAACCAGATATCTGGTCAGATTTTGATTTTATGCCACGACTGATCATGACTTATGGATGGTAAATTAGAATCTGTTATAGCTAAGATTTTAAACAGGACAGACTTGTGGATGGGTTAACTAGAATCTGTTATAGCTAAGATTTTAAACAGGACAGACTTGAGGCTGGGTAAACTAGGAATCTGTTTATAATTAGATTTTACGCAGGACAGACTTGTGGATGGGTAAACTAGAATCTGTTATAGCTAAGATTTTAAACAGGACAGACTTGCGGATGGGTTAACTAGAATCTGTTATAGCTAAGATTTTAAACAGGACAGACTTGTAGGTGGGTTAACTAGAATCTATTATAGCGAAGATTTTAAACAGGCCAGACTTGCGGATGGCTTAACTAGGAATCTGTTCATAGTTAGATTTTACGCCACGACAGACTTGTGGATGGGTATGTACACTTGTTGCTATTAACAATGCCACAGTGCCGATTATTACAGCGCCCCCTAGCAGACTTGTGAAGGATGAGTACCAAGGAGGAAACCATCACCCGGCCATAGAGGCAGGCGACAGCTGTCAGACCATACAACACCCCCCTCAGGACAGCTTCACCAGCCGCGGACTCCCGTCGTCGGCCCTCGGTATGGTAACCCTGCCCTTTCTCTTTTTCGTGACCTATGACCTTGGTGCGATCAGTCACCAAACCCTGTGTTCTTTATATATTGAATTAGTGGCCGGAACTTCAACCTTTTGTAGAAGTTCTAAACAGCTTTCTTGAATGTGACCTCGTAAGGACAAGACTTAAAATGGAATAATACTCTAGGTGATCTCTTGATGTGGAGAATGATATTTCATAGCTCCTTACCTAAGGTTTTGAAGCAAGAGCCAATTTACTTGTCAACCTTTGACCTCTAGTATGAAGGCCTGGTTTAGTCACTTTAATTGGCTATTGACCTTTGGAGTCATAGCCTTATGCCCTAGAATTACCTTACTGGAATTATAGATCCCCATCAAAATTGTCCAGCGAGTCGTATCTTCAAGGAACAGACCATTTCCAAGTTATTCTGACCAGGAATTTGTATAATTTAATCTTATTGAAGTTTGTTTATCAATTTAAGCATGTATTCCTATTTTAACTTGGCACAAATATATTTTATCATGTTTTAAATTTTGACCCGTTTATATTTTGCTACCAATTCAAGCAACCATTGCATTATATGGCACTTTGCTTTCCCGTATTATTTCTGATTAAGGACTGATTATTATTTCCATGGAAAGCTTTGCAATGTAATTCGTTGTTCACATGTATTGATATCTTTATATATATTTTAATGTGATTTTTTTTTTATATATATTTCATGTTAAGCATACATTTGCATTGTGACAATTTGATTGGTCAATTCTGTTTGAAATGCTGTCAATGTTTTTACTTTGTGCTATTTGATCAGTGCTATGAGTATTATATATGTTCTGCACAACAGTAACAGTTTGTTGACTTGATTATCACACAACATGTTGATTTTATCCACCAAAGTGAGCATTCCTTATATAAATTTACCTGTGTTTATTAGGTGTTTGGGCAAAATTGCTAAATTATGTGCTAATGTTTTATTGTACATTACAGCATATAAAGTTGTGTATTTTTTAGCCTATATGCAAACATTATTTGAATCTTAATTTATTTTTGTACAGTGCAGAGCAATTGAATCTTCTGTGATTTAATTGGTGAATGATTCCTCTACTATTTCAACATTATTTTTTGTACAGTACAGCACAAAGTGGCGATGTGATAATTTGATTGGTTATTTATCTAGGTCAGGGTTCACCGAGCCCACAGTCCACTGGGCAGCACCAGCCTCACCATCAGACAGTTCCTCAGCACTCTAACACGATAGTGGGGCGAGGTGGCCCCTCCCAGGGGGCAGGGCCTGCAGGGTCGGTCCCTGTCCCCCTCCAGCACACTCCCCTGTCCCCCCAGGCTCTCTCGCCTCAACCCTCAGGTTTTATTTTTGTGTTGGTGTTTTCTGTTTGTGTAGCTTGTTTGTGTATGTGTTACTGCATTTGTTTACCTGTCTCTGCTATACCTGGGTAGTTGTTACTTATAGTTTCTGCCAGTCACATTCCAGGGTCCTGTCTCTGCTATACAGAACCTGGGTAGTTGTTACTTACAGTTTCTGCCAGTCACATTCCAGGGTCCTTTCCGCTATCTGGGTTCCAGGGTTGTTTACAATATCTGCCTGTCTGATTTCAGGGTCCTATCTCTGCTTTATCCGGTCTGGGATTGTTGTCCTCTATAATTTCTGCCAGTCTCATTCCAGGGTCCTGTCTCTGCTATTTGGGGTCTGGGGTTGTTGTCCTTTGTAGTTTCTGCCAGTCTCATTCCAGGGTCCTGTCTCTGCTATTTGGGGTCTGGGGTTGTTGTCCTTTATAGTTTCTGCCAGTCACATTCCAGGGTCCTGTCTCTGCTATTTGGGGTCTGGGGTTGTTGTCCTTTATAATTTCTGCCAGTCACATTGAATGATATTGAAACATTTAGTGTGTGTACTGATCTATCAAGTGCACCAGGCCGAAATTGAATAACAATGTTAATGCAACACTGAGCATTTTGGAATTCTTCAATGTCTACTCGAGTTGCTAAGTGTCATAGAAATGACAAACATTGATAAATGGAAATTATCGACCATGATTTTTGATTTCATTACAAACAGTTTTTCACTGACGTAGTATATTGTACATCTGGCTATCTGTATACATTGTGGTTCTGTAGACTGAAAAAATATTTCATCTTCAATGTTACCATGGCTACCTTGACAGCCAATCGCGGCCATGATTGTTGATGTATACAGATGTGAGTAAAACATGAAGTCTTATGACAATTTTGCCATGTTGCGAGTGTTCGTTTGAAAACTGCATTTACTTTTGGCTTTGCTAGACATTATCTACAGGTACTTCATCACATCAAATTCAATATTATGAATGAACTCACCAACATATCGGCGGGTGCAGATAGGCCTCGAACACTGTAACATCGTGACGTCCTCGGAATGTATACATTGCTACAATGTATCTTTTTATGAATACTCTAAAGAGCAGAAAACTGAGGCACAACATTAACTCCCATGCGTTTGCAGAAAATAACATGAACCAAATTTCAACCGGTTAACTGATTTTGGAATTTCATGATCAATTAATTAGAAACTATTGTGTAATCGACTGATTTCGATCATAATTGATGGTGGAAACAACACTACGTACTATCACAGTGTTGTGCTTGTGACATTTCAGTAAGATAGCACTTTTAAATGGTGCGTAGGAGACCTGTCACCTGTGGTCTAGATGTTGATAACATAGACCTTACATAAGTGCATCCTCGATACTCCAGAGGTTTGCTCACTTTCGATTGTTGCATCCCTGGAATATGTCACAGCAAAATTAAAGGCAAGCGGCTAGGTATTGAATTGGTATCGGGTAAAAAAAGCTGACGTATCGCTAGGCTTATATCTGTCCTTTGAAGATTACAGGATATTGACACTGACTTCAAAGCCAGTCAATTTTACTGTTACACAACCAATTATTTTGATGTTTACCAAAGGAACAAAGTACCCTTCTGGCCTCATCCACGAGGTGGTACACACCGAGTCTTCGATTTTGATATATATCAGGGGTGCAGAGAGCTGAAGTGTAGCAGTAAAGAAATTAATCTTGGAGGGCTTTCTGACCTAAGACACCAAGACATTCTATTTATTTTAACAGTAATTAATCGACCTGTGAAATAACATGTGCATTCTCTCTGTAAAACAAGTTACCGTCGGTTAGTTTAAAAGTAAGCATTTCCTTTATAGCACTATGAAGTCGGCATCAGATATCGCGCTATCACAAGGAGGCAAGTACACCAACATACCCTGTCTCCGGCACACATATACACACATGTACGCTTACACAACACACATGGAGGCATGTCCCTAAAGGAACACAGCTATTGATAGGACCTTGAACAATATAAAACCTAACCATACTTTAACTCATTCACCCCTGAAGACACATTTGAACTCTTCCAATTCAAAGGTTGGAGTAGTTCATTATGAAAATGCAGGGGTGAATGAGTTAAAGCAGGTCTCCCTGTAAAGCCAAAGTTGTAGTGTTACAACACTATCTCTGTGATAGTGTTATTGTATACCGCTGGTGAAAATGTTGAAACGGGTATGTATACATTGTGTATGATACATAGTCACACCTTCTCCATTTTAATTTTATTCCACAAACATCCTTCTTTGAACCCTATTACATGTAATACATTAATTTTAACAAAATTGCCTGATAATTATGTAACATACTGGGTATATGATTTAAAATCAAATAAATTATGCAGTGTTTCGCACAAAACATCTATTATGAGGACATTTACTCCCAAAACTGTTGTCGGCGATGACGGAGTCAACATTAAGTTTTTGCGTTTGAGTTAGTTTCACTGAAAGTATAAGTGCTAGACTAACCAAACTTGGACCATAGATGCATTGTGGGTATATAGTACATCTCAACCCATGCATCAAATGCTGGATGCAGCCTACCTTTCATGGTCCTTTGACTTTGTCAGCATCTCAATCAACATTAAGTTTTTTTGCGTTTAAGTTAGTTTCTCTGATTTGTGCATTGATGGTCAAAGCGGGGCATAGGTGAGACATACCAATCTGAATGGCTTGTTGAAGAACTGTCCTATATAGTTGCATACCTGAGAGTACAGAATCTTGTAAAACTGTAAAATATACCCCCAAAATCCAAGAGAACCACTGTTATAGTCCTATACACTGCTCCCAGTGCATAGTGTCAAATAGAGTTATTCTGCTTATCCTTTACTGTACGAATGTAACACTCTCCTGTGTCCTGTATATGTTTAAATGTGATCCTCAGTAGATACATATGTATCACAGTATGCCCCCTCAATGGAATACCTCCATACCCACCCCCAACCCTACCCCCTACCCCCATGCTACCCGTCAAATTTGTATTTGTGTATTGACATTAGTGACTACGCTTCCTGTTGTCTGATTTACTGTATAACAGGAAATATTCGCCTTTTTCGTCACCTAAAATGAGGGCAAATTTATCATTACAGTGAACGTTGGTCAACAACATAATTTACAAAGTTACTAGATGAGAAAGGCGTAATTAACACTGGCTGAATTCGGATTTTACAGGCGAAGGTTTCCCGGTACACAGTATATCTTTTCCCTGTCCGAGGCTTTAGATGTATTAGTGCTGAGAACACTCCTCGTTGCTTCGTGTAGTCGTGAATGTGCTTCGTGGCTTGTTGTGTACTTATTTACTGATGTGTGTTAACACGCTTCAAAGCTAGCTGCACTGTATCATATAGAAGTAGAAATTTGCTTTCAGCTTAATCCTTTCTTGCAGTGGTCTGCTTTTAATCCTGAGTTGTCTTTTGTATCATTGGACTATATCCCACTCCAAACATCAATTTGTATACCCCCTGGAATCTCGCAAACACGTCGTACACTAAATAGGTTTTTCCATGCATGTCAAAATTAAAAGACACTCGCTCAAAATCCTCCATTTGGTGATATATAACTATCTGGTGTTTTGGGAAATAACTAAGATTATTTTCTGGTCATCCCTTACAGTTTCATCTCTAAGACAAACTTTGAATAACTCAAAATTAACTGTTTTTTTTTCAATTTGATTCTGATATTGACGTTATTCAACTACCGTATTCGTCATAAACAATTGAGTCTCATCCGCGGAAAATTTGCATAGCTCCGCCCATATGTATTATTGTCAACAACATGGAAATTTGTCACAATCTATCGTCAGGTTATGACATCATAAGCTCCAGTTTACAGGAACAATGGTTATTGAGTGAATGTCAGTGTAAACTGAATATAATGTATTACATCCAATGTATGAGAAAATCCTTCAGAACTAAATTCCATCTTTTTTTTGACTTGGGAGGGAATTCATTATGTCGGTGTAGAATGGACAAGCAGTTATTTCAGTCCTATAAATAATCACACTGACAGATAATCTGATATATTGAGTGAAAATAAAAGAAACCAAAACTTGCGTGTAATTTATGTACAAGTAACATAATATCATCAAGGGAGATAACTCTAACACAAAAATCACATATACATTGTATACTGTGCAAGGTTACTGATACAGTATTTGATGTTATCAGGGTGCCGGAACTGAAAAAAACCAAGTCAGATATGTTTTTTTCTCAAACAAAATACCTAGTGTTTTGGTTATTTCCCATCACAGTAGAGACATAGAGACGTCTTTATCCTTCTCTCCTGTTGATAACCCACTAACCCTTTACCACTGTAGACCATAATGGACTCATTCAGATGAATGCGTGGGACAGTCTACTGAAGTTGCAGAGGGGTGAAAAGGTTTATAAAGTGTTAAATCATTCGGAAACAATTGCATTGGTTACTGTTTCAAGTTCAACACAGATATCATGTTCCACATATTTTGTTTTGTTTAATACACTTAGGTACAGTGCCGTTTGGTGACAGAAGTTGTTTAATTTCTAAAACCTATCATGAATTTCTGAAGTGACAAAACCTGGAATTTTACGATGAGAATATTTTTCTAAAAAATCTTGGTGCCTCCTTATTACAGTGCCGTTTAATCCTTAATACTTAAAAGGCAATACATGTCATTAAGACTTTTTTCACCATTATGATTAATTTATGTACTGCAGAAGAAATCCTAGTGGGTATACCTGGCCCTGATTAAATGTACGGTGTAGTTCTCTTGAGCTTTCACTTTGGTTATATACATATAGTTGTCAGGATCATCACTCATTGGAGACGCTGGTTCCGTGATGCTGTGATTTGAATGTTTCAAAATAGCTTCCCTTAACTTTCTTTAGTGTTCAAGTTTTCTCTTCCTGTTTTGATATTTTTTTTATGAATTACGTGTGGATCTGTCATATTTTAGAGAGACAAAAATCCAGGTACATAACACATACATTGTTATTTAGATTCGTGACAGAATTTCTGTTTTTTTGTATAGTTTGATAACCGACAGCTGACTCTGCTTACGTAGACTAACTAATCTCTGGCTTCTAACTATAACCGTCTTCTTAACCAGCTCAACTAAGCATTTCATTTACAGGAATCTTAAAAGTTATTATATTATAATTTTAGTTCAGTTCTTTGAGCAAAAATAGCAATATTTATCTTATATATTTTTTAACTTTTTTTTAAGGATAATGATTGATTATAATTTTCAGATTTTAATGCAAGATTTTTGAGGAAACATCAGAAATTAAACGATGATCAAAATAGATGGTGAAAAAACCAATTATCTTGATTTACAGATTTAAATTATTGCAACTGATAATTTTATAGGGTCAGACAAATAAATAAATAAATTTTAAGGGTCAGACAAAAAGATAAATTAATCACTGTAAAATACATTGATGTAAATGACTATTGATTATTAGTTTATCATGTTGGTTATTGTTGGCCTCATTTCAGCTTCCAGTGGTATTGGGTTGTCCTCTCCACTTGGTGAAAACTACCCACAAATACCTCACTCTAGCCAGGCCAACCTGAGCCCGTTTCCTAGAAGTAAGTATGTAAGGTTAGTTGATAATAAGTGGATAGCGCACTTGCCCTTCGTTAAGGTGGCCTGGGTTGAATCCCAATCACTTGTGAAATGATATGGATTCACTTGCCGAACCATGTTGATTTTTCCCAGATATTTCGGTTTCCTCCCACATTAAGACCCTTCACACGCTAACATCCGGGCCAACAACAGTGATTAATATTAATTAAAATAACTTGTTCTATAGTTGTTTTTAAATAAATAAGGTTTATAACGTGACAATACCCAAAACACAAATTAATATGGAACAGTATCCGCAATGTATTGGTTCCCAAAATCAAACACTTCTCATATGTAATGTAGCATTGTCATTTTGCAAATCAGTGGTATCTATTCTTAATAAAAAATTATGTACTTTTAATCAATTTGAACATTTTCTTTCTGCCTACATGTTGTATGTTGTTCATGAACTTGATTGAAAATTCAAATATCTATCAAGTTAAATCTTAGGTCATGCTCTGCTGTTAAACAACCAAAACTTAGTCAATGCCTGAATGGGTCCCCGCTTACATCTCACAGAGCCATGGAGGGCCAAGTGACCCAGATATCTGTGGACAGTTTTGTGAAACAATCTTAAGGACATCTTTAATATTCAACATATACAAGTTCTATATTTATGTATTCATTTGATTTCAGACTCTTCCAGTGCTACCTGGGCCGGGAGCAGTACGGCTACCTACACACAGACACAGGACCCACAGTTCTGTAAGTGCTGTATGGCGGGAAATGTTTGCCACAATTAAACTTTTGCCTTTTTGGCCCTCGGTAATGAGGGCAAAGTTATCTTGACAGTGATAATTAGTACACAATACTTGTATACTGTGTCTAGTAATCACAGGTGAAGGGCGAAATACTGTATCGATACATCACAAAGGACCCTCAATTTTGTTTATAGATACATAAACCTACGGGACCCTCAATTCTGTTTATAGATACATAAATCTACAGGACCCTCAATTCTGTTTATATATACATAAACCTACAGGACCCTCAATTCTGTTTATATATATACCTACGGGGCCCTCAATTCTGTTTATAGATACATAAATCTACAGGACCCTCAATTCTGTTAATATATACATAAACCTACAGGACCCTCAATTCTGTTTATATATATACCTACGGGACCCTCAATTCTGTTTATAGATACATAAACCTACGGGACCCTCAATTCTGTTTATAGATACATAAATCTACAGGACCCTCAATTCTGTTTATATATACATAAACCTACAGGACCCTCAATTCTGTTTATATATATACCTACGGGCCCCTCAATTCTGTTTATAGATACATAAACCTACAGGACCCTCAATTCTGTTTAAAGATACATAAATCTACAGGACCCTCAATTCTGTTTATAGATACATAAACCTACGGGACCCTCAATTCTGTTTATAGATACATAAACCTACAGGACCCTCAATTCTGTTTATAGATACATAAACCTACGGGACCCTCAATTCTGTTTATAGATACGTAAACCTACAGGACCCCCAATTCTGTTTATAGATACATAAACCTACGGGACCCTCAATTCTGTTTATAGATACGTAAACATACAGGACCCCCAATTCTGTTTATAGATACATAAACCTACAGGACCCGCAATTCTGTGTATAGATACGTAAACCTACAGGACCCCTAATTCTGTTTATAGATACATAAACCTAGGCGACCCTCAATTCTGTTTATAGATACATAAACCTACGGGACCCTCAGTTCTGTTTATAGATACATAAACCTACAGGACCCTCGAGTTCAGGATCTTACAGGAACCTTATACTGTATACATGTACTATATATAAAACAAGACCCAAAGACTAATTTAGCGAGCACTTTCGTCCATCTGGGGACTTTTTTCAATCATATATAAGAGATGTACTTGTGCTTCTTGTGTTTGAAATTAGATTTTACATTTGAAAGTTATATGATAATTCATGTGTTAAAAACTTGGGTAATTTCAAATCAAGATAATTTGAATTAATAGAAGTGTCATTTTCTCTGGTATCTTTCACCCAGGATTTACAGTTTTATTGTCTCGCTGCGATGAAGTAGCCGAAGTGAGACTAAGGTGTTGCTTTTCAGGCGGCGACGTCAGCATAAAGCTTTTGTGTTTGACTTAGTTTCACTGAAAGTATTTGTGCTAGACCAACCAAACTTGGACCATAGGTACATCTTAGGTAGTACATATCAACTCATGCATCAAATGCTGGATGCTTCCTACCTGTCATAGTCCATCGACTTTGTCAGCATCTCCATCAACAGAAAGTTTTTGTGCTCAAGTTAGTTTCTCTGAAACAATAAGTGCTACACCAACCAAACTTGGATCAGTCAGGCACGAGACATATTATTTCAAATGGTGTCTACATTGAATTTATTTCACTGATATGTGCGTTGATGGTCAAAGCAGGGCACAGACGAGACATATCGTCCCTAATGGCTTGTTTTCATTTGACTGTGTTGTGTTACAGGGAACAACAATCATTTACAGACATCAGACAATATACCTCTTCCTCCGTTAACCAATCAACAACGTAAGTAAAACAAAGCTAATGAAAGTCTCAATGTCTTCAGGAATTCCTGATAAACGTATTGTCAGATGGGGATATTTCGCCCCAATCATGCACGTTGTAATTTTAATTCCAAAAATTCAATTAATTTATATATCAAAGATATGTAAATTTTACTGTAGTGGTTAGCATCGCTGTATCAAACATTGACATGAACTTTTGAAAAAAAGAAAAAAAATGATCTAACAATAATTTTTGGTTGCATCTAATAAGCATGTATTCATTTCTATTCTAATGATGAAATAAAATTGTCAAAATTCATTCAATTTCTATCCTGATGGCTATTCAAACAAACATGATTTTTGTTTAAAGTTCCTTTATCAAAAAAAATCAAAAAAATCACAAAATTAAAAATATTTTACAGACACCAAATTTTCATGTACATACAAGGACTTATATATTTACTTATATATAATTTTTATTTTTATTTTTTTTACAGCCCCCGAATTTTGGTGTACCATTACATATTTTGAGCTGGACCAACAGGTGGGGGAAACCTTCAAGGTGCCATATAGCTGCTCCACAGTGACCGTCGACGGCTACACTGACCCTTCCAGTCTTGACCGCTTCTGTCTCGGTCAGTTATCAAATGTTCACCGAACAGAGGCCAGTGAAAGGGCAAGGTGAGTTATCAATCGTACACAATACAGAGGCCAGTGAAAGGGCAAGGTGAGTTATCAATCGTACACAATACAGTGGCCAGTGAAAGGGCAAGGTGAGTTATCAATCGTACACAATACAGAGGCCAGTGAAAGGGCAAGGTGAGTTATCAATCGTACACAATACAGTGGCCAGTGAAAGGGCAAGGTGAGTTATCAATCGTACACAATACAGAGGCCAGTGAAAGGGCAAGGTGAGTTATCAATCGTACACAATACAGTGGCCAGTGAAAGGGCAAGGTGAGTTATCAATCGTACACAATACAGAGGCCAGTGAAAGGGCAAGGTGAGTTATCAATCGTACACAATACAGAGGCCAGTGAAAGGGCAAGGTGAGTTATCAATCGTACACAATACAGTGGCCAGTGAAAGGGCAAGGTGAGTTATCAATCGTACACAATACAGAGGCCAGTGAAAGGGCAAGGTGAGTTATCAATCGTACACAATACAGTGGCCAGTGAAAGGGCAAGGTGAGTTATCAATCGTACACAATACAGAGGCCAGTGAAAGGGCAAGGTGAGTTATCAATCGTACACAATACAGTGGCCAGTGGAAAAAAATAAAGCATTCCATTTTATATTTGGCAATGTCACTTCTATAATGCCACATGAAGACAACAATGATGAGGGTGTATTAACTCATTGACCCCTGAAGTTTCATAATGAACTATTCCAACCTTTGAATTGGAAGGGTTCAAATGTGTCTTCAGGGGTGAATGAGTTAATGCTTCTGAAGCAGATTTCAACAGAACTGAGTCTGTACTGTCACCATTGCCTTTTGTTTACTACAGGATCAATAGGGTAAGAGAAAAAGAATCATTCAGCACCTTAACCCTTTCATCCCCATGTGACTTTAGTAGACTCTACCATGCATTGATCCAGATGAGTCTGTTATGGTCTACAGTGGTGAAAGGGCTAAGGTGAGATGAGGAATCTCAACATTCGGGGAAATATTCTTAAGATGCCAAACAGTCTGCAAGCCTTTTGTTTGAAAACTTAAGAATATTTCCCTTTTGGTTAAAATTCCCCTATATCACCCTCTTGGGGGTGAGATTAATAGAATCTTTTACCCCCTTGGGGGTGAGACAGGGTAATCTCAACCCGAGGGGTAAGATTCTTAAGTTGTCAAACACGAGGCTTGCCGAGTGTTTGACAGCTTAAGAATCTTACCCCGAGGGTTGAGATATCCCCGTCTCACTCCCAAGGGGGGGAATGATTATTTTTCTCTTACCCTGTTTACCCTTGTATTTTACATAGACGTTACAGCAATGCAAGACAATGTTGATGTGATGCGGCTGAATTGTCGACGTGACGTCATTGTATTGTTGCCGTGACGTCATGGTATTGTTGCTATGACGTCATACAATTGTTGAGAACGTGCAAAGAACATGTGTAGCTTGTCTCAACCCTAGGGTGAGATTAATAGAATCTTTCACCCCCTACGGGGTGGGATAGGAGAATCTCAACCCGAGGGGGAGGATTCTTAAGTTGCCAAACACGAGGCTCTGCCGAGTGTTTGGCAACTGAAGAATCTTTCCCCGAGGGTTGAGATTCCACTATCTCACCCACAAGGGGGTGAATGATTCTTTTTCTCTTACCCTGTTCTTTCATTGTGTATCATATGCACAATGTAATGATAACGTTACATGCTAAATTCAGGGTTGACGTGACGTTGATGGATTGTTGACGTGACATCATTGTATTGTTAAAGTGACATCATGCCATTGTTAGGAATAGGGGAATCCCCCCGTCTCAACCCTAGGGGGAGACAAGGAAATCTCACACCGGTAAAAATGCGGATACACCTGTCCAGGGTAAGAGAAAAGAAAATCTCACACCGGTAAAATGGTGGATATCCCTGTCCAGGGTAAGAGAATCCATTGTTCTGTATGTTCAAAGAAAACATGTATGTGACATGAGTTGAGTTGAGTTGAGTGCATTGAGTATTTCTATATATCATAGTGGGCCACAACCCTCCTTTATTAGGAGGGAGACTCCCTCATTTTGACCAAAATTTACCAATCTCCCTCATTTTGACAATCTCCCTGGAAACTCCCTCACTCAAGTCCAAAATCACACAAACTCAAAATCTACATCCTGTGGTCAAATGATCTCCTAGTTACTGCAGGGTGTGGGTAATGATGTGTGTCTGAATCAAATGAATGCTATACATTTTTGGAGTTATTCTGATGCATAAAAAGGGAAAGATAGATTGAGCAAAGCAGTTTCAGTCACGTTTCACGCACTTTCTCCCCCATTGGTAGTGGAGGTCTCCCTCATTGGAAGTGGAGGTCTCCCTCATTAGAAGTGGAGGTCTCCCTCATTGGAAGTGGAGGTCTCCCTCATTAGAAGTGGAGGTCTCCCTCATTGGAAGTGGAGGTCTACCTCATTTGAAGTGGAGGTATCCCTCATTGGTAGCGGAGGTCTCCCTCATTAGAAGTGGAGGTCTCCCTCATTGGAAGTGGAGGTCTCCCTCATTGGTAGTGGAGGTTTCCCTCATTGGAAGTGGAGGTCTCCCTCATTGGAAGTGGAGGTCTGCCTCATTGGAAGTGGAGGTCTCCCTCATTAGAAGTGGAGATCTCCCTCATTGGAAGTGGAGGTTTCCCTCATTGGTAGGGAGGTTTCCCTCATTGGTAGGGAGGTTTCCCTCATTTGGGGTTTCACACGTTGACACCTATGATATATTCGTTGTTTTGGATCATAAGATATTTGTACAATAAAGCAGACATAAATGATTTGCCATTGTTGTAGATTACATATAGGTAAGGGTGTACAGTTGGACTACCGAGGGGAGGGTGACGTCTGGATACGCTGTGTCAGCGACCACAGCGTCTTCGTCCAGAGTTACTACCTCGACCGTGAGGCTGGGCGTGCTCCCGGTGATGCTGTTCATAAAATATACCCAAGCGCATACATAAAGGTAATTATACATAAATATAGTGCATATATGATGTCATTGTATTGTCCCTTGTTTTGTAAGAAGCGTCCTTGATTAGTGTTGTCATTTCTTGTTGTAAGGACTTAAAAATTACCATGAATTCATAACGTTATTGTTTTGTACAGATTGTTGTAAAAATCACCCTGAATTTGTAACATCATATTGTTTTTAGTCAATTTAAAATATCACTCTGAATTTAGGACGTCATTGTAGCTTACCTAGTTATGTAAAAATGCCAAAAACTTGTGGGATCATTGTATTGTTCCTAGAAATGTAAAACAATGCTGAGGATTCGTACATGTGGAGTCATCGTATTATTTCTACTGGTATAAAAATCATGTTGTGTTTGTAAAGTCAAAGTGCTCCTAGCGACATAAAAAGACACCTTGAATTTATGAGGTCATTGTAGCTTACCTAGTAATCATTATGTTAAAAACGCCCCAAATTTGCAATGTCGTTGTATTGTTATTATCCCCTCGCAACAGAAGTTCGAGGGGATAAAGGATTCCGCCCGTACGTATGTACACATGTACGTATGTACACATGTACGTATGTACACATGTACGTATGTTACACTCTTTGTCATCGCTCTAGCAACTTTTCTCAATGGAAATTCATGAAACTTCATACAAGTGTTCGGTATGACAATACCTTGAACAAGTTCACATTTCTGGTTACTGCGTTGAAGGTTAAGGTCACTGTTACTATTTTTAAAAAGACTTTTGTCATCTCTCTTGCGACTTCATTTCCTCTTACATATATCATAATGTGTGAATGCGAGGGAATTTGTATCACCTTTGATTCCTTGTTCCTAGTAACGTCACGACTGTTGCTTTTACATACTGCATATAAAAGTTTTCTATCATAGGGTTATTACACTAGATTGACAGCCAGATGATATTGTACGTTCCTATTTTGAACATCCCTGGATCCTATTTGTCTAGAACATGGTCAGCCCTCTTACACTTTGTGTGTCTTACAGGTATTCGACATTCGACAATGCCATCGACAGATGCAGCAACAAGCCGCCACGGCACAAGCTGCCGCTGCCGCCCAAGCTGCGGCTGTGGCAGGAAATGTCCCCGGGCCGGCCTCTGTGGGGGGTATAGCTCCTGCCGTAGGTAAGTTACTGGTGGCTGTTTGTTTGAGTATCTGCATAGAGGTCCGTCAGTCCAGGTCATGTAAGATTAGTAAAATGGACATTTTTCAATATTAGACCCAACATATGGACTATGGTACTGTATAATAAGATTTTTTTTGCCCAGTCAAATTTTCGCCCTTTGATTGTAAAAACTGTTTTCGCCCAAAATTAAATTCGCCCAATAAGAGAAATTAAGGTTACTTTTTAAAATTCTTCTCCTTAAATTGGATTGTAGGGATGATGAAATATTTGGGTTGTATGTACAGTTGAACCTCATTAGTTTGAACACTTTGGTTTGTATGCACATAGGGACCTGGCTAGTCAGGACAATTAGGTTTTTGTGTACACTAGAACTTCATTAGTTTGTACACAATTCTACAAGAAAGTTATATAGAGATCAATTAAATGTGTTTATACTTTATCTCTTACATTTGTTTGTAGGTCTTAGTGCGGCAGCCGGAATTGGTGTTGACGACCTGCGACGTCTTTGTATCCTGCGCCTGAGCTTTGTTAAGGGCTGGGGACCAGACTACCCCCGTCACAGTATTAAGGAGACTCCATGTTGGATAGAGGTTCAGCTCCACCGCCCTCTACAGCTCCTGGACGAAGTACTACAGACCATGCCACTCAGCAGCGAAGTACGGCCACGCGGCTTCTTCCTAGGCTAGACATTCGTCATGGACATGATTTATCACATTGCCACCAAAATTGTTTACAAACCTACCAGTGTTAGACTTTGCATGGATTATCTCCACTGCTCCAGCATAAGAGACACGTATTATTAGTCTTACTGCCATGATTCGCAATGAAATGCTTGTTAAGTTTGTTTTGGAAAACTTTCCAACTTATGAGTGTTCAACCCTTGTGTGGACAAGTGGACGCCCCTGTCTCAAGGGCAGGACAAATCTAATTCCAAAGGATAAGATTCTTGGAAACCCAACAAAAGGCTTGCCAAATATTTGGCTTTCGAAAATCTTAATCCAAGGGTTTGTGTTTTTTACGTCGTTCACACCCCTTAAGAAGGGTGTTTTGGCAGAAAAATAATGCTTTTTATGCCAAATACCCAGCTAAAAATGACATCATCTTATTATAAAAAGTGACATAATTCATTTGTTTTCATTTTGATGTCACATGCTCATTATACCCTAGGGGTTGACACAGAAATTACTCACGGCTAAAGTGTGAGCCCAATCTCTGAAAGGTGGGATATTGAATATTCTTGTGTGAAAAAGATATCATTTTACAGGGAGTATACTGCCATTATTTGCTAATGAATTGTTGACAAAGTTTCATTTGAGAAACTTTCTATTAATATAATGAATTTGGTGAATTAGATAGATTTTTACCTTTAATTAATTAACTAGGAAACATTTTTACAAAGACGTAATTGTAGGTATTACTTGTGCTACGTTGAGCGTAGAACATTGTGACGCTGAAGGGTAATTTGTTAGGTTCCTGTACAGCCTACAGAGTTGATCTAGGTTCCTGTACAGCCTACAGAGTTGATCTGCGTCAAGTCAGCTCTTTCAGTACAGCTGTAGAAAGTCAACAAATCTCTGGGCCCTTGAAAATTGAATTTCCAGAAATTAAGCAGCATTAACTCATTCATCCCTGAAGACACATTTGAACTCCTCCAATTCAAAGGTTGGAATAGTTCATTATGAAATTTCAGGGGTTAATAGATGTTCGTGGAAATACGGCCTGGTCTTCATCAATGAGAGAGCATGTTTTAATTTAATAATTTTTGGGGCCCATGCTAAAAACAATTTCATGTCAACTCTGATTCTATGCTCATGGCTGATTTCTTGTTTAGGTAATCAAATAATCAAAATTTACATTTTTTAAATGAAGCAGGTTATCATTTGCAATGTCTAGACTTGACTTTATGACCTTGTTACATGATTTTAGCAAGATACAAGAAAGTTGGGTTGAGCACAGAATCCATGTTTAACATGAGCACAGTTTCGTGAATATGGAACCTGATGTCCACCAGAGCATTAGTCAACAGTAGTGACAAGATAGGTTACTGAAATGTTTGTGTGTAATTCACTCTGACAGTGAGTTTATGTTTGTTATGGAGTAAACGTGTCACATCGGTTGTTAATTGTGAAGTACTTACAATCATGTCGGCCCGTAACTACGGTTACCGACACACTTTGTCAAATTATGATGTTTACTCTTGGTGCATATATCATTCTTGTTTAATTGGTTGTTGAAATACTTATGTAAACTGAATGTACGTTTGTTCTCTGCTGTGTGTGAATAAACCGGTGCCCCATAATTGTACATATTGTACTATCACTTCACTGTCACCATGACGATAAACAAATAAGCCATGACTACCCATGCATAGAAACCATGGTTACATCATTATGAAATGTCATTATCAGGAGATTTTGTTTAAGGAGTTAGGGGGAAAAAACCCGATGTGAACGATTCTCTTTAACTCATTCACCCCTGAAATTTCATCCTGAACTATTCCAACATTTGAATAGGAAGAGTTCAAATGTGTCTGCAGGATTGAATGTGTTAACTAGCGTGTGAACAAATAGCAACAAATCAGGAGAGTAATTAACATAAGTTAACAGAATTTGTTTCATAATTGTTGTAAAATAAATGATTAATTATTCAAAAAACCCAGATCATGTGAATTATTCGAATAACACAGATGAAAGATAAGTTGCAGGTTAAACTTGCTATATGATAGGAAGTACGAATTATATTTAGCAGATGTTTTTAAAATAGGGATGCAGAATAGAAAAACTTTATAGTGTTTGTCTAAAACTATCATAATAGCTTAAAAAGGGACAGTCTTTACAAATGAAATTTTTATTTGACAAATGATAAGCAGAGGTGTCTGGATCTTGGGATTTAACTGTAGAGATGAGTGGAATTGGGTAAAAACTACTGTTAGGAACTCCATATTTTGAATATCCTTTGAAAATGTTGGAATCTCAAAAAAATACCACCCCACATCAGAACTACCCCTTGAAGTGACCCAATGCAGATTTTATTGACGATAACATGACTGGTTTTCTGGACTTCAGACACAGGGGCTTACAGAATGTACAGAGTGACAGAGTTACAGAATTAATTTGTTATATACTGGTAAGTGAGCTTTATACTCACTGAGGCTGTGGTAAGGGGAATCATGAAATGGTTTCATATGAAGAGAACATTTTTAAATATCAAATCTTGATGTTTCAAGTAAAAGTTGGTGCGTAAATGTATCAATTATCATCATTATGCGACACATTTGTTAATTTTTAAAACTCGTTGAGTTTCCTGTGTTATTTCATCAATGTGGTTTACATGTTAATTGTATTTGTGCAGTCCGTAAAATTTTGGTCTACATTATATTCATGAGCATGCATAATCCATTAATAATTTGAGTGTGACTGTAGTACTGTATGGGGGGAAATTTTCGCAGCAGTTTAATTTTCGCCTTTTTTTACCCTCCGTAATGAGGGCGTATTTATCATTACAGCCAACATTTGATTTCATGGACGAAGGGCGAAAGTTCGACTGGGCGAAAATTTCCCGATATACTGTATCTTTATACCAAGATCTGCTTGTATCTAGCTTCCTAGCTTATTGATACAAAGTGAACTGTTCAAATAATACCAAATGTTCAATTTCATTTAAACCAACTATTCAAATACAAATGATAAGATCAGTTAAATTCCAGGGATACTTTCAGTGAAATGTTCAAATTGAAACGATGTTTGTATCAAATTATACGAAAGTCAAATATTTGAATTCAAACAATTCATTGAGTCAGATCTTCCGTTCTTTATACATGATGGTAGATGTAGGAATAAGGTTATATAACAGTGTGTTAAAATCAGTATTTTAACAATTGAAGTATATATATTGTTTTGGTAAAAATGTCGGTTAAAAGTTTGGTTAAGTTCAGAAAGTAACCACATTAACATGTGCTGTAAGGACACTTGTGTTATTCAGGGTTTACAGTACATGGTAGAGTGGTGATTTTGATAAAAAAATCTCCCAATTCAAAATGTACCAGGTAGTTTCGAAGTATCTAATTGAACCTAAACGTGTCCTCTAAGAGTCCCAGTACTACTACCAAAAACAGTAACAAAGGTTTTCCAGGCATGACTATATCTTTTGTAAATCTTTTCTGAAAAGAAAACCATACCTTGCGAGACTTTGAAGAGAAATAATAAAGATAAAATAAATAAATATTATCAACAAATCAGCGGGGCTAGACTGGGATTTGAACCCTGGACTTCAGATTGTTATACTATCGCTCTAACTGATAGAGATACCTAGTCAACAGAAGTGTTCTATACCAGTGGTGCCACAGATATATCCAATCGGAAATTAAGGAGAGGATACTGTAAGTTCGAAAAACCACAGTGCAGTGGGACAGGGATCCTTAAGGGGAGGTTACTGTTATTTAGAAAAAACCACAGTACATTGGGACAGGGATCCTTAAGGGGAGGTTACTGTTATTTTGAAAAAACCACAGTGCAGTGGGACAGGGATCCTTAAGGGGAGGTTACTGTTATTTAGAAAAAACACAGTACAGTGAGACAGGGATTCATAATGTCTCATTTAAGATAGGAGCAGTTAAGTAACATATACTGCTTTATTAATTCTAAAAACCAAAACATCTTGACTGAAGGTTATTCCAGTGCAACATGTGTACATTCAAGAACTCCAGGTATTGTTTAGGGTACTACCTATAGAATTTAATCAATAATTTGTAACGAATAAACTGGAAACCATGTGTTTTTGTTTTCAAAATTGATTTGTTCTGAATGTACTCATTCATTAATGCATGGTCATTTAACTTTTATAATATCATCATGTTGACTATTTATAATTATAAATTGAAATATTAAGGCCAAATAAGATTTATCTTTAGTTTCTTGGGCTGCAATTTAAAAAAAACTATTGTCTACTTAATGAAACGAACAATAATCAGAAAAAATAAATCTTAAACTGACAAATGTTTGATTTTGATATGTGGTATTCATGTTTTGGTTTTATAATGCAGCACATGAGAAACTTAAGATTTATTTTGTTTGGCCTAATGATGTCGTTTTCATGTTATCACCTGTATCATTGAAATATAGCTCTAGTTTCTTCTCCTACATTTAATCATGCATATTCATTAGTGTATTTGCATAATCTTTCAATAATTTAAATGTTAATGGCGGATTTACATATTCATCAGTGTATTATTATAGATTTTTAACATTATCATGTTTACTATTTATCATAACATTTTTACATATTCATGGTGTCATTTTCATGTGATCATTAAGGTAAAAATAACAATTTCTTCTCATATGTTCATAAAAATGTCATTTTACCTTTTAGTTTGTCATTCCTGGTAAAATTTAAAAGCATGTATTAAACATTGAATCACCTAAAAGGACAAAGCTAGTTTTTATGAACGAGTACGAATGTGCAGATCTTGTTTTCAGTGCCTGTGAGCTTGCAAAATGGTACAGCATCCGTTGTCTTTCCATCTACCTGGTCAACTTTGACTGTTTAGCAAACCTGGCCCGAAGGGGCAAATTAGGTATTGCAATCTGTTGGTGTCTGTCATCCATCACCCATCATCTTAAGCTGTTCTCCAAATGATTTCTTCTCAAAAACTACTGGGTCAATTTAAACCAAATTTGGAAGAAAAAGAAAGGCGACTGAATATGTTTTGGGCCACTAAGATGCAAAAATGGAAAAAAATTGTCATTCTGAACAAAGTGGCAATCCAATAGTTTGATATCCATTATATATCACCTATGCCGTATTCAACCTTATAAGTGTACTGTGCCCTTACCAAACACAAGAGGAGTGCACTTAATGAATCCTTTTCGTGCTCAAACAGGTAAAACCGACTATGTCTGTGTTCAAACTGGCCAACATCGACCTCCCAGACTGGTTCACGATTAACACGCTGTTGCTTCTAAAGTGAGTCATGTATCTGCTATATCTTGCAGCAGGACTTTCTGCTCAAAATGGATGCTAATTGGTCGTGTTTAGTGAAAAGTTATGATGTTGTGCGAGTTTTTCCAGGACATTTTGACCAACATGATCACTTAAAAACAATGGCAGACAGTGTTCTGGCTATTTCAGAGAATGGTGGTGCAGGGCTGACTTGAGGCAATTGTAGACTAAGAGGTCTTTAGGTTAAGGACACTTGAGTTACATTCAAGGTCACAGTGAACAAAACATCTTTTAAAGGACAGAAAGTCGTAGAGTTTAGGCCTGAACTTAATGACTTTGGGTGTTAATTAGTTTGTAAAAATAAATTCTATTGACCAATATTCAAGGCCAAGGGTCTTATTTCTTGATCACAAACTTCTACTAGAGAACCAAAAGGTGTAGAGTCATGCTATTTTGCCAGTAGTTTGCCGAAATAAAGTGTGATAAATTATGCTTTGAAGAAATTTAAATTACCCATGTTCAAGGTCACATGGGTAAATTTGTTAAAACAATCAGAGGTAGGAAAGTCACAATGCTAAGCTAGTGCCTTGCTGGCATGGAATACTACTAGATTGCTAGAAGACGCAAAAAGAAAAGCCACTAAACTCAAGTGAGCGCCTTGAATGCCAAGTTTTATTTTCTACAGAGTCAATGTGTCAGTTAAGTAATATTATGGTCACCTACAGAAAATAACATACTAATGCACGCTATTTTCAGCCTTGAAAGTAAAGACAAGATTCCGAGCTCAGAATGCTTGTTAAAATGAGAAGGTTCCTTAAATTTAATGAGCTCCTTATTTAAGTTAAGGAAGGTTCATGAAATGCATTTTTAGGTCACCTGAGACAAAGTCTCAAGTGACCTATTGCGATCGCCTTTTGTCCGTCGTCGTCCGTCGTCCGTCCGTAAACAATTTACATTTTCGACTTCTTCTCCAAAACCCCTGAACCAATTTCAATGAAATTTTGCAAGGACCTTCCATGGACAAAGGTCTACAAAATCAGTGGCCGGTTTAGTCCTAAGCCCCCAGGGGCCTGAGGGGCGGGGCCAAAAAGGGTCAAATTGACTAAAGTTTCAAAATTCTTCTTCTCCAAAACCCCTGAAACAATTTCAATGAAATTTTGCAGGGACCTTCCATGGACAAAGGTCAACAAAAATAGTTGCCGGTTTAGTCCTCAGCCCCTAGGGGCCTAAGGGGCGGGGCCAAAAAGGGTCCAATTTCAAAAATCTTCTCCAAAACCCCTGAACCAATTTCAATGAAATTTTGCAGGGACCTTCCATGGACAAAGGTCAACAAAAATAGCCCTGGGGAGGGGGTAAACTTTACTATAGTTTATATAGGGAAATCACATTTTGGACAATATTTGTTTAATTTCCATTGGAAGTAATTCAATTTGGGTTAGCATTATCAGTATTAGGTAGCAGTTTGATAGTAATCACATATCAGCCCTGACTGACCCCCAGGGGCTGATGGGTGGGGCCAAAAAGGGCCGAATTTACTGAAATTTCAAAAATCTTCTTCTCAAGACCCAGATATGGTAGAATCAAATTCTCTTCATAGATGGAAGGGTCTTAGGGTTTATGACCCTAGGGTCTCACTTTTACCCCCTGGGGAAGGAGAGGGGGGGGGGGGGCTAAATTTATTATGGATTATAATGGCAAATGATACTTTGAATATTACATGTTAATAACTTGATTGGAATTATAACCTTGAATTGACAGTTTGATACTTTGAAAATTTTGAGCCAGCCCTACCCCCAAGGGCTGTAGGGTGGGGCTCAAAGGAGTCAGTGTGCTAAAATTTCTTTATTTTCCTTGTTTAGAATCAGAGGTGCTAGTTTCAAATACTTTTTAGTCTGAAATCTGTATGCTAGATATTGAATAAGGTGGTTTTTTTTGTTTTTTTTTACTTTGAATAATATTTCTGTTCATGTTAAAAACAAAATCAACTCTCTGTATAAATATATCAGGTGACCGTTAAGGCCCATGGGCCTCTTTTTGTTAGGTGTTGTAAAAAGTCTGAAATCGAATGGCTTCAACAAATAAGGATATTAAGATCTAGCTTTGTAAATACAGTTGAAAGAGCATCTAAAAATACCTGTGATTAATAATTAGTGACACAGAGTAAAGAGTCAAACAAATGAATGTAGGAACATTTCAGAGATCAAGAGGAACAGTAACAGAATCAGATTAGGAATTTGATGTCCTCTAAAGGCAGCTATCAGCTATTCAGAGATGACTTGTATGCTTACACAAGCTTATGCATATCTTGAAGTTCACAAGGGTCATATATAGATGACAACAACTAAGTGGACGACTTACAATTGAATTTAATTAGCATACAAATATAAAGCATCATGTTCTTCCTTTATCTATATATATATCAAATACATGAAACGATTGTGAGGTTAACTTTGGTGACGTATTTATTGTATTGTGAAACATGGTGAAATGAACCGGGGTCAAATTATCATAATAGTAACATGAATCGCGGTTCATTTCACCATGATGGTAATACATTCAGGAAAACATTTTTTTCCAATCAATGTTCGTTCTCAAAATTTCCTCTTTAGGGATGGGAGTTTAATTGTGAAATGAAGGGTTTCACCATTTTTTCCTATGTACTTTTTTTTTTAACAATTCTTCATTAGTTTACGTCAATTTGTTTTGATAAGTATGAATACCGGTATAGCTATACCGTTATTATGAGATATATGTAGTAAGTGTCGAAAGAAAAAATAAAAATTAACTCGGTGACTATATAGTATGGTATTGTGTAGCCGCGGTAATATGAACAAATAATTGTTCATATAAAAAATATTTGTTTAAAATAGTAAAATAGAAAAAAAATACTGAAACCCTTCATTTTACCTACCATTATGGTAAAAATAACCCAAAAACTTGTCCCTCCATAAACTTCTCTGCACAAAACCTAATATTTCGTGATTTTCACTCAAACTAAAGGAAAAAATGTAAAAACCATTCCCATAGAAAAAAAGGTGACACCTTTCATTTCACCATTATGGTTAGCTGAAATCCCCCCCCCCCCCCCCCCGCCTCATCCTAACATCCAAATTGCTCTACCCCAGACATAAGTTTGTTATTTTCATATGTAGGACAAAAAGCTAATGCAAACTAAGGAGGACATTTTGAGAAAAAAGTTTTTTTTGAAAAATGTTTTCTGTATGCCACCTGAATTTTACCATTTTATATGATCATGATGGTGAAATGAACCGTGATTTATATAACTATTAAGGTAATTTAACCCTGGTTCATTTCACCATGTTTCACAATGCAATGCTACACTGGTACCAAAGTTAATCTTACTGTCGTTCTAATAATTTGAACACTTATAGATTAAGAAAGAACACAATGTGGTTTTTTTTTGGGTCAAAATTCGATTAAAATATTGTCTTTCCGTTCGTCCGTCTGTCTCTCTTGCAGTTCATCAATACAAAAACGACTCGAAACAGAGCGCGTTTAATATATCGTACATTGCACTTCTTTATTCAAACATCAAGAAAGAAGTTGATAACAGTACATCGTTATTTTTTTTGGCAAAATTTAAAAGATTATTACATTCTGTCTCTTTCCGTCCATCCGTGCGTCCTTCCATTTCTCTGTCTCTCTGTCTCTTGTCTCTCTGTGTCTCTCATTTTTAGCTCAGGAAGAACAAGTGAGCTAATGGCATGGTGCGGCGTCCGTCGTCCGTCCGTCCTCGTCCGTCAACTTTTCCTTTAAACAACTTCTTCTGAAGAACGGACAAGCCTAGAGTCATGATATTTGGCTGAAAGCTTTGTTGGTAGGAGCCCGACAAAGTCTGAGAATGAAAATGATCTAGACCTACTTTCAAGGTCACAGGGGTCAAATATGTCAAAAACTTAAAAGGACTTTTTCTGAAAAACTAAAAGGTATAGAATCTTCATATTTCACTGATGGCTTCCTGGGATGGAGCCCAACAAAGTTTGAGAATGAAAATGACCTTGACCTACTTTCTAGGTCACAGGGGTCAAATGTGTCAAACACTTCAAACGACTTCTCCTGAAGAACTGAAAGGTATAGGATCTTTATATTTGGCTGGTGGCTTCCTGAAATAGAGCCCAACAAAGTGTGAGGATGGAAATTAGTTTGACCTACGTTCAAGGTCACATGGGGTTAAATATGTCAAATGCTTCAAACGACTTCTTCTGAAGAACTGAAAGGTATAGAATCTTTATATTTGATAGATGGCTTACTTGGATAGAGCCCAACAAAGTTTGAGAATGAAAATGACCTTGACCTACTTTTAAGGTCACATGAGGCAGATATGTCAAACACTTCAAACGACTTCTTCTGAAGAACTGGGAGGTATAGAACCTTAATATTTGGCTGGTTATTTCCTGGGAAAGAGCCAAACAAAGTTTGCGAATGAAAATAACCTTGACTTACTTTCAAGGTCACAGTGTTAAAATATGTCAAACGGTTCAAACTACTTCTTCTGAAGAATTAAAAGGCATAAGATTATAATATTTGGCTGGTTACTTCCTGGGATAGAGCTCACCAAAGTTTGCGAATGAAAATGACCTCAACCTACAAGGTCACAGAGGTCAACAACATTTTTAAAGGATTTGTTCTTAAGAACTAAAAGTAATGGATTCATAAGATTTGGCTGGTAGCATTTTGGAATAGAGCTAACCAATATGAGAAGGAAAATGACATTGACCTACTTAAAGGTCACAGGAAAAAATATGTCAAGCAACTTCTGAAGAAGAATAAAAAAACATAGAATCCTATAATAATATTTTGCTGGTAGTTTCCACAGATGGAACAAAGTTTGGGAGAGAAATATTTTTAGTGCAATATAATATTTAATGTGAATATTTTGCTATGACTGCTTCAATATTCAGGTGAGCGATACATGCCCTCTTGGGCCTCTTGTTTAGTCCATCAATTCAAAATCGAGCCGAAACAAAAACACGTTTAATATATAATACACTGCACTTCTTTATTCAATTCAAGCAACAAGAAAGATGATAATAACAGGAAAGAAATAACTGAAGTCTACTTAATTTATAGCGAGTGTGATATTCATGAAAGGTTACTCTCAAACCACGATAATAAATTTCCTGATATGCCATTTTGTCTTAATTTAAATAGATTATAGTCTCCTTCTTCATACTTCCAAATTCTTCTTTTGTATGTGTTACTAGGATAATAAATTGCTTTAAGCTTACATAAACTGGGCAATGATCACTACAGATTGGGTCTAGAACACCAGCTGAGGAATTTTGGATGTAGTTACTAATAATTATCAAATCAATTAAGGTACTTGAGTTCTCTGTAATGCGAGTTGGTTCTTTTATTAGTTGAGTTAGATTAAAGTTATTTAGGAAATTCTTAACATTTCTAGATTTATCTGGAATTAATATATCTTCATTAAAATCTCCTAAAATAACCCTTTATAACCCTATATACCAATTTGTTTTCAAATCGAATATCTAAATTTCGACCAATCAGAGGCCAGGAATTGGCAGCCATTTTGTTTAATAAAAAAATCGACCGCAGTTGTATTTGTAGTGTCATACTAAACCGATGCACCAAATTGCATCCAAATTGGACAGTGTTTAAATTTTGACCAATAAGAGGAAAAAACTGGCAGCCATTTTGCTGAAATGTGAAATCTAAGCTATGGAGGTGATCATTGTCCTATGATACACATACATACTAAATTTGATAGAAATTGGATAGTTTTTAAATTTCGACCAATCAGAGGCCAGTAAATGGGGGCCGAGTGATCAAATTTGATTAAAAACTGGATAATTTTTAAATTTCGACCAATCAGAGGCCAGTAAATGGGGGCCGAGTGAGCAAATTTGATTAAAAATTGGATAATTTTTAAATTTCGACCAATCAGAGGACAGGAAATGGGGGCCGAATGATTGTTGTCCCATAATTCACCTACATACCAAATTTGATCGAAATTGGACAATATTTAAATTTCGACCAATCAGAGGTCAAGAAATGGCGGCCATTGTTAAATTACAAAATAAACCCCGCTGTTGCTTTTGTAACGCCATACTTAACCTATATACCAAATTTCATCAAAATCGGACAATGTCTAAGTTTCGACCAATCAGAGGCCGCCGTCCAGCTGACCAGTCGGATGACCGATGAAAAAATACTCTTGCGCACCGCCTGTCATACACGAACACTCTAAAAAGTTTCGTTGAATTCCGCCCTACGATTTTCGAGAAAAATTTCGGACCCCTCCTCGGCGGAAGAAAGTGGAAGAAATAAGAGTAATAAAAAATAATAATAATAATAATAATAAGAAACGGAGCAAAAGCAATATGTCCCCGAACTGTGCTTGGGAGACATAATTAGACAAAATCACTTGAAATATATACAGTTCAAAATAAGCACATCAAAACATATTTTTAGACATTATGTCCTTTCTACGTGTCATACAGTTAACATAGCGGTATATTTATCTACATTTAATGTCTCAGTCTTTATTAGTACAACAGTTAAGTGTAGTTATACAATAATCAGCTGTCCAGAGTAACGTTTTGGTGTACAATGGGGTTTAGCGATGAATTAAGTTACAGGTATAAAAGAATCCGTAAGAAAAAATACAAAGTGATGTTGGCGGAAAGCGAAGTGGTAATTGGAACAATTAATGGACTTAAAATCGAGGTTTAACACTGTGTCGTTTGATGAGGACTCTTTTGCTTTTATAAAAAATGTTTTTATTTCGTCATTATTATAAACACGTGAACTTGAGTGCCGGGTCAACTGCGTTCATACTCGGATCTGCGTTACTTGACGGACTTTTGACGCCTTCCCTACACATGTTTCGGGTCGTCTGCCGTGTGTCGTCCCAGTCTATTGTTTCATATGATTCTGTCTTTTCGTAGATATATATGCCATGTTCCTCTGTGTCGGGAATAAACCACTCATGAGACACGATTCCGATGTTGTTTGATCCGGAGTTGACAGAGTGTAATTTGATGTCGCCTTCCCATGACACGGTACAAAATCGACCGACAGGAGTTATCGTAACTTTTGTATAGTCGTGTCGATTGTCAGGTGAAATACGTGTCAACACATTTTTGAATAAAGGGTAAGTGCCACTGCATTTATATTCAATACAAGCTCCACCATTCTCCACAGCGACCTGACGAACTCCCAGGATTGTGTCCGTTATTCCACTATTTGGACCAGCCTTACTTTTAACCGTGAAGGAAAGACCTGATGTTTGTCCATCAACAGCTATTTTTATCATACAAATTTTGAATTCGGACATTGTTGTCGGGTTTTTGTACGGATACCATAACCTTGGTCCGTGATCGGCTGCGGTTGCCGGAATAGACATGGAGAAGGCCACCGTTGGACCAACAGAAAGCGGAATAAGTGTATATTCTGCGAAAGAATTCACAGTAGAACTTTTGTAGAACCGAAAAAGATCATTGGATATTTGGAAAGATGCCTTGATGCTGACGGGATTGGTTGTTGTTTTGTAGTTCAGACGGGAAAGAGCAGTTGCTGATAGTCCACTTGCACCTGAAACACCAGGGTTATACACTTCTGCTCTTTTGTACGCTTGAATATATCCCCAAGAGTCACTTCGACAAAACGTATACTGACGGGAACCGCTGTTGCACGACATTTCCTTGACCGCTGTGACGTACTCTGACGTACTTCCATACCTTTCCCCGGGATACGTCATGTGTATGACTCGAACAGTGTAGCCGTTTACTGGGTTTTTGTTTGTGTCTGTTACCGACGTTTTAAAGTAGCATCTTTTGAATCCACGATAGCAGTCTAGGTTGATAGCTCGGAATGCACTTATCGGAACCTGTCCTACGACATAGTTTCTAGCAGATCGCCTCTTGCGTCGTTTTGATGTCTCTATGACCATAGATCCTACCTCTTCCCATTGTCCTGTCACGGTGTTGAGTCCCCAAAGCTTAGCATCAGTAACGTTTCCGGAATACGTACTTTCGACAAAGGTAGCGTCCAGTTTGATGGTCACGTTTCCGACAACGTTCAATTTGTTTCCAGATTCATCTTGGAAATCCAGGACGATAACGCCAAAAGTTTGAAGATCCTGTGTGTCACCCTCTGCATCAGTGAATTCAAATGATCCGGGCGCAGCTGATATACTGCTCACGTTTCTTGGGTCAAATATGTTCACGCTAGCCTTTACCACTCCGTTGTAAGGGTTTCCGGACGCGTCCACGTACGAGTTTGGAGGTATTATCATCTCTGCTATGGCTGGCATACCACTGATATTTCCCATCGATACTGTATTTTCGACATCTGATGAAATTGATATACGAGGCGCAGCTTCCATCAACGTAATTTTCTGGTAAACTGCTCCTTCCATTGTTTCATCGAATGTAAGAAGTCTTGTGGTAGTCAGCAAGGTTTTGAAGAGAGTGTCTTCTATCGTTAAAGCTACACTTAAACTACCGGCGGGTAGAGTGAACGAAAACACACCAGAGAATGTGGTCCTGGCTACAGATGATCCATTCACGTATATCGTACCGAGACGCAACGCGACACCAGTATTGAGTCCATTGACCTGGCCTTGTACCTTGATATCAGCAGACGAACATTCGCCACAGGAACATCCAGTCACGACGATTACCTTCAGGGTATAGTCACTGCACTGAACCGTCCGTTCTTCCTCTGAAGAAGGTATGCAGCAGAACTTCTTGGTAGGACCACATAATCCGTCCTCATTGTTCGAACTGCGACATGTCTTCTTGGCGCATCCTCCAACTTCATACAGATTTGTGTTGTCAGCCTGAACGCAGTCGGATGGAAGACTGATTTTTTTCTCTTCGTACGCATCCTCGCAAAACTCGGCTTTTGTTGCTGTAAAAGAAGAACACCAATCATGAAACATTTTAACTTTGTGTCCTTAATTTTTGCAAAGTTATAATACTCTACATCTCTACGATATGTAGGAGCTGCCTCCCCTATAATGTTTTTAGTTCTTATTCTGAATCCCAGATATTTCATACATTTTATCATAACATTTCAATTCGCTTTCTCTTTTGTTTTCTTTCTATTTCTTTCATATTCGATTCTGCAATTGTGATATGGTGTTGTGTAATGTATATATGTAAATACCATCCTAGTACGTAACCTAACGTTACTCCGTGTTGAGGGCGAGTTTATTATTACAGCAAATACATGTAAACAATTTACTACACATAGTTATAAAATGTGAAGGCGAATTTATAACTCTGGGCAAAAATTGAATTCAAGGTTTAACTGAGCGAAATTTCCAGGTATACAGCAATTTATCTGGTCACTATCACAGTAATATACTTTAAGGGTTGAATTACATTTCACGGTCAGCAGGGCTGACGCTGAGTACACAGCTCCCACGGGACTGTTAGCGCGACACTTGTACTCGCCACTGTCACTTATAGTGACGTCATTCAGTGTCAAGTTGTATCCATCCGGGTACTTAGTATCGTCAATTAAAACACCGCCTTTCATCCTATATTAAAAATTGAGATCAAATAAACATTAAACAATAAGTAAACATTAATAGTTGTTGGAAAATCTTATTTCAAAAATATGCAATTAAAGCAATAATACGTTTTCGCAGAATTTTCCAAAACAAACCCGGTGTTCAGATCAGACTTGATAGGATATAACACCTTTTCGTTTGGTCAGAATTTTAATGAAATATAACGATAAGGTTAGGAAAGCTCTCGTTATTCATTCACAGCGAACTGATATGTCTGGTGAAAAGCCAATACATTCTATGAAACACTGATTGTGCAGCAGGGCTTGTTGTACAGTGTGACTTGTTGTATAGTGTGACTTGTTATATAGTGTGACTGGTTGTAGAGAGGGACTGGTTGTATAGTGTGACTCGTTGTAGAGAGGGCCTGATTGTAGAGTGTGACTTGTTGTAGAGTGTGACTTGTAGTGTGGGACTGACTGTAGCATGGGACTGGTTGCAGTGTGAGAATAGTTATAGAGTGGGAATGGTTGTAAGGAGGGACTGGTTTTAGAGTGTGACTGGTTGTAGAGTGTGACTGCTTATACAGTGTGACTGGTTGTAGTGTAGAACTGGTTGTGGTGTGGTACTATTGGTGTGATGGTTGATGATTAAATAGATCCTATATTATTTCGTTGCATTGTATCTTATTTAGTACAATTGGTGTTTAATATGACCACATACCATTCATAGCTGGTGATAGCAGGGTTTCCGTACGCTTCACAACAAAACGTGACATTTTCTCCCTGGACACGGACACGTGACTTTGGATTCATACTGATGGCAGGGTATTCTACAAGTAATTTAATGTTTGAAAACTAATTTGTATATATACCTTTTTCACATGATATGTTTACTTTTTCAATTACAATATGTAAATAACACAATATCTTCACCGATAAAATATTTAATACAACAAAGGTATTTAAGAACAATAGAAAAAAATGGTTTTGTAAGCTACCGATTACTTTGACTTGACTTATTCCATGTTGTCTTACTCTACATAATCATCTGTACTAAACAACTAGTACATATTAATTATTTAACACGAAGAAGATGCGTACCTGTGAGGGACATCTGTACAGTGACCGTGGTGCTTGTTACTACAACAGTGACATCAGCGTAGCCAGCCCTGGTGATGACAACTTCTACAGCCTCACATGTAGTGTCCAACACAAATCCACCAGTTTCATTGGTTGTTGCTAACGTTTTGTAGGGAACGCTAGCGTGTGCGATTGAAGCCTCGTTTAAGGGGACGTTGACATGGTTACGTACAATTCCCTGCACAGTGTTGGACGCACATTCACATGCTGTACAATCGGCGTTTAAGACACCAGTGGTACAAGTCTGAGAACAATCTAAAAAGGAACAAAAATATGTTATATCAGATAAATACGAGGAAATACTTTATCAATGGCAAGCTGATTTTACCAAGGTTGTCAATGGCTGCATTGGTGCGCATGCTACTGCATCGCTGGAAAAAGTAGCTTGACAGTAGGGCATTATTTCCCCTTGTAATCCTTTTATTGTCGTTCTTCATGCAGACTACTTTATTTTAAGAGCAAATTGAATGGAAAATGTTAACTCTTTTAACCAGCTTAACATAGATGAACAAGAGGCCCAGAGGGCCTTATCGCTCACCTGAATATGTTTAAAATAATTGGTATGAAGTAAAGATATAGCACTCCATGGTAGGTGCTGTAAGAACATATGAATTTTGAGAAAGTTCCATCCAGTACTTGAGATATAGCGAGAACAAACTTCAAACAGAGCCCCACCCCTATGCCCCTAGGGGGGTCATACCAACCAATTATACAAAATTGAGACCCCTTGGTCCAAGGATGCTCCAGACTAACTATTGAAAAAATCCCTTAATCTCGATGGTCGAAGTACCTTAGGTTGCTCTGCATCAAATATTGACCAAATCCTTTCATTCCTACAGAAGAAGACGGATTTTAAAGAATAATTTGTTATGTTTCCCCTTTTGGGCCCGCCTCTCAGGCCCCCGAGGGACAAGACCCGCGGTTTATACAAAGTTGGTTCCCCTTCACCCAAGGTTTCTTCAGACCAAATATGGAACAAATCCTTGCATTCCTACAGAAGAAGAACGATTTTAAAGAATTTGCTATGTTTCCCATATTGGGCCCCGCCCCTCAGCCCCAAGGGGTGTCAGACCCACTGTTTATACAAAATTGGTTCCCTTTCACCCAAGGATGCTCCAAACCAAATATAAAAACAAATCCTTTCATTCCTACAGAAAAAGAAGGATTTTAAAGAATAATTTGCTATGTTTCCCCTATTGGACCCCATCTCTCAGGCCCCTGGCGGGCCAAACCCATGGTTTATACAAAATTGGTTCCCCTTCACCCAAGGATGCTCCAAACCAAATATAAAAATACATTCTTTCATTCCTACAGAAAAAGAAGGATTTTAAAGAATAATTTGCTATGTTTCCCCTATTGGGCCCAATCTCTCAGGCCCCTGGCGGGCCAAACCCATGGTTTATATAAAATTGGTTCCCCTTCACCCAAGGATGCTTCAGACCAAATATGGAACAAATCCTTGAATTCCTACAGAAGAAGAACCATTTTAAAGAATTTGCTATATTTTTATCTATTGGGCCCCGCCCCCAGCCCCCAGGGGGGCCACACCCACAATTTATACAAAATTGAGTCCCCTTGGCCCAAGGATGCTCCAGACTAAATTAAGATAAAATCCTTTAATCCCTACGGTAGAAGGAGGATTTTCAAGGTCTTACCTCTATTTCCCCTATTGCGCCCCGCCCCTCTGCCCCCAGGGGGGCCACACCAACTGTCATACAAAATTGAGTCCCCTTGGCCTAAGGATACTCTAGACCAATTTAGTTAAAATCTTCTTGGCCGTTCAGGACTAGTAGCATTTTAAAGGAAAAGTTGACGGACGGACGACGGACGGACGACGGACGCTGCGGTATGGCATAAGCCTTCGGACCAGGTGAGCTAATAATGCATAAATCGTCAAAATTTCGCATAGTTTTTCCCAGAAAAGTTATCCTCATGTTTTTCTTTCAGTTTTTCCGCATTTCTTTTCATCATAATCAGTATTTTTTAACCCTTTACATATATATTAGGTTCATCACGGATAAGTGGTCGTACCTGGACAGCTCCACCGGTTGCATGCCTGAGACTGTGACCAACTTCCAACACAGTCAAGGTCCGAGGAGGATGACTTCTGACAAACTCGCGTCCTTAAATGGGTACCTCCTCCACAAGTGACGTCACAAACTGCCCAGCCTGACCAAGTTGTCCATACTCCGTACACTGCATAAGAATAATAATGCTTATATGTAAAACAGTTTTGCACGTACTAAATTTTCAACGCACGTGTTTGAGGACCAATGAAAAGCAGCACAAAGGTGCTATATATATTCTTTGGCATAAACAGTTCAAAAGGCCTCCAGGTCCTGTTCTGTGACCAAAGGGGCTAATATATAGTTGACTTATTAACCAAACAAACTAAATGGAATAAAACCGTCACTGCTTAAAGTATTATGTAGAGTAAGAATCTGCTGAAAAGAACAGCCCAAAAATATATATCTATATAATACCCAGATAAACAACCCAATTTATTTTTTCAATGTCTTTTGGTTAAAGGCCGTAAGTTGTTTAGACAATTACAGTACCTGGACAAGTTGCCAATGAACAAGTGGTCGTCTCCACATATTCTCCCTGACAGATCGGGTCATTCGCCGATGTACGAAGACATGTTCTGTATCTCGTGTGATATCCGGTTCCACAAGTGGCTCCACAAGACGTCCACGATCCCCAATTGTTCCATGTGCCATTGGCTGTTGATTGTGTATGATATTATATGATACAAAGTTATTCTTAATTTAAAGTTGAAATTTGTAACAACAACCCAATATGTAACAACAACCCAATATGTAACAACAACCCAATAGGTAACAACAACCCAATATATAACAAAACCCAATATGTAACAACAATCATTTTTTCTTGAACAAAAGAAAAACAAAAAACAAAAAAGGAAAAATTATGTCAATATGTCATCTTATAATTGGGATGAAGCATGGATAAAGATGTAACGATCTTAACATATTTTGCAGGTGACCGAGTTCACAGTTAACCTGATAAAACTTCGAACTTTATAGACAGACACAATCTAAAAAGATAATGGCATTTTTTTTTTATAAAAAATCAACTCCTATTTTAATTATAGCATTGGTAGAAATTATATCTTTTCAACAAATGCCACCTCAAATGTTTATTTCTTAAATATTGGGCATGTCAATAGAAATATGTTTTTGATAAAACGATAAATACTTACCACTTGGTGCCGGTGTGGTTGTCGTTAATCCTGCAGTACTACTTGAGAGTTGAGGACCTATGTAATTATATAAACACATATTCAGTATCAAAATAGGTCAAATATCGAGCAGAAATTAAGATAAAGTAAGTCAGGAAATCACTTAGGTATAATTACTGGAAGATAAACCAGGGCCATGGGGTGTATAGATATGAGAATTATTCAGGCACTTTGCTATCTAAAAGGTACCACTTCTGGTATAAAGGGACATTTCACATCGCTCTATTACTGGAAACATATTCATTACGCGTTACTAACAATTTCAACAATCACAAAAGCTAGAAAATAGGTAAACACAAATAAAACCACAGAAACTAAGGTGACATTGACGAAATTTTCAGACGATATAGTTGAATTTTACAATCATCCGGTTAGAAATTTAAAGATAACCATTATACTGATTTTCTTTTGTTGAAATGGAATTTGAATTGAAACATGGAAGGTAGGAACAATAAACATTAGTTTAAAATCCCGGTTTGACAGATTTTGAGTTGTACCGGGCTTTACATGTGAGATGTGTAAATAGTTAAATGGAAGGAAGTAGCAATACGGTTTAATATACCGATTTGCTAGATTGTTGGCTGTACCAGACCAGGGTATAAATGTGAGAACTATTCGGGAACTCTACTTTCGAAAAAAACTGGTATAAAGAAAACATTTTCATTGCTCAGGTACGGGAAATGAATCCATAACACATCCTGTCTTCCCATAACAAAATATTATCACAAAATCAGTGAGAAACTATTATTATGGTCTGTATTACCTGTTGTAGTGGATCTTGTGGTTGATGTTGTTGTTTTACCTTAAAAGTAAATAAAATATTAAAATTATACAACCACTTTATGAGTGTCTTGTTTCTTAAACGAATCAAGAGCCTACCGACTAATAAGGGAGTTGCGATCAATGGTAGTACATTATCGCCAAAGAAAGAAAAAGAAAGACCGGCCGTTTAACAACAAAATAGGAATATGTTTGGTTTATCGAAATCTAGTTTAACGAGTAAATCATGCAAGTGAATACAAATTATTTGTCTTTGTAAAATTGGGAAGAAACATATGAAAGAAATTATTTATTGAATTTTACACGTGTTGTCACACACCTTTGGTAGTAGTACATACCATTTACAAATAAATGTATATCAGACAAGCTGCATACCTTTTTTTATAGCTTCAACACTTCAGTAATTATGAGTAGCAGTCCCTACATCATTCATCATCGCTACAACCTACCCCTTTCCTGTCTTTGGCGTTTTATTTATTTTTAATTCAAAGACATTTTTAGAAATCATTGGTTTAGCTAGGAACCAAGCTATCATAAGATATAGTTGGGTTACAGCTACCGCTACAATATGGCACGTTTACTGATGATCGGGAGTAGCAACGGAGACAATCTCAAACACATCAGAACTCTCTCTGACGAGGATCAGAAGGTCACAACTGACCTGTCTGTACGTAAGACTGGAGTTGACAACAATGGAACAAATGGTTACAGTGAAATTACTAATTTCCGTGTTCTTGTTCATAGAGATTGTAATCAACAAAATGAAGGCTTTAAACAGCAGAACTATTGACGAGTTAACGACCTAAGGTTATACACGCCGTTTTTTGGCACACAATTGACAGGTAGTTAGAAACTCATTGTTTCAACTAACCAGGAAGTTTACTAAAACAATAGAACAAATCAAACCTTTATAAATGTAAAATACAGAATAAAATCAGTTCTTTTTAAGCTCTTCTACAGGTACTGAAGGGGAACTAATCTTCCTGGTTGAGTATTAATCGGTAGGCGTATTTGGTTAATATTTATTGTAAAAGATTCATAAGTTAAAGCTATATGACGAGAACGCCAATAAACTGTGCCAACACATTACAATGTGGACACGATATCATAAACCTGCATACATCTTACAGTACTGTGGTTTTACAAATGCCATATCTATACATACGATGGCCCATAGCAGCCGTCACGACAACTGCTTTAGTAACAAAGAGTTACCAATATTTAGTAGATATATTGCCGTGGCACCAGATCAACTGTGGTTTCTTTAATGTCTCCCAAGCATTGAATTAGAAACCTAGATCCCTGACTTTCTACCTAATCCAGAATAATTTTGAGAGTGAACCCTGAACACAACCAGTCGTCTGTCAATTACGTCATACAGAGGGATACAGTGGGCCTATTCTTCACAAGAACCTGCAGGCGTCCTATCGGGTTGTCAAGAGTGAAACAGTCAAGTTTGTTAATGAACAAGAATGCTTTTGAATTATGTCTATATATTATTTATACATGTAAATTTGATGTTACTTTTTTTTATCACAATAACAATTACTAAAAGGAAATAGTAAAATTAGCATATTGATTTTACAATTTGTATCAACGTAGCTAAAGTAGAGGTTAAGGATCACTGATCATGGTACAGTGTGAGGGTATGCTACTCTCTACCTTCTACAGACATTTATATCCAGGAGCTATCTGAGACAGCCGCTACATAGACTGATGGTAATGTATGTACCCATGCTAATACGTGTTCATGTACAGCTATTATCTTTATTTTCTGTTCTGTTTATAGGGCTAGTTATTGAAAACCATTTCCAATTAACACGGATCGTTGTAGATATCATGTAGTATTATAATAACTGAACAGAACAGGCCCCGCATGCTATCAGCAAGGATAAGGTTGCTCACCTCGAGACTTGTCACATTACTTTAGTGTAGACATTAGTTACATATGGCTTGCCTGCATAAGGAATCACGATTGAATGGCCTTTAAAAACACCACATGTAACAATCATGTTTGATCACTTATTACCCAGTCATAAACCTGTATTTAGTATAGTTTGAAATCATTCCTGTCTCCCCTACATACTTTGACTGTAATACAGAGAGCCTAAATGTGGGATTCTGTGCCCCGCTCACTTCTGACCTAGAGCTGTCACATACATAAAGTAGCGCGTAATGATAAACACATGGCATGTTTTTAATTGTGTAAATGTGAATTTGTTAGGATTGGTTTGCATCAGTTGCCTGGTGCTGTCACCCCCTCACCTTCCATGAGTTCCCTAAGTTCTATACATGTTTCAGTTCATATCTAAATCTATTAAAATTTAATTCAACAAAATTTGGATTTATTGACACTTGTTGATTGATCCCTTTTCCAGCAATGTAAGAAGATAAAACATAATGAAATATTTTGTTCTGATCAATGAGACCTTACCAATAACACAACATAAGACAATAAATTGAGATAAGATCCTAGAAACCAGGTCACACCATGTCATGTATTATACCATTTAAAAATATTTATTTTCCCTGTTTTTACTATACATATATACCCAATTATTAGCAATCGTTCCATCAACCTAGGTAACATTACTGTCAGGCATGCAGCAGGCATACCGGTGAATAGTTTTAATTTCTGGTTTTGTTATAATCGTCATTGTTTTTGTTGAGTTAAAGAGCCCAAGAACTTTCAAAGCCAGCACACCTGTACTGTGTAGCATACCACTTGTTATCGGTATGGGCAACTCCTTATTACTAAAGCAGTTGCCATGACATGTACCTACTAAATATGGGCAACTCCGTATTACAAAAGCAGTTGCCATGGCAATTATCTACTTAGTATAGGCAACTCCTTATTACCTAAATAGTTGCCATGATAGGTACCTACTAAACATGGGCAACTCCTAATTACTAAAGTAGTTGCCATGACAATGACCTACTAAATATGGGCAACTCCTTATTACCAAAGCAGTTGCCATGGCAATTATCTACTTAGTATCGGCAACTCCTTATTACTAAAGCAGTTGCCATGATAGGTACCTACTAAATATGGGCAACTCCTTATTACTAAAGCAGTTGCCGTTACGGCTGCTGTTGGCCATTGTACATGGATCTGAGACAGAAAAGAAACACTCAAAATGCTTTTAGCTAAATTATAATATTTTGCTGACAAAACACGATATACAGAATCTAGATTTATGAATAAGAAAGCACCTATTCAAATATTTAGTTTGACAATAATTTAGTTTAAACTAGCACTGAAGAAAAAGAATTAGAGAAAATCCAGAAATCATAGATATGAAAGTAATACCTTGCAAAAACAATATATAAAGTAAATGAATGAATAAAAAAAGAAAGGGGCGGACATATTGTCGCTTAAGTTAGCAGAGTTAACATGAACTCCAAAACAGTCTTTTATTTTTATTTTTTTAATAAAGAGCTAAGAGTTTTACTACAGTAACAACATTAATGTATAACATTATGCGAGTGCAGCTACAAGTGTACAGGTTTACTTTTGTGCAGGATTGGATTTTTTAAAACTTATTTTAACTGATTCTATATATAACGGTGTACCGCAAACACCTGTTCGAATTCTTTATAAGATTATGTTATATCACTTTATTCATAATAAATTACCAAATGTGATAACAATTCAATACCTATAAAATAAAATAAATAAAAAAGTTTAACCATCACAACTCCAGTCTTAAATTTTAACTGAAAAAGACAAAACTTTGAACAAGAATATTGAAACTCAATCATGAAACATAATTAAATCAATTTACCATTTTACAAGCATCACTGATAAAACACATCATAAATTTCATTCTAAAACACCAAAAATGATGTTCTACACACGTAAAAAATAGCATTCTACAAATATCAATGATAATTTTCTGCAAACATCAATAACTATATCCTACAAACAACAATTTAAATATTCTATACACATCAATAATTAAATTATACACATAGCAACAATAATATTATACACAAGGCAACAATAATACAATCTTAAAACGCAAAGTTATTTTTCGACCTGAACAAAATAACGTTACGTACCTATTTTCCCCAGTGGTTGGTTGTACTTGTGAACTGCATCCGAGGATTTAATTTTCAACGCTATGGCAACAGATATTGCTACAACGAGACCTATGCCTGTGATGACAGTAGCAGCAATAAGGAAAGTTTTTATGCGATTCGGAGAGGAAACCGGTTTTACTGCAATTTCGAACACATCGGATCGCTCCGTCTGTAAGTTCATAAAGGCATTGAAAGGCCGGAACTTTTTGTTTGCGTTGGTATCCATGACGACAGGTCAGGGAAAGTGATATGTTTGATATCACGAATAGTAACCGATGTTCGTGATGGTAAGATGTACAAACACGCACATAGAACACCTAACTAGATATACCGAACAGTTCAATACAGCATTCTTTATATACGTTGTGAATGGGGCAGTCTCTCACATACGATAGGTTTCCAAATACCAGGAAGTACAGATAATTGGTTGTCAGAAATGGGATAAACATGACGCATGGTGTTATTTAAATTACAAAAGGACGGGCTTTGTCTAACTAAGACTATTATTAGCTGTGAAATAATGGCATTATTCAACAAAGGCTTGACACGCTTTAAAAAGACCAATGCCAAAAATATCAAGATATTTGTTTCAATGATGAAACACTATTATCTTTTGCAAGGTATATATATGTCTTATACAGATGAAAGGTGGCAATCACGATTGGCGTTTTGATATCAGGAAGTACTAATATGGGTTTTTACATAAATCATAATTAAATAATATGATATCATTTTAATAGAAATAGGCCGAGCTTTGTCTCACTGATTGACTTGTACTTATGTGGTCAAAGGCTACCTTCTAAATAACGGCAGTAAATTGACATACCTGGTACAACTCCTTACACGTTAGCTTGTACAGTTGATGATACCAAATGTAAATAGTTTACAACCTTAAAGCGTGGGATTTTATTTTTTCTTGTTGTTGCAGATGTAAGCCTGCTGCTGGTATTGCTTTGAAATATGAACTCACTGTACACGACATTTGCGTCATAACTGAATCTTCCATAAGCTGCATATTGATATTATTGATAGGATTATGAAAACTGTGCTCACACAATCATATTCATTTTGAATTAAGAAATAAAAATACCACCCTACGATATTATTCAGCACATTTAAAATCCCATATAACATGCATGACAATATGTGAAAACAGAATATGAACTCACTGTACCCGACATTTGCTTTATAACTGAATCTTCCAAAAGCTGCATATTGATATTATCTTCTATAATATTTCTTAATACCTATCAGTGATAAGATTACCAAAATAATGTCAGTTGATGTTATATTAACCTCAGGACTACTTTTCTTAATCTGTATAAGTCTTTCTATCTAATTACTTTGACTTTTCTTCATACAATAAAAAATACTTATATCACTTTATCCCTTAAGCGAGCACCTGTGTTTAGAGACAATTTGAAACGTTCCCCTTTGTATTGATTCAATCAGTCATTATTGTTTTGTAAATAATATGTATAGAGATAACAGGAGAAAAATGAATTACAAATATATATATATTGATTTCAACATCAATAATACAAGAGCAAAATATGAACAAAGGAAAACAATTACATGGCGAACATAAAAAGTACCAAAGACCAGGAGTTCCGCAAGGGTCAGCGCCTTCTGCTTCATCAACAACACCCGCCATATTAATATATTTATATATAACTTCTTTTGATTTTATCACATAATTTCCGTGTTTAATGTATTCAAAAAAAATGACGATCTTGCATTTGAGACAATATACACGAATCATAATTTCAACTTTGAAGAATTTTTATATTATATATGCACTTCTTTAACTAGGTCACCGTCCCATCGTCATCAAATAGGGGTTTAGTTGTTGTAATTTATAGACATACATAACAACTATTTTTCCTGTTGTCAGGATGTTAAAACACAATTTTGTTCAACACGTTTGAAAAAATAAGGATTAATTCCGGAAAAACCCTTTGGCATCAATCCTAGACATATAATTAGATAAACTTCCGTTGAACTACAGGAGGTCTATATTGTAGATCTCAAAAGCGGCTGTCATATTGACAAGGTAGTTCTCCGTAACGTTGATATACAGATACGCCTGATTAAAACAAATGTCCCTCCTATAATACTTGAGACTTCTTCGAATATTCAAAAATGCTTTGATCCACACATCAAATGACGAAACGCGTTTATACCAGTTTAATACATATACATCCGTCTTTCACTACCACCTGGTGGTCAATTCACCAGTTTATAACAAATATACCACATGTCTATAACACCATGCTTCTACAACAAATACATGTCTACTATTAATTTCACTAGTCTATAACATAGCTATCACATGTCTCATCCTCGATATTACCGTCTGTCTATAACTTCCGTCTGTATATTACTACCACCTGTCTATAACTACTACATGTCGTTAACTACCATCAGCCAATTCTTCCACCTCTTTATAACTACCACCTGTCTATAACTACCACCTGTCTATAAATACTTCCAGTCTGTAAATACAACCTGTCTTTATCTACCACATCTCTCTAACTACCACCTGTCTTAAACTACCACCTATCTGTAAATACAACCTGTCTATAACTACTAGCTGTTTTAAACGACCACATGTCTTTAACTACCACCAGTCTATTGATACAACCTCTCTATAACTACCAACTGTCTATAATTTCCACATCTCTTTAACTACTAGATGTCTATTACTTCCACCTGTCTATAACAACCTGTCTATACCTACCACTGATTTTAACTGCCACATGTCTATAACTATCACCTGTCTATAACTACCACATGTCTATAACTACCATCTGTCTTAAACTACCACCTATCTGTAAATACAACCTGTCTATAACTACTAGCTGTTTTAAACGACCACATGTCTTTAACTACCACCAGTCTATTATTACAACCTCTCTATAACTACCAACTGTCTTAACTTCCACATGTCTATAACTACCACATGTCTATACCTACCACCTGTCTATAACAACATGTCAATAACCACCAAATGTCTATAACTACTACATGTCTATTACTATCACATGTCTATAACTACCACATGTTTATAACTACCACATGTCTCTAACAACCACCTGTCTATAACAACCTGTCTATAACTACCACATGTCTATAACTATCACATGTCTATAACTACCACATGTATATAACTACCACCTGTCTATAACAAACTGTCTAAAACTACCACATGTCTATTACTACCACCTGTCTAAATCGGCCTGTCTATAACTACTACCTGTCTATAACTACTACCTGTCTATAACTACCACCTGTCTATAGCTACAACATGTCTATAAATACCACATGTCTATAACTAACACATGTCTATGACTACCACCTGTCTATAACTACCACATGTCTATAACTACCACCTGTCTAAAACAACCTTTCTATAACTACCACCTGTCTATAACAATCTGTCTATAACAACCACATGTATATAAAGAACACATGTTTATAACTACCACCTGTCTATAACAACCTGTATATAACTACCACCTGTCTATAACAATCTGTCTATAACAGGCACATGCATATAAAGAACACATGTTTATAACTGCCACCTGTCTATAATTACGTCCTGTCTATAACAAACTGTCTATAACTACCACCTGTATAAAACAACCTGTCTATAACTCCCACCTTACTAAAACAACCTGTCTATAACTACCCCATGTCTATAACTACCACCTGTCTAAAACAACCTGTCTATAACTACCCCATGTCTATAACTATCACCTGTCTATAACAACCTGTCTATAACTACCACCTGTATATAACTACCACCTGTAAATAACAATCTTTCTATAACTACAACAAGTCTATAACTACCATCTGTCTATAACAACCTGTCTATAACTACCACCTGTCTATAACTACCACCTGTCTATAACAACCTGTCTATAAATACCACCTGTCTATAACAACCTGTCTATAACTACCACATGTCTATTACTACTACCTGTCTATAACAACCTGTCTATAACTACCTCCAGCCTGTAGATATGACAGTATATAACTACCTCCAGCCTTTAGATATAACAGTCTCTAACTACCACTCGTCTATAACAACCTGCCTATAACAACCTGTCTATAACTACCCCCAGCCTGTAGATATAACAGTATATAACTCCCTCCAGCCTGTAGATATAACAGTATATAACTACCTCCAGCCTGTAGATATGACAGTATATAACTACCTCCAGCCTGTAGATATAACAGTATATAACTACCTCCAGCCTGTAGATATAACAGTCTATAACCACCACCTGTCAAAACAACCTGTCTATAACTACCACATGTCTATAACTACCACCTGTCTATAACAGCCTGTGTATAACTACCTCCAGCCTGTAGATATGACAGTATATAACTCCCTCCAGCCTGTAGATATAACAGTCTCTAACTACCACTCGTCTATAACAACCTGCCTATAACAACCTGTCTATAACTATCACATGTCTACAACTACCACCTGTCCATAACAACTTGTCTATCACTGCCTCCAGCCTGTAGATATAACAGTATATAACTACCACATGTCTATAACAACCTGTCTATAACTACCTCCAGCCTGTAGATATAACAGTATATAACTCCCACATGTCTATAACAACCTGTCTATAACTACATCCAGCTTGTAGATATAACAGTATATAACTACCACATGTCTATAGCAACCTGTCTATAACTACCTCCAGCTTGTAGATATGACAGTATATAACTACCTCAAGCCTGTAGATATAACAGTCTCTAACTACCACTCGTCTATAACAACCTGTCTATAACTATCACATGTCTATAGCTACCACCTGTCTATAACAACCTGTCTATAAATACCACCTGTCTATAACTACCACATGTCTATAATTACTACCTGTCTATAACAACCTGTCTATAACTACCTCCAGCCTGTAGATATAACAGTATATAACTACCACATGTCTATAACTACCACATTTCTATAACCACCACCTGTCTATAACAACCTGTATATAACTACCACATGTCTATAACTACCACCTGTCTATAACAACCTGTCTATAACTACCACATGTCTATAACTACCACACGTCTATAACTACCACATTTCTATAACTACCACCTGTCTATAACAACCTGTCTATAACTACATCCAGCTTGTAGATATAACAGTATATAACTACCTCCAGCCTGTAGATATGACAGTATATAACTGCCTCCAGCCTGTAGATATAACAGTATATAACTATCACTCGTCTATAACAACCTGCCTATAACAACCTGTCTATAACTATCACATGTCTAAAACAACCTGTCTATAACTACCACCTGTCTAAAACAACCTGTCTATAACTACCACCTGTCTATAACAACCTGTCTATAACTACATCCAGCTTGTAGATATAACAGTATATAACTCCCTCCAGCCTGTAGATATAACAGTATAAAACTACCACATGACTATAACTACCACATTTCTATAACCACCACCATTCTATAATAACCTGACTATAACTACCACATGTCTATAACTACCACCTGTCTATAACAACCCGTCTATCACTACCTCCAGCCTCTAGAGATAACAGTATATTACTAAATGACACACAGATGTTAATGCACCTATTCAATGTGGTGATACATACACTATGCCAATATCGGCCAGGAAGATATATATCTAAATTGACTGAACAGAAGGAGAGCCGCATAAAATCAGGAATGACACTTAATATATTTTGCCATTTCATATAACAACATGGTAGCATCGTTAAAATCACATTGATAAAGCTTTATCCATTTAAGACAAAGATCTATTTATAGGCATGCAATGGAGGGTACTGTGTTCAAGCCAACTTTCCAGTTTATATCTTCATTTTTATTTGTGATTTTAGATATTTAAATTTCATGTCTATGTGTTTTTATTGATTTTATACACATGCTACTAAAACAATTAATTAGACGTAGTCGAGCGATACCATCAGCTAGGGGTGTCTGACCTAATAGGTATCTGTATATTTATTTATATTATTCCAATACTCTGTTTATAATCTCGACACAAATTTTAGGCAGCTTTTATTACTAATATATAATATTCTTAGCGCCTTGCTTGGAAAACCCTCACTTTTGGCTTTAATGTTGAGCGTTCAATGTTGGTTGTTATTTCCCTACTTAACGTTCAGCAGTAAGGGGAATGACAACAACTGTTTCACCCGTTGTCAGTATAATGTGACAGGGATGAATGTTGTGCTGGGCGCCTGCGTGGCATTTCAGTGAAATTGCACTTTAAAGTCTGCATCAGATCGTCGCTATCACAGGGAGGCAACAACATCAACATACGCTGTCTCCGGCACCCATACAGGAGTGTTACCTATAGACCTGACACACGACCGGCTACTACTACTTATATATCGGGGGTTACCTATAGGCCAGACAGACGACCACCTCTTACTACTTATATATCGGGGGTTACCTATAGGCCAGACAGACGACCACCTCCTACTACTTATATATCGGGGGTTACCTATAGGCCAGACAGACGGCCACCTCCTACTACTTATATATCGTGGTTACCTACTGCTATCGACAAGAAAGATGAACAGGTCCGGTCGTTTTTTCTGTTTTAATGTTAATTACTTTTTTTAAGTTCTTTAAGGTACCTTATAGTACATGTTTCTGTCGTTTCGACCACGTTGTCTATCTCATGTTGGTCCAGATCATTCCTGAATTGACAATCTATTATAAGTTACCATCCGGTCCATTAACAGTTATTTGGTTAAATTGTGTTTTATTTCTTGTTTGTTCCTGTTTTTGTTTTGTTTTTTAACTTTGCATCCTTTTTTGGCTTAAAATTTTAACTATCCTCTAAATATATCACATCAGATCACCGTTGCTGTGAATATTGTGTGGTGCTTTATGAAGTATGAAACATCACACTTACATCACAATGTTCCGTATGCTGTAAGCATATCATTTTTTGCGGTATTTTTTTTATTTTAGCGGCTTTCAAGCTACTTCTCGTCCGCTAATCCATGGATGCTGCAAAAAAAAAGACTATTAATCACACGATAGTCATTCCATTATTACAATATTTCCATGAAGACTAAATGCTAACAACTTACCTGCATAAAACGTGAAAGAAAACTTTGTTATTCTAAGGTGCTCGACCGATTTACTTGACTCTCTTTTCTGAAGGGTTTGTTCCGATACATAAGATGTTCACCCAGTATATGAATGTTACAGTCTATTTCAGAAAACTACATTCGCTCTAGTTAATGAATTTTAGTACTGCGATTACGCTTACGTGAGAGTGCGCTAATAGGTTCTATTTTCTCCTTTCCGCTAAAACTTGAGTGCGCTAAAGTCAGTACGCCTACAGTGAACGTGATTAACTATGTACTATATACATCCACAATTAAATAGGTTTTTCTAGAGTTAAGGCTGTGTCTAATTTTAACTTACGTCCTTGTTAATTGTGTCAAGATGTCACAGCCAGTCAAGAACACAATGGACAGATGATTAGATCAACAATAATTGGCACGTGGCAAAAGGTCATCAAGACATAGATGTACACATCAATCACAACCTTTGTTGAATAGAAATCGGACACAAAACACATAGCATGTAATAAGGACTTTTAAATCTATTATCAGATTGTCTAGTAGCTATTATTCATTCATAATAAATCGTGCGTTGACGCAGTAATAAACATGTCTATGGCAAATTGTGTGTTTACGCTGTGGTATATTTCATTTATGTATTTATCTGTTACATTTATCCTTTGCAGATTTCATCAGTTTTCCTCAAAATCTAAACAATATTGTAATGTAAATCAAAGTTTGCTTTAGGTGGTTTGCCTCTACCGTATGAACATGTACTTACTCATAATTTGATCAAATCAACTGAAATATTTACAAGCAGTTAGACTTTAACTACATTACGGCAGCATGTAAACTGTACTGCCCCTCCAACCAGGTAAAACTCAATCAGTTACCTTTTCATTTTTCTCCTTAATATCATGTTTCATCTTCATTCCCATCAAGCATCAAGGCTTGTTATTAAGGACGAGAAGGACTATGTATAGGTACGTAAGTACTTGTTTCCCAATCAACAGAATCAAATGTCTTTTGTAAGTGTACATGTTGATTGACATGAATAATATATGTTTTAAATAAAGTTTGCTCTTGTTTTAGTAATTTTTAAACTAACTTATGTCTAAGATGTCATTGATACCTTACTACATACCTGAGGTTGTTGGTGTTGACATTGATACCCATACAGGCGACAAAACACAATGCTACCTATGTATGTATACATACACGAGATACGAATTATTCAAATCAGATTTGGCAGGGAACATTTTCTATTTAAAGTTACGTTATTCTAAATATGTTTCAGCGAAATACAAGAAATTTCCATTTGTTAATTATTCAGTAACACTAGGAATAAATGCCTTATACTGAGCTTTGTGTTAATGAAGTTATACAGATTTTAGTTGATACAAAAGACCCAGCACTCTATGTCAATATCGTGTCGTGTCAGTTTAAATAACTAAAATGCATTAAACCCACAGGAAATCAATATCAAACTCCCACATACATATTTCAAACCCATTATACGATGATATCTGGAGACCAACAACAAACATTCAAAAGTGTAATCAAAACTTAAACCTTGTCTTCCCATTCGGAGAGAGTGCAGAGAGAGAGTTGTCCTCTCTCGGCTCCGTACTGTTCATACTTATCACACTCATGCTTATCACACTCATACCTATCACACTCATACTTATCACACTCATACTTATCACACTCACACTTATCACACTCACACTTATCACACTCATACTTATCACACTCATACTTATCACACTCATACTTATCACACTCATGCTTATCACACTCATACCTATCACACTCATGCTTATCTGCTACATGCAACGCATATGACTCCATTTACAGCGGAGCATATTTTAAAAGAATGTTCAGTCTTTAGATACACTCGTGATAAATACTTCAGTGCCACGGACATTAAAACCCTTTTCATTTCCGTAGACTTAGATGCATTATTCAACTATATAAAAGACAATAGTCTGTTTTACAAAATGTAATTCCATTGACATATATGACTCCTTTTACGGCATTTATATATATATATCTTTCCATTTTAATCTTTACACGATATTTGTAACTAACTTTTTAAATTTTACTCCATTGTACAATTTTAACTCTCTTAGCCTTTCCTGCTGCTGATTTTATAAGACATACGACGTTGTATATGATTAATATTTTATTCCCAAAATGGCCGGTTCATACTTAAACCTTATTCTGGCCCAAACATAGAAAAGGATGAATGATAATGGTATCGATTTAAAGTGTCGGGTGGCTGACAGACAGGCGTGACCTCTGAGAAAACAACTATGTTGATCGATAATTAAAATCCGCCTACGTGACCGTCTGTATATTTCACGGTGTCACTTTAACGTGTAATGCACATAAAAATAAAACATCACAGCCTTGTTGGGAATTCATTCATTCATGTACATTTTCCTAAAGTGATTTTTGAGTAATATCAAAAATTTACAAATATTCTGTTTTTCCCGTTTACTGTTAAACTTCCATGTTAAAACCATTAAAGCCATTAAAGCCACTAAAGCTACATTATGCGCGCGCTCTATATAATTTTATCTCTTTAATGAAATAAACGTAAACTAGGGGTAAGTTGTTTCTTTTATTAGTTTTTTAACTGTTTAATGACATTTTTAACCTCTTATATTTGATCAATATTCGAGGTAAAAATTTCATAATTTTGCATGTAAATTTAATCTGCTAAAACGTTTGCTGTATGAAATGTTTGCACTCAGTTAATGGTTTTAAGATACACAAAAAGTAAAATTCGCGCTAATCACTGATTACGCTTGTCACCTTTTTAACAACTGGGACCTTGTAGATCGGCTGTTATTAACGCTACGGGAGCAAAACTTGATGAAAGATTGAATGCTTGTACTTGGTAATTTAAAAACCGTTAAAACGTTATACGTGATAGGAAAACGACTGTTATAACTTATAATTACATAATCGAGTTTACGGGACCGAGAACAGGTGTATTCATTCTACAGCTCAAAGTACTGGGATCTGAGTTTATTGTTGAGATCTATTAGAGGATAATGACAGAAGTATAGAGGTAATAATACGTTATTAAGACAGAGACGCTCATATTGAGTAAAGTTTTATGTCATAAACTAGTGTACGAGATAAAACTCATAAGTTTGCATGTAGTTTTACTTCAACCTTTGCCGTATGGATTATTTTCACTCAGTTAATGATTGTGTTTAAAGATACACAAAAAGTAAAATTTGCGCTAATTACTGATTAAGCTTGTTACCTTTCGAACAACTGGGCCCTTGTAGAGTGGTTGTAATTGACACTACTTGAGCTAACGTTGATAGAAGATTGGATGCTTGTACTTGAGAAATTAAAAACCGTTAAAATGCTACACATGATACAATACGACACTATTACTTAATCAAAGTACTGGGATCTGAGTTTATTGATGAGTTCTATTAGAGGATGACGTCAGAAGTATAGTGGTAACATTACGTTATTAATGTTTCTATTGACAGACAGAACCGATCATATTTAGCTTTAAGTTTTATGTCAGAATATTTCTCCCGATCTGACTAGATAATTGTTTTACTGCATGTCAAATAACAAGATGTCTATGTACCAAAACATCGTAAAGATATTCTATTTCCGATGTCAAAAATGTTAAAAATTTAAATATGGATACAAGTGCATGAAGTTAAATAATAATAAAAAAAATCTCTGTAATTATCATAAACTGTTTGATTAATATTTGATGTTAAAGTAGTATAAAATAATTATTTTATTGTAAAACATTAATAGTTGTTTTATCCGTTTATATTAACTACCCGGTTCCTGTCACATGATAATCAAATAGTCAAACAGAGCCTAATATATCGTAATATATAGCACGTGCTCCAAGGTTATAGATGTAAAAGACATGATTTGTTCCTTAACATTAAATGAACAAAAAGAATGAAGCTTCATCTACGGAGCCCATGCTTACTAATCCCTGAGCAGAAGTTACTTATTCATGCGTACGGTTTGGTAGCTCGTGCGCACCGATAAGTAACTCGTGCGCACAGCTTAGTAACTCGCGCGCATGGATTATATTGATACAGACACGGCTCGACTTCTATTATCCAAAGTCGTATAGAAATTATAATTGCATGTCACGGATATGTAATTGTTAATAATTACATAACAAAAACATGTTATTGTAAATAGTTTTATAACAAGGATATGTAGTAAGAGGTCTGTTAAAGGGTGAATTGAAACTGATGGTCTAGGTACTGGGATCTTAGTACATTAATGGGATCTATTTGAACATTGCATCAAAAATGTATCAACCTAATAATAGTAATAAGCTAACAATATTTGTGTTGACAGCCAGAGGATTTCAGGTTTTGAATAATGTAATGACAAAACAGTTCTTCTCCCGACCTGATTGGATAACTATTTGAATATATTCCAAATATCAAGATGTCCACAGACAGTATTTCTCATTAAGATGTATATTTCAACCTCTGAATTGAAGTCAAAATGAACAAATAAGATATTTAAACGCATGCATGCATAAACACATATTTTGGAACCAACATGGAAATAGAAACAAGTACCACAGTTCAATGAACAATTGTCGTCACAAAAAGACATATCTGGTAAGCATGAAGGTTTCTCGCCAAAAAAAAAGCGATATCATAGTCTTCAACCTGCATTTTAGTATACAATGTGAACAAAACCTTATTGGTTTCATTCGGTCACAAGATTTTACGTTTGTCAAACAATCAACAACATAATTATTGAAATATTTCATTTGTTTTTCTTCTTGAAAAAAATCACACACAACACAAACCTGTACATAGCAAAATACAATGATAGAAAAATATATTTTATAATATAACTTTATGAAGTAACCCGACATAATACTTTAAATGAATATCAACATTTTTGTTTTTATATAAAGGGAATTGATAAAAATATACATTGAATTCGTTTGTTTTGGATCATCTGCCCGAAAGTCCAAGTGAGCTTATGCTATTATGCAGCATCCTTCGTCCGTCATCATCCGGCTTCAACCTTTTCTTTTCATATAAGATATATAAACAATAAATATCTTTTAAAAACATACACAAAAAACATCCAAAGTCTTTTTGATTGTTAAATATAAAAGAAATGAGAAAAGTGTTTCTTAGCACTTCCCTAGACCTTTCACATTTAAAGGTTCCTCAGGGGAATGCTTATTTATGTTGACAGGACATCAACAAAACACAGAAAATGATGACGTCATGATACGTTATGGCGTCATAATACAACCTACTCAAAGTGACGCTAAAATTAACACAAGACTTTTACGTCAACTCTTGTGGAACAACAAAGATGATGTTACAGAAATACATATATTTTTACAGGCATAGGTACAGCAACATACTTTTCGCATAAATTTTCTTTTTCTATTCATGCAATGACTTTGCCGTTAGAACAATTTAGACCAGATTTAAATATATCGATTAACAATGATTCTTTTAACTCTCCTTGTGCAGTGTTTTCTGTAGGCTGATATATAAGATTAACATGGAACTTATCATTTGCCAAATAATGAATATATTATTTTATATAGGAATTACACACAGATAACATTCAAAATATGCTTATTCCTAATTTTCTTAATGTAGTGACGTTGAATAGCATTTGCGTTATATATCTTAATGTTTGGTATAGCCACATTATATCACATATTGACCCTCTACATTTTCACAGTTCGAAGTTTATCTGGTTTGTTGTTCCAGAACTGGTTTCTGCTACGCACATTTATTCTCAGCGTTGTAGCCCGAGGCGGAGCTGGTGACAGCATTATCCTGTAAGATCGAAATGCAATTTCATAAAAGACAGAATAATATTTGGTATCTGATAACCAAATTACCTATATCTCTTTAACATGGAAACAATCCAGTTTATGTTTTGGATAAGGGTAAGGGTAAGTCTTGGTTAATTCTTGCGAATAAATCACTGCCTTAAAATAAAAATAGAATATCAAATTATATTTGCCATAACTTCCTAATACAACCTGATATACTTCCGGTATATTTATCTATCCGTTTGAAGTATTGCTACATTTCATGAAATTGTCTATATATATATCTATCTATCTCGAGAATAAATAACAACACAGCTGATACTTTTTTGATAGATAATTCTTTCTTACTTACTCCAGTGACTTGGGATTCAGTGTCTTTGGGTCGAAGTGCGTTCGACCTGAAATGTCAGCATGTTTGTCGTCATTAAAAGCAATTACACCATCATCTTTTACAACGGTCTGTTTCGACGTTACATGCTTCAGTAAGGCTGTGGCACCGATAATGAGCACCGCTACACCAACCAACACCCCAACGATCAGTCCGATGTTTGTGCTTATAGCGGAAGTGACGTCAGCATCTTCCTGTACAAGTGTATATATATTTAGAGAAACGCAGGAGAGTGATGTCTAAATCTGTAAAATATTTTGTTACTTCAAATGCACGATCTTGACGTATTTATGCGGTTGCGTTGGGAAATATAGCGATACAAAAATTGAATCGTCCAACTGTACAAAAACCTGTTGAATGGTTTGCAACATAATAATACATTTAAGTTTCGCATCAAGAATTAAAATGAAAACTTTGCATTGAAGTAAAATGCAAAATCTAGTAATCTGTTTAATAAGTACTGTTATCATATATTGTACAGTGCTATCCAGTAAATATACCCATGTTATATTTTTTTGCGTATTAACCCATGTAATACCTATGAGCTCTGTGATTGGTTGTAAGTTTCAATTGTCCAATTGTGACGTCACGCCTAGGTCAAGAACATAACGTCACAGTCTTACGCACTGGAGTCAAAATGGCGGCTTTTTACATTTCTTGGTTGCATGAAAATAGTCGTTTTACACTATTAAATGCCACTTATCTGGATAATGTGATAAACGTGATCTTACACTCGCTTTCATTTCATATGAAATTTATGAAACTTGTCATGAATTTTTCGTTAAAGCTCTCCGAGGTTCGCTAAATTGAAAATTTCTTAGACTCGTTTCATAAATCTCATATGAAATGGAAACTCATGTAAAATCCTATATATATTACAACAACGTAACTACCTGATCGGAAACGTCGTCAGTTGATGATTGAAATACCGATCCAACAACCGATTGCGACGCTTGGCAACCACTTCCGGTTGTAGGAAATGCATTGACTGTGAAATTTGTTATACAGCAAGTGCCACTGAAACACAGTACAACCATTTATTACTGACAATATGTTTCATATGTGTTGATCTTGTTAAATAGTATTTAATGGAGTCAACGAATAACTGCTTTCTCAGAGGAAGACATTTGATTTTTCTTAACAAGTCATTATAAAATGTAACGTTGCCAATAATTGTAATATACGCTGTGTAAAGCAGACGATTAAGAAGCATTTCGTTTTATTTTGGTGTTTACTCGATACCTAATAGGTTTTGTTTGAGTATGGAGGTTACGATATGAATTTTTATCTACGAAAGACAGAATGTTGTTCCTAAGAAACATGTACCTCGGTGTTGTTTTCTAACAGTCTTTATTGAATTAATGAACGATACGTAAATTACTATTAATACAAACTCGGTTGGACAATATTAATAGTGCATGATTATGGTTTGACTCAACAGCAAACCAGCTTATTGACAACTAATGTCAATATAAAGTCATGAAAACTTGTATGTAATTAGTATTTGATCTCTTGCTAATCCAGACTTAAAAAACATTCAACAACAGAATACTGACGCGCCAACAAAACCGTATTTTGGACTCAATGTTTAATAGAAATACGGCAAAATATGAAACAAGAAAGATTGTCTTGAGATTGTAAGAGGAGAATATGACCAGGTGTTACGGAATGGTAAGCGTCTTCTGCTACATCGACGACACGTGACATCAAAGTGCATGTTCAAAGAAGTCGAAATCTGAATTTTGTCATATTCTCATATAATGACCCAGTTTCCTCATATAAAAAAACAACATTGCGCACACATGACAAGACATTAAAACCTACTTGATGAGCAGTCGTGTCCTGTCGGTGCCGTCAATGGATACGGTAACATTATCCGTGACGATGAAGGTCGTGACGTCAAATGAGAAAGCAGCTTTAGCAGACCAATTGGATAGCGAGCAATTACTACTTCCGGTGTTTCCCCCGCTGCACTGTGACGTCATGAATGCCGAACAGTACGATCCAGCAAACTGTGAATGTTAAATCATACATTATCATTTATTATTATTTGAATTCATTTCGAGGTCACTTAATTTAAAACTTATCCAACTAATGATCTATTTCTGTGTCTAATATTTTTGAAATTACTTCCTAGTCATGTAACGATTATCATCGAGACGTAAACCGTTGCTGTAAAAGCTAGTATGTAAACAGATATATATTGTACAGTTGATGCCGGTTTTGAGAACATCATTAGTTTTACGCAAGGTATTTTGAAATTTCATACAATGTAATGAATATTGCGACTGAAAAAAAGTGTCCAGCAATGCTACTGCGCCAAAGCGTCAAACTCATTAATATACGAGAAGGAAGCAAAAAGAAAATGTCAACAAGTACAAGAATAGAATTATAAGACAGGGATCGAGGTTTTTCCTCTATTTTAACAACATTTATAATTTACTCAATTGTATAAAGTGTAATAAGAAATAGTATCCAATCAACACAAGATATATCAATGCAAATATAATTGTATACAGATAATTGTATATCAATAACAGTATATAAATACATGTAGTAGTATTTAGATAACTGTATATTAATTACTGAATATAAAGCATGAAGGAATACTAAGGGGTACAACCTCACAAATTGTAATGTGTTAAATTCCAATACTTATAGACATAAAATGTCGAAGATAAATCAAACAAGGATCGTTACCAATGATATAAGAACTCCGAAGCTATAAACAATCAACAATTGTAAAGGATTTCCTTGGCACCCTTTACCTTCTGTTGTAATTTACATTTGTTGCAGAACGGGAATCGACAGTTCCAAAGTGTTTCCTTAGTACCTTTTCAACATATGTTTCGGAACATTGTGGATTGAAATGTCATTCTTTTGACTTAAATTATCACTGATGAACCCTAAATGGACGAAAGAGTCATATGGTGCATTCGAATGTTTTACTAGACATCAACATACATGTTCCCCATTAATGGAAGAAATATCCGTATGGTAAACTGGGATATTAACTCTGGCTTCCTGCATACACATACTCAATTTTTGAATATGTTCTCTGTTTTCCGTATATTCAGTTACTATTGAAACTGTAAATGTTAGCATGGAAGCAAACTACTGAATACGAATGTCTAGGTACATTACTTCTATAACAGTAATTAAGCTGTAAATGGGTTATACCATTGCTGTATATGTCGTAGACTGTAGAACAGTTGACGATCCGAAGGTGGTGACGCTTACTGTGTAGGTACTACAATATAACAGTATAAACACGTAATATGAATATCAAACATACAATGACATTTCGTAAGGAGAGTATTATATTGATTGCTTGCTTGTTTAGGATTTTAAGGTTGCAAATGGGAGAAACGATCATGGTTGATTGGGTTTGAGTTGCACAGTGCAGCGGCTAGGATCACAGACTAGCAAATGACAAAATCAGGAATTTATCTGTGTTTAACATTGTATTACATCGAAAACATATCTGTGTATTATTACAAGTATCAGTTAAAGCAACGCCGTACTCGTCGCTGTGTTACACTGCTATAACATCAACGTTAAAACTGTTTTGAAAACACATTATTGTGCACGTAGTGTCGATTACTTCCAATCGGGTAGAAAGTCATGATAAATTGGGCTACTTGCTTCAATTAACAAAAGCGTATTTTGAACTCAAAAACGATAAACCAAAGACAAATCATACGAACAAAGAAGATATTAACACGGAGTTCGTTGGCAAAACACGAGGAAATTAAGATCAGGTATTTTTGAGGGTAAAACTAATGAAGATTCGAATTAATAAATACAAACATGTATTCCAGTTCAATGGTGCTTGTCAGCTGAAATATTCCAGTTGTATCATTCCCTGCACTAACGCTGTGCTGTTGTGAAGTTGGCGATAGAATTCGTCCTTTATCGTCGACAATGCTAACCGTGTACGTCTCTGTAGTACTGCCCTGGTTACTTAGTGTATAGGTAATGTTCTGAGGTGTTCCGATGGCAAGGTTTCCTGTTTTATGTATAACGACAAACCTTTAACATGGTTACGTAGTGTAAAGATAATATCCTGAGGTGTTCGATGGCAAGTATTCCTGTATGAGGTATAATATCAAATCTTTAACCAGGTTATTTAGTGTATAGGTAATGTCATGAGGTGTTCCTATAGCCAAATTTACTTAAGGATTGAATCCTGTTTTGTTGAGGTAGCAGTTCATATTGAATTTGTCTCAAGACCCATTTAGGTTTATACCCCATAAATCTCAACAAAACAGGATTGTATCCTTATATTTACATTAAATTCGATATTGATATTTTTTTAATAATCGAAAGGTACCGAAGCTTATGATTTCATCACTCACAGTAAGACGTCGTTCTAGTTAGATGAATAACCTGTATGCATTGATTACAAAAAAAAAAAAATAAGATGTAAAGTAGTTTTCTTTTAATTCAAAACTTATGACCCCCCCCCCTTCCCCCCAATCTATTAATAGAACTACTTCCCGCGCTCCGCTGAATGATCAGGTTGATAATATGCTGATGTATTCATACGCCAACTGGAAAGTTCATTGAAAAATAACCTTTTAAATGTTAAGTAGGTATATTGAGTCCAAGTTCAGTAGAAATGTTAATATTGTGCAATGGCAAACGTCAAACTATTAGAACATGGTTTTAAAGAATTATAAAATTTCAACTGTTAAATTCATAACAGAGACTAATATTATCGTTTTTTTTTTACTTATTGCTATGTGACTACTAACAACAGCTGATGTAAAACTACATAGTTTCAAGATGAATATTTTCTAACAAACTGTATTAATTTCATTTTAATGTAATTTACTGATCCAACTTACATATCTATGTATGGACTTATAAGCATAATCTGGCAATTTGGCTTCAGAGAAGTACTCTTTTCTTCAACGAAAATGAAAATACCTATATTAAATACGACCACATTTGCTTAACGTCAACATTCTGACAATATAACATGGCACCCTTCTACAAAACGTTAGTTTTATTAATTATCAAGTCGTTGATATTTGGAACATGAGTTGATCGCTGTGAATAAAAGACCGGTTTCATTATAAGCAGTAAAAGGAACAGACTACTAAAACTCACCAAATATTGGTTGAATAAATAAATCCACACCAACAGGTGTTATCGATGTTCCCAATGTTCTCTTGAACTGGAACCCATCCTGGTCGGTCCCACTTAACTGGACGTAGAAACTCTGCAAATGTGATTGGTCTCTAATAAACCATACTCATACAATTGTTGCAAATCTAACGTGTGAAGAAAACCTTAAAACATCCTTACAAAAAAAACCCTAAATTATAATTTGCCATTCAAATCAATACCTATAGATAATATTTCAAAGCGCGATAAAAAGATATCATGATTAAAAAATATCTAGTCATGAATCATCCATGGTTTGATCATTTCATCAAATAATGAAACAAGAACAAATAAGATACGTGGATTATTATGGGAATCAAATTTGACATTTGGTCCAACGTCAAGCTTTTCTGTGTTTCGTAAATATCATGTGATTTTTTTTTACATAAGTCAAATATTGGAAATAAAAATACCATATAAAATGTTGAAGCATTGCATATCGTATTATTGATTTTAATTTCAGTTCTCACAATATTAAAGTGTGCTTTCCACTGATGTAAACTTTAAATTTTACATTAAAAATTGTGACATAGATATAGGCTTTTTCAAGAGTTTCCATTTGATATGCGATTTATAACATGAGACATTTGTTGCTAATTTTAGCAGGAATAAGACAACTTAGAGTGAAAACAATTGTGCCCAGCTTCATATACACGTTCATCGTTTTACAACAAACTTAATAGAACAGAAAACATGGCAAATCGTGAAAATTGACTTCATTTTCATTTGACGAGGGTTTAAGATAATAAGGAAGTGAACTTTAACGTATTAAGTCGACTTTCATTGGATGGCAGACCACAATGCCGAATTTCCTACATTTGCCGAAATTACAATGTACACTTTCTACCGTAGACAGAATCACATAGGAAACTATCTACCGAGCACCTTGTCACAATTATCTACCAAAGATTAGATTAAAATGGAATCTCCCTACCGTGAACTAGATTAAAATGGTAACTACCTACCGTGAACTAGATTAAAATGGACACTACCTACCGTGGATGGAATCACAATCGATGTATAACCAGTGATCTTAGAAGGTCCAAAATTGAGGTCTATGGGTGTATTGTAATTCACTGTCCCCTCCTCGTCTAGAATGTTCAGAGCAAAGGATGTCGACGACGAGTTCAAATTGTACACTACGACAGCAATCGTGTAGTTTTTACCTGTAAAATTTGCATTTTACAATACATATCTTTCGGATTGTTCCTATGACCAACTGTGAACGTCATACTTATTATGAAATGAAAACGTTTCCTACCACTGTCAAACGGTGGTTCTATTTATCAAACAAATGCTATTGTACCCTAAATATAAAATTAACTATTAGAGATAACACTTTTGTGCAAACAGAATGACAGGGAAAAGGACAAATAGTGTAAATTAACTACAGTAAACATTGTTGTTGCCTAAATATGCAATCAGGAAGCGGTTCAATAAACGTCCTAAACAACGTCGTATGTGTTGTCAGTACCATTGGGAAACTCCATTTCATAAATAAGCAATTGGAATCCATTAAGTAGAAAATTTAATGTGTTATTGAATGGATTCATTTTTAAAACTATTCCAGAAATTTATTTAATTTTCAAAATATCTGGATGCTGATTTAACTTGAAGGAATTGAGAACATGTAACGGACTTTGGACGATCTGAAAAGAGGTTGGTTTTGATCCTTTCAAACTAAATAAAGTAACACAATCGTTAACGTTATTTTACATCTTAACATAGCATGTTACGTCATACAATACCTATTATCGGGTTCCTGTTAGACACGTAATATATTCCGGTGTCGTCAGTTTCTATCAGCTGAATATCGATGTCAATAGCGCTGGAGACAGTGACGTTGACTTCCCATCGTCTACTCAGAAGGCGGGTCAATACCCAGGTACCAGGCGTCGGATTCTACAGATGAAATGTTATTTATATCATGGCAGTGTTTATCATTTAATTAATCTTTTTGTTAGTCTGTCTTTGTATACGTCTTTCACGTATGTCTGATACCACAGTGATTTCTATTGCAAACACAATACTTTAAGTTGTTTTTTCTCGTTTAGTTTTTTTCTCGAAACACTGACATCACAGCCACAATTCAATGATTTGCTATTGTGAAGTCACGCGGTTGTAGATACCACAAAACATGTGTATAAATATAGTACCACAATACGTTTTATGAAGGTACGGTAATATCAAATAATGTCTGTTTGTCATAATCGGTCGGTCTCAGTGACCAAGGTGATATATTGATAAGGATCAATCGCTCTTCATTATAAACAGGAAATAAACATTTATATATTATGTCCGTTTATATCCCGTAAATCGGATCTTTTTACAGTGGTTATATTTTCCTCTTTTTATGCAATAATCGATTTCGCAAAACACATTTATTAAAAAATTAACGACAGTAAAATTAACCTCCAAATTATCTTGGATATTGTGTCAGAGTAGATATTATAATGAGTGTTCATGCGTACATTATTACAGAAACATTCCCGCGTGTTATTATCTTCAGTGAAAATCTAATAGTTTAGTGCTCAAAATCTTAAATTGAGATGCTTTTACAATAGCCTTAATTCAACGCATGTCTCATATCGAAAAACTAAAGAAACAAAAAGACGCATTAAGATAAGACCACACATCTATTTTCGGGAATACCGTAAAATTATGCTACGTGACAACGTGCGCCGGTATAAATGACGACAGTTGTCGCGAGTTAGCATGCATGTCTAACCTGAATTGTCATTGTGATCGTGTTACTGGAATAGTACCGAGTGGTACCTTCTGTGGAAAATGTTTGAACGGTTCCTGAAAACAAGACAAAACCAAAACTACAATATTTGTTCAGTTTTTGTTATATCAGATGTACATGATTTAATATTTACGACTCACGTAAGTATCAATAGGAACCGAGCGGTTTATGTTATCTATATCTTTAAACCATTTTCCTTGCTTTCTAAAAATGTAAAAATTGTCATATTAACACCTGGTATGGTAAAATAGAACAAAATATTTCCTTTCTTTCAACAAATTGAAAGAAAAACATTCCTCAACGCACTGAGATAAAATAAATCAATACAATAACGCACAGGGTCACAATATACCAAAGATGCACGCCACCGGGACAAACATACCACAGCTTCAACACACAGGGTCAAAATAAACCACAGCTTCAACACACAGGGTCAACATAAACCACAGCTTCAACACACAGGATCAAAATAAACCACAGCTTCAACACACAGGAACAAAATAAACCATAGCTTCAACACACAGGGTCAAAATAAACCACATCTTCAACACACAAGTACAAAATAAACCACAGCTTCAACACACAGGGTCAAAATAAACCACATCTTCAACACACAAGTACAAAATAAACCACAGCTTCAACACACAGGGTCAACATAAACCACAGCTTCAACACACAGGGACAAAACATACCATAGTTTCAAGTCACCGGGACAAAGTATACCACAACTTCAAGTCAGCGGGACAAACAAATTACAGCTTCAACACACCAGGACAAAATTGTCCACACCCTCACCAAACAGGGACTGAATATACCACAGCCATGGCTTCATTAAACATTGCATCGTTTAACAGTAAAAGGGTAATAATGTGTATATAACAACAATGGCAAAAGTAATTTGTTGATAGTTTAAACCTTTTTCAAAAGTAAAAAGGATTTAAGAATGCGTACCTGTGGGATCCGATAACGTTGCATGCGTTGAGCTGTACGGACCTGAGATAGTGATGACGAGATTGGTAGTTTCACTATCCACATGTACATCCATTGAGTTGCTCTCTGACGTGGTCTGTACAAAATAATCCACCACTGCCGTTGATGACGCAAAGTCCTCCTAATAAAGGAAAGGGAAGGATGACGTATTTTGTCTTTAAACGTATGCGAGCATTTGGCAGGCTTACTAAAAATAAAACATTAAAGCGCTGTTTCGTGAATATAAGATGTCTCATAAAGTAATGGATTAATCTCCATTAATAAATGATATATTTAATACACAATAAAAAAATCTAACAAATTTCTGAATATAGGTGATATCGCAATAACATTTACAAGTTGATTTACGTAAATTTAGATTTCACTGTATAGCAGATAACAACTAAGATAAAACGTCGTATACAGCAATTTTTGATGCGGTATTTGATTAGTTTAGGTTGCTTTGCGATGATACTGCTGGGCAATGTTGTAATTTGTGCAATATTTATATCCAGAAAAGGAATAACCAACATAGCTCCCTGGGTTATATGGTATATACCACAAAACCTTTGTACACTTTTGTTCATTAACCGCTTCGCAGTCTTATGCAAAGAGCACACAATGTTCCGTTATATACCGTATAACCCCAAAATAACAAATAGTTTTTCCGTAGTTTACTGGAAGATATTAATTAAATTAAAGATATTTCTATTTGACTTAAAGATATCTGACTTTTTTTATCTTAATTTCAGAAAAAGATATCTTCGTTTCATTTAGAGAGATATCTTTTTATCGTCAGGGTCACAGTATGGTCGCATGATTGTATGGGGGTTAAATTTGACCTTTCTGCGCATGTCACTACTAGAAATATCAAATAAGGAAGGATATGTTTAATAAAGTAGCAATTATAAGCGGACAGACAAAGAAATAAAACATGTTTACTGACCAAAGTTTTTATTGACTCTCAAGTATTAAATTCTTTTTAACAAAATTGATTGGATACACAAATTAAAAAGTAACAAAACTGAGGACCCAATAATGAGGGAACATCAATGGACAATTACCTTTCTAGCGCACTATGTGAAGAAAAGTATTGATTTATTACCAATACTTATTACATATGAAGACTATATCACGTGTCAAAGCATATCATAGACACTTTTAATCACGTGACATCTTACCTGGAGTAATTGATTTAGGATAGTTGAAAGCTCACCGCTGCCAATTTGATATACAGTCCCTCCGGTACTGGCCGCGATACTTTGGAACGTTGCCAGGTTTCTCTTATACCTTGCCGGAGCGACTACAACCAAGTAAATTAAAAACAATTCGCTCGTTCATAGAATATTCCTTACAGTTGCCTACATCATATGAAGACGGTGGAAATAGATGATAATTAAACTTAGAAGGTACTTACCATACGATTCAAATATTTATAAGAAAATGCTTTTTTTTTGTGAGGTAACTACATATGAACTAATATGGATCCCTTTGTATTTAATATGAAATACTCATCCAATAATAGATCTGATATTGAAGTTAAAAATATGAAATTGATTATATTTATCTATTGAAAGGGTTCTGTGGATATTTTTCTCTTTCTCTGTATTTTTGAACATATATGCTCCCCTTCAACATGAATTTGATATAAATGTTTACTCTGCTTACACCATTTGGCATTACACATAAACTTACTAAAGTATTGAATATGTGCTTCTTCCCCTACATCGTACTTTTTATTGTTAATTTTTCTGCGTCATTAGTCTACAGTATATCATGTACGTACTCCTGTGTCATCAGTCTACACTATATCATGTACGTACTCCTGTGTTGTCAGTATCAGTATATTATGTACGTACCGTGGAGTTATCAGTCTACATTATATTATCTACGTACCTCTGCATTGTCAGTCTCAGTATATTATGAACGTACCTATGCGTTATCATTCTACAGTATAGTATGTACGTACCCCTGAGTCGTCAGTCTCAGTATATTATGAACGTACCTATGGGTTGTCAGTCTCAGTATATTATGTACATACCCCTGAGTCGTCTGTCTCAGTATATTATGAACGTACCTCTGCGTTATCAGTCTACAGTATATTATGTACATACCCCTGAGTCGTCTGTCTCAGTATATTATGAACGTACCTCTGCGTTGTCAGTCTCAGTATATGATGTACATACCCCTGAGTCGTCTGTCTCAGTATATTATGAACGTACCTCTACGTTATCATTCTACAGTATAGTATGTACGTACCCATGAGTCGTCTGTCTCAGTATATTATGAACGTACCTCTGCGTTATCAGTCTACAGTATATTATGTACATTCCCCTGAGTCGTCTGTCTCAGTATATTATGAACGTCCCTCTGCGTTATCAGTCTACAGTATATTATGTACATTCCCCTGAGTCGTCTGTCTCAGTATATTATGAACGTCCCTCTGCGTTATCAGTCTACAGTATATTATGTACATTCCCCTGAGTCGTCTGTCTCAGTATATTATGAACGTCCCTCTGCGTTATCAGTCTACAGTATATTATGTACATTCCCCTGAGTCGTCTGTCTCAGTATATTATGAACGTACCTATGCGTTATCATTCTACAGTATAGTATGTACGTACCCATGAGTCGTCTGTCTCAGTATATTATGAACGTTCCTATGCGTTGTCAGTCTCAGTATATTATGTACATACCCCTGAGTCGTCTGTCTCAGTAGATTATGAACGTACCTCTGCGTTATCATTCTACAGTATATCATGTACGTACTCCTGTGTTGTCAGTATCAGTATATTGTGTACGTACCCTGGAGTTATCAGTCTACATTATATTAACTTCTTTCCTCTGCATTGTCAGTCTCAGTATATTATGAACGTACCTCTGCGTTATCAGTCTACAGTATATTATGTACATTCCCCTGAGTCGTCTGTCTCAGTATATTATGAACGTCCCTCTGCGTTATCAGTCTACAGTATATTATGTACATCCCCCTGAGTCGTCTGTCTCAGTATATTATGAACGTCCCTCTGCGTTATCAGTCTACAGTATATTATGTACATTCCCCTGAGTCGTCTGTCTCAGTATATTATGAACGTCCCTCTGCGTTATCAGTCTACAGTATATTATGTACATACCCCTGCGTCGTCTGTCTCAGTATATTATGAACGTACCTCTGCGTTATCAGTCTACAGTATATTATGTACATACCCCTGCGTCGTCTGTCTCAGTATATTATGAACGTACCTCTGAGTTATCATTCTACAGTATAGTATGTACGTACCCCTGAGTCGTCTGTCTCAGTATAGTATGTACGTACCTATGCGTTGTCAGTCCCAGTATATTATGTACGTACCTCGGATTTATCAGTATACAGTATATTATGTACGTATATATCCCTGTGTCATCAGTCTACAATATATCATGTACGTATCTCTGTGTTGTCTATCTCAATATATTATGTACGTACCTCTGCGTCATCAGTCTACAGTATATTATGTACGTACCTCTGCGTCGACAGTATACTATATACAGTACGTACCTCTGCGTCGTCGAGTGCATGACCCGGTCAGGAGAAATTCAATCCTGATCGTTTTCGCATTTGCCTCACTAATAGCAGTGAATGTATCAATGGAATCTTTTGCGTCGGCGTCAGTGGCAACAATTATTTTTGAATTTGGTTCCGAGAGTCGAATAGCTGTAACATAAGATACATAGTAAGTTGTATGTTGATACAAAGCATATACTGACAACAGTATCAAAGAATGGTGGCACTTGTTAAAGACAGTCGCTGCTTCAATAGTTCGATGGTTTATCATTCCAAACATATTTCCTATAAATTGTCATATTGGCAGTAATACCCCAGCGTTTAACATCGAAAGCTACCACAACCTGAGGCAGTTACAATTTTGAGAAAGGTCTCAACTCATCAGGTAAAGACTTTAACGTTTTTTTCTGGTGTAAAAATTAACAAATTATGATCAATCTAATAAGCAAACATGCATCTGAAAATGTGCCAAAAAAATGGATATCTAAAATTTTAAGGTTTTTGCTTTTTTAAATGACCAATTCGGCAGCCATTTTGAAAATACGTATTTCTTGATCCCAACGCAATGCCGAAGTTCACCTTTTTCATACTAGATTGATCACAAAAACTGTCTTTGTGCCGCCATTGTCTTTGTAGCCAGTTGATTTTTTTTCTGTTCAAGTTCAATATTATGTAGATCAATTTCAAGTGGGAAATTATACAATATAGGAATTGTGTTACTCATTTATATAAATTGAAGCCGTTTTGTTTTTTGATCCCGCAAAAGTTTGAAAATAGCACAACTAAAAGATAAAGATAAAATATATCTTTTAAAGATATGAATATAAAATTATTAAAAGGAAGTACAATAATCACCAAGTTTTTGTACTGGTTTTGAATAGAGAAACGCATCGGTTACGTTACCTAAATTGCTTTTCTGAGATCTAAATATAATTTCAAGACTCTTTACTTCCGTTAGTTAGAAGAAAAAAACTCCTATTGGTATCAAAGACATTCATAGTTTTCTGATAACACACTTTAAAAACGTGATATTAATTTACTCTGCATGTTATCAAAACACTAATATCACTAAAAAACAAGTATTATTTAAAATTCGTTCGTTTAACCGACCTTAGAAAAAAATCAACAGCGCAAGGACATATCATTTTCATTGTACTTTTCATTTTGTCGTAATCTCCTCTATAAAATAAGGTATGTCTAATAAAATGTCAGTCCATAAAAGATCTTGATCTTTTACAATAGAGGAATCTTAAACAAACACAAGTAATTCAATTAAAAAAGAGAAATCGTGATAGGGCAAAGATTTGTTAACAAACCAGCTCGTATTCCAGATATTGCATATTCCGGACAATCGCCGCCTCCACTTATGATAAGGTTGTCTATCAAACGAATCATTTCATCGCCATCAGTCGTACTGGTAACTTCAGTTAAACTCGCTGTAAATACAATAAACAAATCAATTTCATCAACAGCCGTTGCCAGTCAATTTGACATTTAGCCACAAATTTCGTGAGTGTCAATGTCATATTGAATTTATTAAACGAGTTCAATAACTTGATATGACATGAGCCTTTAGACGAGTGTTATATTTTTTTTGTTGCACTGGTTACCTGTTAGATACAGGTCGCAGTACAAAATTCTAGTATACACATACAAGGCACTGAATGGAACAGCTCCTACAGGAGCTTGTTACCCTGTATCAGCCGTCAAGATCACTGCGGTCGGAGTCAGAATCTTTGTTGTGTGTCCCAAAATTTCGTACTGTGACCTACGGAAACAGATGCTTTTGGTAGGGTTTCGCCTACGTTGTGGAATAGCTTACCATCTGCTATTAGAAAGTCAAATACCCTGGCCAAGTTCAAGAGGGACATCAAAACTCACCTCTTCACGTCTGCATTTTAGAATCTTTGCAAAGACGTCATGTAAATACCACCCTTTTATTTGTTCAATTATGTGCACATTGCTTGTTAAATGTGAAAGTGATTGCAAGCCTTTTTTGTTTGTTTTCACAATTATAACCATTACTATTATCCATATGTTGTAAAGCGCCTTAGAGTAATTTTACAAATTATATAGGGCGCTATAGACATGTTGTATATTATTATTATTATTATTATAATTAACCTTTAGTTTTTTTCCACAGATATATGAACCTAAGAATGTTATCATCATTATAAACTATAACATAATATTAAATATTATAGATGATATATTTTCTGTAGTAAGGTAACATGGACTGTGTACATACCGGGGTCATTGAATGTAGCTAGCACATATTTGCCTGGCGCACGTTCGGTCCCCTTTACTTCGTTAACTTTAGCACGTAACACTTCCTTTACCGATGCTATATCGTCTCCCATTGATCCGCTAACGTCGATGGCGAATGCAAGGGAAGGTGTCGATTTCAGTTGCAACCCAAGTAGTGTCGCTACAGTTGTTTGAACTTTGTCAGTGAGTATACCAGTTGCTTTAAAGATAGGTAGGGTTATATTTATTAGAGGTATGGTAAGGTTAAATGATATCTCCTATCAATATCATTGACTTCGAAATCAGAATGTCTTCTTTGTGTTCCAAAGTGGTGTGACCGATGGTAACAGGCTTCTCTGAAAAGTATTAGCGACTTTGTGGAATATCCTACTACCTGCGATGATAAAGTAATAAATGCTTTTTTACCCCCCAAGTGTGTTTTGGTTTTAGTTTAAAAACTGACTTTATTTCTTATCTTGTGAAAATTGAAATTGTAGATGAAACTTAATCTGGCTCAGTACATCTCATACTATTTGAATAACAAATTAAGTGGTTGAAGCATCGTTCGTAGTGTATATCGCAGTTAAGGGGTATGTAATTTTGCCGCAAATGTACATATGTTAGGAACACATTTACACAAATGTAAATTCGTTTTAACTTTAACAACACTTGATGAATTCTAAATAATTAAATTGGCCAAATGGTGCATTTAAAATTTACTTTCAATTTCTGCAACAATAAACTTCTAAATGTTAAAATGTTCATATTGTTAGTGTTTGCCATGAAAATGCAAGCCGAATAGTTTATGATGTACTTTGAACTATATCTCAGGTTGCAGAAATGCTGAGGGAAATATTTGTTTTGTGTTATCGTGAACTACAATCTATAAAATAATATTTTCACTTACTTGGATCCATAAAGAATGCCACGGTTGCCTGAATAGCAGCTTCAGAGGCGTCGTTATGCAGATGAGCATGAGGAGAAAAGTCCCAGTCTGTGGTTTCTTTGTTGATACCCCCGGCAGCCGGAGTTATCCTCCCAGAATCCTTTACGCCACCATGACTGCACTTCCCTGTAGTATGAGCTGGGTTAGCTACAAAGTTAAAGATTTACAATTAATTTCATATACCTCTGTACGAGGTCAAGAACACGAAGTAGAAGCTCATAATTCCAAATAATACAAATACGTGTATGTTAGATTGCAAGAATAAGAAAAAGTTATTACTAGATAACAGTCCGATTTTAACTGGATGAGGTTGATTAATGATTGTCCACCACCTTCTTTCCAAGAATTTTTGATTCTCAGTATGAATTGAAAATTGCATCATCTATGAATGCGTGTTCCAAATTCGTTGGCAAACATCTGTTTGACATAAATATTGAGTAATGCTGGCAAAAATGTGACATGAATTATATAAAACGGCAATATTTAATGTAATGTAATTACATAACTCATATTACGATTCTTTAACCAAGTAATGATAAAATGATTATAAAACGATAACATACGACTGCATTTAAAGAAAAAGCATGTTTGTCAAAAGGTGTTTCACGACTTTGATTACAAAGTTTGTGAACGGTAGATGTGTTAATGATGACAACGGGGCAAAACAGTTTATAAAGAAAGGTTATAAACAGCAGATACAACGATTTAAATTATTTTCATATTTGCAGTAGATCTCATTTGGATTCTTCACAGTCTCCTCACCAGAAGACATAGAAGGTAATGCAGGATGATTTCTTCAGTTGTATCGTACGTTCATACCGTACTTTAATTATGCTGTATTCCCAAACTTGGAAATGGCTTAAGTCAAAGATGGCAACATTTCATTTGCTTTATCGTTAACTGTATTTTGCTTGGATATACCAATCTCCAATGTGTAGTTGTTGGTACCTGCCATACAGCTAGCTCAATAATCATGATTTCCTCGGCAGATCATTTCATTTGGTCATTTGTACAAGTTTTTTTCCCCAATTACTTATTTTTCTCTTCCGGTCCTGGTTCCCGATATTGCATGGCATGTTGACGACGTTGGATATTGGGTCTATATTTTGCTTTGTTTTAGATAAGTGTATGCATTCAACCTATCATCATAATGGTTAAATCTATTTGAACGGATGGTTACCTGTTGGTTTTGGAGAGTGAAGCTGCCCAGACAAATATCCACTCGTGAGCCGATCAGTGAGTACTAAGTTGTCGTTACAGGAACCCAGGTTCAGCCTGCAAGATTGTGGCATTATGTATAGAAATATTATAAAGACATAGAACACAAAACGGTAGAAAAATATCTATTAACTAAACTTTCTCTCTTTTAATTAAATATTATCGGTATTATCACTAAACACCATATTATGTAAAAGCAGACAATCATAAAGAGCTGATAATCAAGCTTTTGTTCTATGTAATATTTAGGTCATGCTAAAGTTCGTAAAAATGGTAGCTGCTTTGGAAGAATTCAGGGTAGACACAGCCATTGGATCGCCCGCCATCAGTATAATGGGATGTGGTACATTCGGTATGGTCTTGCAGTAAAATAATAACACTCTGAAGTAGCTATCAGATCCGAGATATTGCAAAAAGACAAATGCATGAACATAGTACCTCTAAAACATGTGCATGTTACACATGTAGGGATGTCCTTAATCACCTGATCTTATAAAAGGAAACTAAACCATACAATCTAAACTAAACGAAATTAATTTTATTTTTAAAACTTTTTAAAACTTACGCTACACGGCTGTCGTCACAGGTCCTACAGGTTGCATCACTAGATGAGGCTATCTGCATTAAGCTCTGTGCCGCTAGTGAACCTAAATGAGAAGGGGCAGAACGAATCGTGATCCGTAGTATATCATTTTTCTTTGTCAAAATATACCCTATATTACTTACTCTTCTACGTTCAAGGCCTGAAAATCCTAATACATTGCTTTATTAAAGATGTTATGGAAGAAAAGAAATGTATTCACATTTGTTGGGTATGTTATTATCAGGCAGTTACGTCAAATTTACACGACGGTAGAACTAATTTATGTAAAAGGCGATGGCAGTAAACAATGTTTACGGTATAAACCATCTATAAACATTAAAGTTAACAAAATATAAATTCAAGATAGTACACGTTCTTCACAAGATTACCAAGAGCACCTCTTACCGAAATCTGTATACGCTACTCTGCCATTCATCTCGACCCAGTTAGTGTTACTGTAGAATGACTGGATGATCATCAAACATTTCCCTAATTTTTCAACCAATAATGTAACTGCTGTATCAGTTAATGTTTCTGACGACAGGATGCTTGCTATCTCTAGTCGTGTGTCCTGGACTATTTTATGTGCTACAAAGAAGACAGTTATTTTAAGTTTATCTATATTAGTAAAAAGAGAACTACTGGCAATTCATTCAAAAGTACAAGGATAATAAGACAAGGTGTTCCAGAAGAAAGATTCTTCTGTTGTTTTTATGTATATATACCTTAATAATGTTAGCAAAACGTTACTCAATATCGATTAATATACGGTTAAAATATGAAAGAATTAATTGCAGACCATTCCAAACGTACAAGGATAATAAGACCAAGTGTAGCGCATGCAAATATAGGTCAAATCCAAGTATGGCGCGTACTTAAAGTTCGAACTGAGGAAGTCACAAGGAATCCACAATAACCACTTGCATGTAAAGGCAGTTACAAATGTTAATTCAAATATCCCACAAGGAATAAATATATTTCTCAATGAAATACCGACCATAAAGTTTTTTCTATAGTCTTCATCAAAACAATGTATTACTTTTTCCCGTCAGCATGCAACATCCCACAGTTGTACTATTTTTAGTATGTTAATACATTTTTAACATGTCAAGAATATTTCGCGAAAAAGGTATCATAAAATTTGAGAAAGGAAAAATATAATATTTTCATTAGTTCTTTTATATTGATACATTAATACGATGCTTTGACATCTATTGATATTAATTTCATTACCAACCTTCGAGGATTCGTTCAGAGTTGACGGTATAATCTGGGTTTGTACGATAACTCTGATACACATTTGAGACTGCGTTGGCAAATTGCTGAGCCCTGTTTTTGTAGTTTTCGTAGCTGTCAGAATCTGGTTTGAATTGAGATTAAAAAAAATCATATAAATACAAAAGGAAAACATCATCCGGTAAGATAGATTTTACCTGTTAAAATATATAGCACTTTCAAAATAGGGTAATATATCAAACCTACTTTATGTGCGGTTGTTTATTGTGCTCAAGCAAATCCGTTAAGTCGTTAGGCATTTAGAAAATAACACACATGTGTTTGCCCAATGTTCAAACGCCCAGCAGAGTTTGGATTTTGCTTCTTTGCCTTCTATTCGGTAACGTAAAAGCGATTAAAACTAATCTGTTGCATCCGCAGCAACATTTGAAAACTTGATATGTTGTCTGTTGTTGAACTCCTCTGTCGTTTAGGAACACTTGACTTGGTGATACGTCACGTTTTGCGTTGATTTTGAGCGTTCTTTGACGTGGGAAATGTTAAGACAAATGTTCAAAGAATGAAACAAACCATCCTCCTAAAAACGAGTACTTACTGCCTAACATTCAGCAATGGATAGGTGATAACATTAGGTCCAAAATGATCTTTTAGTATGGGGCAACAAAATAAGAAATAAAAATAAAAATCGTATAAAACTTTTTTATCTTTTAAAATCAGCAGCAGAAAAGGCTTAGAGAGTTAAAATAGTGCGAGTGTATTTATTATGAAAATTTCGTTTAAGATATCGTGTTAAGATTGAAATGGAAAGAGATTTGTTTAAATGACGTAAAACAGAATCATGTAAGCTAATGGAATCACAGTTCATAAAATAAACCAATGTCTTTATATAGTTGAATATGACTCAAAGTCTACGGAAGTGAAAAGGTTTACCTGCTGGTAAACAGGCTTTAGAAATGATTAGCTAGACAGTTGTCATTATAATGTGATCAGGTCATTATATCGTGTCCTGGCAATGACATCATAGCGAGATGACACTGTAAAGTAGTCCCATCATAATCATATATTTAAATAAACTTGATAGTCTTTTACCAAACAAGCTCAAACATGTAAGATGGCACTGGATATTGGTATTTAGAAGAAATTGATTGAAGTCTTCACACCTTTGAACCATGTTAGCATGGAATTGTAAAAGTAATAACTTTAAAACTAAAATAAAAAAAATGAAATTGGATATCTTTCCTCGCAGCAAGATGATACATTCCACATACAGACTCTTCACAGAACAGACATGTGGAACAAATTGCCCTGATATTTAAGCATATTCTACCAATGGACAACAATGAAGGGCGACTTCATATTTTAACAAAATTGATAGTCCTTTATCCCTGAACGCACTACAAGGGAAGAATGCATCAAGTCTATGCCTAATGGATTGTCATTACACATATCAGTAAATTTATTTATTTGGTTGATTACCCGTCATTCCCAATCAGATAAGTTTTAAGAGCATGTAATTATCTGTTATTATGAAATTTAATGTGTCTTATACACCTGTCCCTCTTTTTCAAGAGTGGTTTAGGCAATTTCGATTTTTCTAATTTTTTGGCCCATAGATTCATCGATGAGTCATTGAAAGACAAAACAGCAGTATGATGCAGTGTAATTCATGTTTGACATACTGTCACTATTACCAAATTTAAAGGTACAATCACCTGTGTATGTCTTACGTCATCAAATGCAGAGTGCAGATTAAATAACTGTTTGAATATAATTTACTTCACACATGTAACCTATACACACCTAAACACATACTACCTGGCACGTTCCTGTAATGAAATGCAAATGTATTCTTTTAACAGTATCATTGTAGCAGTACATTCGTTCACAAAGCCAATACATACCCCATTTTCGAAACACAATGACAAAATATAACACAGCGTTAACACATAATGAAAAAAGGTACCACACATCGTGAAAAGAATAACAATATACCATAATGTCAACACACGAAAACAAAATATAGCACAGAATTACCACACAATGACAGAATATATTGTATTTCGGCCTTCACATCTAATTAATATGCATAATGTGTTGTTTACAAGTCTTCACTGTAATGATTAATTCGGGAGGGCTAAACAGGCAAAATTAAACTACAGTGATATCAACCCGGTATACAGTATTACAGCGTTTACACAGAAGTAAGAAGTAAAAAATGTCCCATTGCGCCACCAAACAACAATAAATGATTTACAGATTCAACAAGCAAGGCAAAAATATACCACAACGTCAACACCCAAGGACAACATATGCAACGGCATAGGAAACACAACAACAATATACTACAACTGTAACTTACAAGAGCATAGCATATCACAGATTCAAGGTATAAGGACAAAATAAAGAGAGAGAGAGAGAGAGAGAGAGAGAGAGAGAGAGATCCTTCATGCCACATAAATATTCTTTGTTAAACAAAACCAATCTAAAACAAACAAAATGGTGTTAAGTGTTATGTTATAATATTTCGAATAACAATATTGAATTTATTATGATTTATAAAATAGAACAGTTTCTAACAGAAAGGTATAAGTGGTACTAATATCGACATGTATAAACATGTCCTGAACGCCGACTTAAGACCAGAGCTGGTTTAGTTTAAGACTATTTCCTGGGAATGTGTAATGTGAAAAGTAAACCACAGAAGCATTTTTCCTATCCTTTATTAACACACTCACATATGAAAGAGTATTTTGTTCTTATTCCAATTGCAATAAGAACATGGAATTGTGGTATCGGAATGTTCCTAATTTCGTGACATCACGTTATCGTTATACCATTGTGCCGTCATGGACGTGAAATGAACGATAGCAAATTTATATTCACACTACTCGATTGTTTTTTCATATTACTTGACAATAAATTAAATATAAACTTACCGGATTCGAAATGCTCTTTGATGACAAAATCATATTCTGTGGTCTGTGACGTCGTCACCTGGTTACTGGTCAATAAAAAGTCTGCTGCAATCCTGTCTATAGCTTCAACGGTTATTCGTTGATGTGTGTAAGTGGCAGTATCATCGCTGAGTCCGGTGTTAGGGTTAAAAGCTTCAATAAATGTTACAGCCGAAGTTAAGAACAGACACAAAGATAACATTGTCAATCGTCCCTTCATCATTTTATATAACGACTATACCGTAGGATCGCTATATTCTCCAAAGTCCTTATAATAACTTGCCATCAAATGTACGGTGCATCTACACAGACAACATCCTCTTGGCAATGTATACCGTCGAATAAACTAGCAGGTTCCAGGTACCCGATTACTTCCTGGATTCCGTTAGTCTGTAAACATAGTACCGAATCAGTGACGTCACATAAAGGTTATCAACAAAATGACCTAGGATTGGTTTGAATAACATTATAACAAAATGTGCAGATATTAATAGTGCGAGGGATTATTGTCATTTATCACTCACGTTATTTAATATTCAGGATAGATTACAGTTCCTGCATGAATACCGTCAAGTGTTTGATATGTTGTATTTTGGGCGAAATTCGCATTAAATAAAACATGAGTAAGCAACATAATAAACATAGTGATCATATGTGTAGGGCAAAATCAAAACTGGGCTAATATACATTTTATTGATGTTAAGGTGAAAGTTTCACTGGGGCAAAAGTTTCCTGGAAAACAGTATACAGTTCGAAAAAGTATATTAATTTATCAATGGTGAATACAACATAACAAAGACTATGTAATTTAAAATTTATGTAAATCGACCTCACACTAAGATTAAAAGAAAAGAGTATTATTATCACTTCTACGAAAAAGATAGAACCTACCAGGAAGTTTTAAACATGCTCAATTGTTATTGGATGTTTTGGCCCACTAGCACGATAGTGTGTAATGATGAGTATTTGGAATGGCATATATTAGACCCCATTGGATATGTTTCAATATAACCAACCTGCTCCTATTATAATTCCTCCCCAAGGTGTGTGTATACATTACAAACTAACCATGTCGGGTGTATACATCGATATATATTTGTTTTCTTATAGAATGTACTTGTAGCGCACAGTATTGGTTTACGTCCCATTGGTTTACAATCTATTTCGCATTTCAACGGCCTTTGTATGTATGACGTATCTTACCATGATTTCATGTTTCAATTAACAAATATTCAATTTATCATATTTATCATTAGAAGCCCAAGTACGAATAAATAATTTTGTTTATAGCATGTATTTTTTAACATATGTTTCTATAATCTGATCAAGTATCCCTAATAAATAAATATCATAACTTCTACGAAAAAGACAACCTACTTGGAAGTTGTAAACATGCTCGTTTGTAATTTGATGATTTTGTAAATATGAGTATTTGCATATAATAAGACACAATCGCATATGTTGCAACATGATCTAAACTGCCCCTGTTTATTCATTCACAATTTGTGTCTATATATATATAACACTATAGTCAGGTGTTAACAGTCAGACATGTGTTTTTTCTTATAGTATGCACTCACCTGTAGCGCACGGTATTGGTTTACGTCCCACGGTCATTAATTTGTTTCATTATATGAATAACAGAGTTATCGTTCTTGGACAATCTATTTCGCATTTCAACGGCCTTTGTATGCATTAAGTAAAATAGATACATTTCTAACCATTATCAATCCAGTAGGATGATATACCAGTGTCTATAAACTAAGACGCCAAGCATGTCGAGAATTCGCACAAAACGTCACAAAGAGTATAATGAAATTAGCTACAAATAAACAAAGTATATACAACTACGAGTTTAAGAATTTTTAAAGCAATGTTTTCATTCTATTAAAGCATTTGTCTGAATTATTCGTTTGATAAACAGCTTTAGCTAATATTCATGTAAATTTGTGAAAGATAAGTTATGAAAAACAGGAAAATAGCTGCTACGCTGCAAACCCATTTGTTTAGGGAAACGACATAATTAGTCTACAAAAGTTCATGATTTCATGGTTCAATTAACAAATATTCAATTTATCATATTTATCATCAGTAGCCTAAGTATGAATGTATAGTTTTGTTTATAGCATGTATCTTTTTAACATACGTTTCTATAATCTTATCAAGTACCCCAAAATAAATTAATACATAAACAGAGATTTAGAAACATTTTTCTATCCAATGCTTACCATATTCGCCATAAAGAACTCCCCTTCCCGCCCCTTGTGTAACACCTAATGGTATTGTATACACCCCTCTTTACTACCTAAACCACATTTGTTAATCTGCCTTGGCACATTTGAAATGTTTATGATAAGTAAACACGATTAGAAATTTCGAATGAATCACACAGTTATATTTACTATACACGTAACTTATTTGTTCCATTCCATTTTCTCCAGTTTTAGGCGATCTTTGCGCTCATTACACCGAATCTAGAGCATGCATTTATTTTTTTAATATTCTAGTAGAACAATATTACACTGATATCCGAAAAGAAACATCTAGGTATCCGCGATTAAGAACGGTTATAAGGAAAGCATGCTAGTGTCGCTGTATAAACACGCTGTATGACCACGAACATTAATTAGTGAACCGCTTTGAGACGACCTACGAACTAACTTGTGATAAAGCGGTATATAAGAATCTCGAATTTTTATCATTGTTATACAGGTAATCAGCCAAGTGTAAAGTCACTACAACACAAACAAGATAACAATACCCAGTATGAATGAACAGTTGTACTTTGAGACGTCATTATGGAGAACAGATATACCTTGTCCTCATATAGACAATAATAGACAATAATAGACTTTTTGTTTCGACATGCATTCTTCTTAAATAAGTGGTCCTTGTAGGCGTTTTGTCTAAATAAAGGTTTAGTTTATCTGTGTTACATTATGATATAGAGATCTTACTTGAGTGTCCATGTCATTTGAAGTTAACGAGCCGGTAGGCAAGTGTCATATCAAATTATGGAACGAGTTTAATAGATTCAATATGTAATAAATACTCATATAAGAATATATTTATCATATAATATTCATAATTTGAAAAAAAGCATGGTGTGTTCTCAGTTAACTCTATATAACTAAAACCAGAGCACTCCTAGCATAGTATTGTAGTTCGGCGCAATGCAAAGTATTTCCAGATTTTTTCTCTCTTTTTGTTTTGTTTAAAAGAATTAACAGTTTATTGAAAGCAATAAAAATAATGAAGACAAAATTAACATTCATTCAAATTTATTTAAACAACAGTCAATGTATCATGTGGTATACAAAATAAAAGAAGTACCAGTAGGGGCGTAGGAATATGTTCCCACGTTTTTGACCAATCGCAGCACCTTTAGGTTTTATTTCACATGTGTGCAATACCATATTTATGACATAGCCGTATGAAAAAGTAAAATGGGTCATTTATGTGATAATATATATATATATGACATATATTTAATGTGATGAAAATGCAAATATTCATTTAGTAACTGTTATAATATATATGTGACAATAAAATCAAACAGAGGTTATACTCTACTAGCGTTACAATCATGTAGGGTACCAATTTTTGACGTTTGTTTGTTTGCAGGAATCTTTCAACAGTAAATGACAGATGAATTTCAACTATAGTGATAATGTTTATCCGTGCATATTCCCCTATATCACTCACAGATCCCTTTAGTACACAGATCATGTATATATAGCAACTTAGAGGTTAGCCAATACCGTGCGATACAGCTGAGTGCATTCTTAAAAAAACAACATATATGATACATGTCTATATATATGTAATATATGCAAATACTCATGGTTACAAATTTTCGTACGAGGGGTCAATGGGCTTCCAATTACAAATGAGCATGTTTTTAACTTTCTATTAGGTTATTTCTTTTGTGGATTTTATGATGTGTGAGGTCGATTTATACCAATGTTAAAGTCTATCGTCTTTTATTTGATGTATTCGCTGTGAATCATTAATGCGCAGATCTTAAATACAATCGGAATAGGGCAACAGGCATTGCCTATGCAAGCCAACTCCTTACAATATTTGTACTAATTATACATGCTACCTTTAAACCGGGAAATTTTCGCCAAAACACACTTTCGCCTTACACCAATACAACGTATATTAGCCCAGTATTAATTTAGCCCGTCACATATGATTTCTATGTAAATTCGATTGTTTACTAATGTTTGCTGTCATGCGAATTTCGCCCTCGTTACGGAGGGTGAAAAAGGCGAAAGTTAATATTTCCCGGAATATCTTGATGATATCTGTGTAATAGAAAAACTGTAATGATATAGCATCTATATTAGATCAAATGATTTTTTTTTGAACTGGTGCATTATATATTAATTACGAAAGTAATAAATAATAGTAATCCTTCACACTATTAATTTATATACGTTGTGATAAATATGTTATTCAAGCCATACAGAGGTTACTTAATGGATGGCCATTTAGTGACGTCACTGATCATTGTTTGACTCTATGTTTGTGCTATATTTACAGAACAACAAATACAAAGGATCCAAACGACAAAAGCAATACGTCTGTGTAGACACACCGTTCATTTGATGGCAAGATACTATAAGGACTTTTGGGAATCCTACGGTTTAGTCGTTATATAAAATGATGAGCGGACGATTGACAATGTATTCTTTGTGTCTGTGCTTAACTTCGGCTGTAACATTTATTGAAGCTTTTAACCCTAACACCGGACTCAGCGATGATACAGCCACGTACACACATCAACGAATAACCCTTGGAGTTATAGACAGGATTGTAGCAGACTTTCTATTGACCAGTAACCAGGTGACGACGCCAAAGACCACAGACTATGATTACGTTATCAAAGAGTATTTCGGATCAGGTAAGTTTTATTTATTTTTGTCAAATAATGTGATATAAAAATCGATAAGGTACTCATATTAAAACATGTTCTCACACCCTGTATGGACTCAACTGAATGCTTCGCGTACGTGATGTCACAGTTGGATAACAATGACGTGACGTCATGAAGTCTGGAACATTCCGATGGCGTAATTTGAGACGCCTTTTTGGTTTCTGAACTGTTTTTGGTAATTGCAACGTGATGAAGATACTCTGTCATGCCCTGGGATGTTCGATTGAGAACGTTCATAAGATTTTCAAACTGGTGCAAAACCTTCGGCAGGCCTCAAGTCAAACCGATTTTGAAAACCCCTTTTGGTTGACGTTCCCTTTCGTACACCTCGGACATACAATAATTAGACATTCTTACTGTTTTCCAATGATAGAAAGCTATGTAAAATGAATCTATCTAACATAGACATGACTGACATGACGTCAAAATGAAAACGATACCACTTATAACTTTCTTATAGGAACTTCTCTATTTGATAAATCATAAAACACTCAATATTATCATTCAAAATATGATAACAGACCACTGGTGTTGTCTCTGTTTCTCTGTTTCTCTCTGTGTGTCTATCTCATTAGGAAGCACGGTAGTCTATTGGTAGGACACCGGGCTTGTGATCGAAGGGTTGCGGGTTCGAGTCACGCACAACACTGTGTTGTATCTTTGAGCTAGATACTTTACTCCGCTTTATTGCAGTCTACTCAGCTGTAAATGAGTACGTGGTTGGGCAGCGCTAGAATTGTAGAATGTTAGCTGTAAGCGCCGAAATGGCAGCACCGGCTGTATGCTCCCCAGGGAGTTGAGAAACCTTGACTGGTTGCAAAGGCCCTATAATCACGGATAATAATTTGTGAACCGCTTTGAGACGACCTAACAAATAGGTTGTGATAAAGCGGTATATAAGAATCTCGAATTATTATTATTATTATTATTATTATTATTTTTACAAGAAGCCCAATGGGCCTGTGTCGCTCATTTGCTTCTAATGCAACTTTGAAGCTGATCTAGGTCATTTATGTGGATGCTAAGCTCATTACCACTTTATTCAAACATAGCACATTTGACCCATGTGACCTCTGAACAAACTTGGTAGTCCTTTATCCAAGCATGCTGCAGGCCCAATATCAGGTCTCTGGGCTTCTTGGTTATTGAGAAGAAGTTATTTAAAGATGTTAGCACATTTGACCCCTGTGACCTTGAAAGTCGGTCAATGTCATTCATTTGAACACACTTCGTAACCTCTCATCCAGGCATGCTATAGGCTCAATAGCATGGTCCTCTTAGTTATTGAGAAGTTGTTTTAAGATTTTAGCACATTTGACCTCTGTTACCTTGAAAGGCAGGCAAGATAATTCATTTGAACAAATTTGGTAGTCCTTTTTTCAAGCATGCTACAGGCACAATATCAGGTCTCTGGGCCCCTATTGAAATTAAGTTGTATAAACATTTTACCTCATTTAACCCTTGTGACCTGGAAAAGTCGGGCAAGGTCACTCATTTGAACAATCTTGATAGCCCTTCACCCCAGCACGCTACAGGCCCAATACCAGGTCTCTGGGCCTCTAGGTTATTGAGAAGATGTTAAAAGAGACTAGAAAAGGTCTGTAAGACATAAATGCCCCCGCTGCCATGTGAAATTAGTTTAAGTGTTCTATAAAAAGTTACAACCACTTTGATCTTGATAACCTGAAACATGCTCACACACAAGGTACTACACTTTAAGTTGATTTTAATATTCTTATGTTTTTTCTGTATGTTATTACCCTCTCCATAACATATTGGATGAAGATGCTAAGTGTTTAAATTAAATCAGTTGATGATTTTCTTTATATAGCAACAGTGACCGTTGCCTTGACCTTGGAACCCTGAAACACAGCAATGTCCGAAGTATACTCATACGTGACCTTTGCATAAAGTTTGACCAAAATCCATGAACAAATGAAGTTGCTAAGTGTTTAAATTGAATCAGTTGTTGATTTTCTATATATAGCAAGTGACCTTGACCTTGACCTTGGAACCCTGAAACACAAGGGTATACCCATATCTGACCTATGTATAAAGTTTGACCAAAATCCGTGAAAGAATGTAGTTGCTAAGTGTTTAAATTGAATCAGTTGATGATTTTCTATGTATAGCAAGTGTGACCTTGACATTGATCTTGGATCCCTGAAATACAACAATTTATGAAGTTTACTCATACTTGACCTTTGTTTAAAGTTTGACCAAAAACTGTCAAAGAATGAAGTTGCTAAGTGTTTACATTGAATCGGGATGCGACGCGACGGGACGGGACGCCGGACGCCGCACCAGGGTAAAAGCTCACTTGTCCTTGGC